AAACTTACATCCAATCTCTTCCTTTTTTATTGAAAACAGGCCTTTCTTGTAAATTCGACTACTTTACAGCAAACATTAAACGAATTTCCTTCGATGCTTCACAAAAAAATAATTCCAAGCCTAGCACAGCTCAGGCGTGCTCTGGTCCCCCGAGCTCCGCAGGCACACGGAGCAGCCCTCTCCGTAGGTGGCCTCCATCCTCCACGTCATTAACGGTGCTAACTACCTCCAGCAAATGATATTTGGAAGCCAAGTGCACTCTCTGCATGGGAGGAGGGGAAAAAAAAGGTTTCCCCGTGGTGCCCATAGCTTCAAGGGAGGTCTGTCCCCAGCAGAGGAACGCAAGGCCTAGTCCCGGTGTGGTGCCCCAGCCATCGGGGGACACCACCAACGGGGTGTGGAAGTGGGCATGATGCTTGGTCGAGATGGTTTCTGCTGGGGAAATGTGGAATTGAATGTTACATCACACCTGTGGGTCTTTAAAACATCCCCATTTTTGAACTTGTTGGGCAATTCAAAGCTCTGCAAAGGACGAGCAGACAGAAGAGAGGGACCTCCTTCCTAAATTCAGACTTACCGATGTCCGTGCCCACGTCATCCCCTCTAGCAGGGATTCTATTCTCCAGCAACAGTTCCCAGAAGGCCCTCAACTTGAAGATCTGTCCTCAAACTCAACCTCGCTTCCCTATCCATACACTGAAGTGGTACCAAGGAGTCGGTGTCACCTGGCTTCAGAGTTAGCAGCCGAGTGCGGCAAGGTGAGGACGAGGAGGGGCTGGCACCTCTCTGATGGTATTTCAAAGTGTCCTGAGGGTCTCCTGCATCAAGCATGCTCCAATCCCACGCTGGCAAGAAACTGGACACCACAAAAGACGGAAGAAAACTTCGGGGTTTTAGTAATTTTCCTGGAATTTCATGCTTGGCTCCCAGACTGGTTCGATCTTTCATTTCTCCACTTGCATCCTGTTTTCTATCAGCGCTGTTTCAAAATCTCCTCTGAAATATTGATCCGTAACAACCACCGCCATCCACCTCTAATTTACTGTCTCCTCAGAGGCTCTTTGTTTTACTGCATTTTGGTGAAGACAAAGGAGGGCAGAGTCGTCCCCGGCTTTTAGAAAGAGCTCCCTGTCACCTTGGAGTTCGGTGTAATATTTCAGCGCTGCTTCAGGCTTGTGGCTTAGAAAGCACTTAGGGACCCATTAAATACCAAAATTTAAGGCTAAAGGCTGGCAAGCGGAGGGCAGCGAGCTTTTAAATTTATGAAAGGCTGCAGAACTAAGAGGCCACTAAAGTGACAGCTGTCAGCACCACTCCATCCTACATTCATGCGGGCTCAAAAGAGAAGCCAGCGTGCACTCGAAAGAAAGAGAGCGCTCGTTCCAACTTTCAGCCTATTTTCTAAATACTCTTTTCAGCCTCCTTTCAGCCTCGGAAAAAGCCTTCCAGAAAACATCCACCCCTCCGCAAGCCTCGCGTTTGTTACCTGATCCAGTTTGGCGCTCCTTTTTTTCTTCCTCCCGGCTCTAACAAGCATCCTTGCCCTTTTACAAGCCCCGGTCATTCAGAGGAGCTACACAAGGCAGCGGAGCACAAGCTGGACGGGGAGATGGTGAAGGGCTCACGCTTACCCTCACCTTTCACGGGGAGGCACCACCCACGGAGCCACCCCGTTATCCCGGTGCTGCACTCAGCCCCCTGGCAGGCTGCCACGAAAAAGAAGAGAGGAAAAAAAACCAAGCCCTCGTCGACGTGAAGTTTGTGTAGGTTGGGAAACCCAATTATTGGCATTTACATAAAAGGCTAAACATCAAAACGCGGTTGGTGTGTTTCTTCTTGGGATGTGGGCAGGCCCCGCGTACAAACCTTATCTCGTAACCCAGCCGTAATTGAAGTTTTGCTTCCTGCCGTGGCTCTGAGTGACAGCCTTGCAGTTTGAATACACGCAAGACTCTTCCAGGTTCTCAGGAATCGCATCACAAGCTTCATTTCCCAGGCACTTGTGAACCTAACAAAAAGGGTGAGCGCTCGGGGAGCTACAGGAGCAACTTCTCTGCACGGGGATGTGTCCCCTGCAGGATGGAAGAGGGAGTGGGACCCATCCCATGGCCACAGGTTCACGCCCTGTGCACTCATTCATCGCTGCAGTGAGTGACTCTTCTCTTTCAGAAAGCAAAAGCAGTCAAAAAAAAAAAAAGAAGCACAAGGCTGTACTCTAACCCTGCTCGCTAAGTTCAAGCAGTTACCCATCCGTTTTGATTTTAAAGTAGACAGAAAAAGTTGGAAATGGCAATTAACTTGCTAAAACATCCCAGAAGGTCTTCTGCTGCCACTCGAGTGGTGCAGCACGCTCCACTGGAGGGACTTACTGCCAGGCGAGGGGCTTGGCAACCCCCCTGCAAGGCCTGCGGCTCCCTAACGCCGCCCTGACGTCAGGATTTCGGATTTCGAGCACCATCAGCCCCGCACAGCTGTGTCGTGGTTGCCATTATGCCATGAAGCACTGAGCGTTTTTAAATGAAAAAGGGTTTCCCCTGTTTGAAATTCTGAGATCTCTTCCCCGTTATTCTGTGTGCATGGAGCTGGTATTGAAGCAGAGCAGGAAACGGTGCTGTTTTAGCTGAAAATAAATCTGTCAACGAGGAGGCACAGGGAGAGCTCCACTTCAGGCTTTTCAGGTTCTTATTAAAAAATATAAATTCAAGTCAACATTTTCATGTTACGCGCTACATCTGGTTGCTATCCCATTATAAATAAAAATATAGGGGCCTTCAGCTCGGCCCTGCATCACTCAAAAAATCATCAAAAAGCCCTTCTCATTTGGTACTGCAGTATAATTGGTTCAGATTGTCCCCTATCACCAGAAGAGGTCCACGAGAAATAAGCCAGGTGTTACCCAAAGTCAAGTGGGGAGATGAGAAGGGTCCTTGGCAGTGATATTTGTCCTCCAAAGGATGAAAGGCAGCGAGGTCAGGGACACGCGCCTATCGCCGCAACCCCGCTGTCACGGGCAGGTCCAGCTCTGTGCTCCTTGCAGGAAGAGTTGGAAAACAAACCAAAAGCCACAGACCAGCAGCTGTCTCTGCTGGCCAGTAAGTGAGCAGAGTTCAGTGCCACGCCAGCTTTACAGGAAATCTTCCCAGGATTTAAACAACAGCCCTGTCGTCCCGCTCTCCTGCCAGCCATCCCGCAGGATGCCTTGGGACAGCAGAATTTCCAAGTGCTTTGAGCAGCAGAGACCATAAATAGGGGCTTTCTCACTCCCTCCTGGATAATGAGAGCTTCTTGAGCACACAAAGTGCCAGTCCGGAGCCATGCAGTCCACGTGGCAGTCGTGTTTTGGGAGCAGGGAACAGAACTGCTGGTGGGGCTGAGCTCCTTCCCCCTGCCCGTCCCCAGTGCTCACCTACCTGCTGATCACTTCACGCTCAGTGTTTGAGAGATGCCGAGGTTTTTGTCCTTACACAATTTGCTTCTTCACTCATACAAGCACATTAAAGCCATTCCTCACCCTTCGTGTCTTCAGCTGGGACCCCCACGTCCTCCCGCTGCTCTCTACCAAACCCACCAGGCGTGAGTGTGGTCGAGGAGAACACTCTCACCATGAGAAAGCCTCGGGCTGGCAGGCCACCAAAAAGAAGCAGCCAGCGCAGCACTTACTCCCTCCAAAATTAACTTCCAGCAGAACGAGGCTGGAAAACACAGGTTGCCTAATCTTGGCAACCCCGTTTTTTCAGCGGCAAAGATGAAATCTCGTGATTTGAGAACAAAGGCATCGTGTGAAGGCCTGCGTGTCCATGGCTGGGTCTCTTGTGAAAGCAAGGGAAGGAAATCTTTAAACTCCTTTTCATTTCTTTCACCTTTTATTTGCCCTACCCTGTCCCTGCCCCAGCACCTCATGAATGGGGTTTGCTGCCAGATGTGTTGGTCAAAACGCCCCAGGCAGGTCTGGGTGACACTGGGTTTCTGTGTAAACTCCACTCTGAAAAGAGACTTCTGAAAACCAGCACTGTCTCCACAAACAGAAGGAACCGCCTTGAGGACGTGGCTAAGGTTAAAGAAACTGCTCAACTGCCGCTGTTGCAAGAGAAGCACCTGGGTGAAACAAAACCCATAAAGACTGCTGGCTGAAACTCAACCAAGACAAACAGAGGAGGAAAAGCTGGGATGAACAAATCAGGGCTTCTGCTGCGCCATTCATCAGGGATATGTAGCCCGCGACGATGAAACAGCACAAGAGTTTCACTGAACAGCAGCAGCAGCAACCTAACCTTTTTTTCTTTTTTTTTCTGGTTAAAAACAATCTGTGTTCAGAGCCCCAGGACTGTGAAAGCTGGGTGACTGCTGATTTTACCTGCAGTTAAGGAGCAAAGTCGGTGAAAGCAAGACAATACCGAGATTAGATCATGCTACTTGCCCCATCTAACACGAAACACCTCCTAAAGACTGTCCGCACCAAAAACCCAAGGTAATCATTACTGCAGAAGGAAAGCCAGCCAGCTGTTTTATACTTCTGTTAGGACAGATTCACACTTCACAGCAGCAGGCACTTGGGTGGCAGTCCCCTTGCTGACAGTAACGCTGCCGTGCCAGCAACAGGAAAAATGCCCTGACAGCAGTTTTCCAGAGGAAGGCATTTAACATGCACAGGGAGGAGCCAGGGATGGAAGCGTTTGAGCACAGCAGACTATCAAGAGGGAAAAACACAGGGACATTCAGCTAAAAAAAGTTTCCCTGGGAGTTAAAAACAAAAACAAACAACAACCAAAACCACAAATCGCTCAACTTACACCACTAACAAGGACATATATCGCACGCAGAGCTTGAAGAGGGGAACACAGAAATTCCTCTTGCATCAAGAAGAATTTCTGTGGCCCACGTCACCCCCCAGAAAAACAGCTGTTCAAATAACACAGACAGCAGGACGGGGTTCCTACTTCCACTCCCCCCGAGGTGACACAGAACACAACGCAGAGCAAGAGGACGCGGGTGATGCTTACTCGTGCACACGGTTGTCCCCGTACAAGTCACTCAGGCCGAAGCTGACGTAGTGCCAGTGCTCAGGGACGTTCAGCGCTGGGTTGCCCACATTCCTGTACATGCTGACGTAGTCCAGAGGATCAGGTCCCCCCAGCCTGCATTAAAAACAAAAAGGTTCTCAGGTAAATCAGGTTATTCAAGGCAAGTGGGATGTCTCTACGGGTTCTATAAGGGGAGATGGACCTGCCCCAAATCACAGCTAGAGATAAGTTTAGCACGGTCCAGTTACCTCGAAAAAAATGAAGAGGAAGGTTGGGTTAAGTCCAGGAAGCATCGAGCACAGGAAGGCAAAGTGCATGTGTGCAAAAATACTACAGTGTTTTTACCATTAAAGCACGAAGCCTTCTGGAAAATCGTATTGAAACTTCTGCAGAGCAAAGAACACCAGAAAGCTCTCCGAGTAAAGGAGCAGGAGCTGTATCTGCGCTGCAAGCTCCTAACGCGGGCCAGAGGCACGTACCCCACTGAAAAGAGCATCACTGTTCTTTTCTGACTCACGTGGGAGCACAGGTGCTTTGACAAAAGGACAAACCCTTAAGCATCTCACCCTCTGCCCTATGTGCAAACCCTCGAAGCCCCCACAAGCTCAGGAGCAGCCAGCACCATCCCCGAGCCTGGAGGAACGCACACGGGACAGAATTGCTCCTCCAGGGCTGCTGACACAGGTGCTGACCCAATTTTGGGGCCAGCTCTCGCACATCCTCCCGCCCCCAGCCTCGGTTCAACCTCGCGCCGCAATCTCCCTATCAGCGCGGGTTCACGCCAGGAGCTGGCGGCGTCGGAGGAGTTTATTAGGAAGAGCCCAACTTCAAAGCTGCAGGTACAAATGCTTCGCGTTCTCTATTCATGGAGCTCATTCAGGAGCAAGAAGCGCGGCCTCGGGGGGGAAAAATGGGGTTTGCATCGGGGCGGCACCTTCCCCTGGCTGGTGCTAAGGGCAAGCTGAAGGAACCCAACGTGGGCAGAGGGGAAACAGCTCCATGGAGAGAAAAGCAATCACAAATTCTCCCAAGACACACAAATTGCGTTGAAAATATTAAAAAAAGACAAGTTTCATGAAAAATGCCACGCAACCCTGGCCAGGTTTCTTCCCAAACGAGGCTTTCCCTTGATTTATAGGGGCACCAAGCCCAGTGCGTGCTGCGAGGCTGGCACAATCCCATTAATCCCAGACATGCCCGAGCCCCAAACTCCGGATCAGAAGGCAGAGCCCGAGCCTCCTGGCCAGGAGGGGAAGCTGCAGCCCCAAGGAACTGACCCAGCGAGGGAAACACGCTTCCTTCCCCATGCCCTGCCCTCACCAGCCCCATCTCTCGCTGTGGGTCACCCCAAAAACACATCCCCCTGGAGCTGCCTCCCAGCCCCACACCTCCCTGACACCCAGTACGCTGCCCTGTGGCATCCCCAAACCTTCCTGGGCATCTCCCCGGGCCTCAGCCTGCAGCCCCTGCACCTCTCCCTGCACCCCCAAACCCCTCAAAGCTCTCCCTGCTCCCCCAAACCCCTGCAGCCCCGCTGCTCCCCCATCCCAGCCCCACTTCTTTCCTCAACACCCCTCTCACCCCACAACTCCTCCCACGACCCCACAGTTCCCCCCCAAGCCCCCACAGCTCCCTCCAGTCCCTCTACTCCCCCAATACCCCGATATTCCTCCCCCAGACCCCAATGTCCCCCTCAGACCCCACTACTCCCCCCCAGGCCCCAGTGTCCCCTAATGTCCCCCCCCAGACCCCAGTATTCCACCCCTAGCTGCACTACTCCCCCCTCAGACCCCAATATGCCCCCCAGAGCCCCCAAATCCCCCCTCAGACACCACTACTCCCCCCTCAGACCCCACTACTCCCCCCCAGACCCCAATATCCCCCTATATCCCCCTCCAGACCTCACTACTCTCCCCCCAGACCCCAATATCCCCCAATATCCCCCCCAGACCCCACTACTCCCCCCCAGACCCCAATATCCCCCAATTCCTCCCCTCAGACCCCAATGTCCCCCTCAGACCCCAATGTCCCCCCTCAGACCCCACTACTCCCCCCAGGACCCCAGTATCCCCCCCTAGACCCCAATACCCCCCCTTAGCCCCACTACTTCCCCCCCAGACCCCATTACACCCCCCCAGACCCCAAATATCCCCCCATATCCCCCCCAGACTCTAATACCCCCCTCAGACCCCACTACTCCCCCCACGACCCCAATAGCCCCCTCCCAGCCCCCAATACCCCCCTTAACCCTCACTACTCCCCCCCAAACCCCCCAAATCCCCCCCAGACCCCCCAACCCCCCCAGACCCCCCAAAATCCCCCTCAGCACTGACCAGTACTTGAGGATGGCGGTGACCTGCAGCGGGTTGGGCTGCTCGGGGTAGAGGCGGCGGCACTCCCCATAGATCCCGTGCAGCCCCGGCGGGAAGAGCGATGGAAACGAGCCCGAACCCGACCCGGACCCCGCACCAGAGCCCGGCCCCGCCGCGGGGGCACCCCCAGCAGGCCGCACGCCCTCCATGGCGGCGCCTCAGCCGCTCCGGAGCCGCTCCGGAGTCGCTCCGGTTCCGCTCCGCTTCCCCCGGCCCGGCCCGGCCCAAGCGGCGCTGCGCGGCGCGGCGCTGAGGGAGGAGGGGGGGAAGGGGGCGGGCCCCGCGGTTGCCATGGAGACGGTGATTGACAGGTGGGAGCAGCCAATGGCAGCGCGCGGCGCTGAGGGGAGGCCCCGCCTCGCCCCGCCCCCTCCTCGCCGCCCTCACGGCTCCGGGGCCGCGCGCTGAGAGCGCGACCCCTGGTGGGGTGGGGGGGGGGGGAAATAAGGGGGCTGTGAGGGGAAATATGGGGTCTGGGGGGGCTGTGAGGGGAGATCGGGGGTCTGTAGAGAGAGATGGGGGGCTGTGAGGGGAAATAAGGGGTCTGTGAGGGGAGTTGGGGGGTAATGGGGGCTGTGAAGGGAGATGGGGGGGCTAATGGGGTCTGTGAGGGGAGATACGGGGTCTGGGGAGGGAGCTGGGGGGACTGTGAGGGGAGATAGGGGGTATGGAGGGGCTGTGAGGGGAGCGGGGGGGGCTGTGAGGGGAAATATGGGGTCTGTGGGGGGAGCTGAGGGGCTGTGAGGGGAGCTGGGGGAGAAGTTGGGGGGCTGTGAGGGGAAATACGGGGTCTGGGGGGAGATGTGAGGGGAGATACGGGTCTGGGGAGGGAGCTGGGGGTCTGTGACGGGAGCTGGGGAGGCTGTGAGGGGAAATATGGGGTCTGGGGAAGGAGCTGGGGGGCTGTGAGGGGAGATAGGTGATCTGGGGGGGTCTGTGAGAGCAAATGTGGGGTCTGGGGGGAGGCTGTGAGGAGCTAGGGGGATTGTGAGGGGATCTGTGGGGCCTGTGGAGGGAGATGGGGAGGGTCTGAGGGGAGATCTGGGATCTGGGGGGGCTGTGAGGGGAAATATGGGGGCTATGAGGGGAGCTGTGGGGTCTGGAGGGGGCCGTACACCCTCAGCCACCCACTCAGGCCTCCGCTAATTTTCCCTAAAGAACTGAGGCCTGCAAACCGCATCTCAGCATTTATTGGAACATTTGAGAACTTACTCTGCGTGTGCCTTTTATTGCAAAAAAAGGGGAAAAAAAAAAAGCCCCCCGTGTCTCTGCGCCCCCCCATTCACACCCTCCCCGCACTACAACTCCCAGCATGCCCCGCGCCCTCCCGCCGCACCCCTCCCACAGCGTGGGGCGGGGAGGGGCCAGGACTACATCTCCCATCACCCCCCGCGGCCGAGGGGGAATACATCACCCAGCCGGCCGCGCGCCGCCCTTCCGCGCATGCGCCGCCGCCGGCTGGGCTGTTGCTCCCTGACGGGTGGCTGCGGCGGCTGCTCGCCATGGAGTCCTACGACGTGATAGCGAACCAGCCCGTCGTCATAGACAACGTGAGTGCGGCCGGCGGCGAGCCCCGGGGCCGGGGGGGGAGCGGGGAGGGCCCGGCGGCGGCGATGCCTTTGTCATGGGGGCGCCCCCACCCCCCCCCCCCCTCACCCCACACCCGGCCTGCTAGGGCGGGGCTACAGCGGCTCGGCGGCTCCTGATTGGCTGAGCCGGCTGTCAGTCACCCGCCCGAGGGGCGCCGCCCTTCGCCTGTGAGGAGCGGCCCCCCCGCCGCTGAGGGGTGGGGTGGATGGGCGGGGCGGCGCGCTCCCATTGGTTGACGTATCCACTCGCCCCGCCCCCTGCGCGGAGCGGGCGCTCTCATTGGCCGGCGGGGCTGTCCGTCAGGAGGGGCCGCGGCCCCGCTTTGTGCCTAGGGGGACAATGGGGCCGCGCTCCCGGCATGCTCCGCGCCCAGGCCTCGGCCGCGCTCCCGGCATGCACCGGGCGCCGCCCCTCACAGCGGGACCCCCCCCCCCCCCACCCCCCCCCCCTCCTGGCGGCGGCTCCGGGGCGCAGCGGGCCGGGACCCCCCCGGGTCCCAAATTCCCATCACAAAATCCCCCGCTCAGCCCCTCAGGGCTCCGCCCGGCCTGGGCCACGTCGGCGGGGGCCGCATTTGGGGTGTGGCGGCTGTTATGGGCCGGTGGGGCCGGCGGTGGGGCCCGGCCGTCACCCACAGTGTGCCTGGGGGAGCTGGGGCGGCCTGAGGGGAGGGGGGGGGGATGGGGGCTGGGGGGAGCGGTGGGGGCTGGGGGGAGCCTCCTCGGCTGAGTCACGCGTTGCCGCCCCTCCCTTCTGGCTGCTGCTGTCAGCGAGCCTGTTTTTGCTGTTTCAGAGGGTCAGTGCTGCCTTCTCTGCGCGTCATCTGAGCTTCCCCTGAATCCTTTCACCGTGTGGCGTGTGCCTGCTAGCCTAGCACACCTCAACGCACTCCTTTTTTACAATCTGAACGGTTTATAGATCTCAAATCGAGTCAGTCCTTCCAACCCTTCCTTTATTATCCATCCCACTTGCCTCTCTATAACTGAAGCTCCCTGAGACACGTTGTTGTTGTTGTTTCTTCCCCTGGAATCACAGCGGGGAGATTACTGGGGGCTTAAGGGCAGGGCTTAGGTCGATTGTTCTTAGCGGTGACTGGAGTAATGTTGATCCTGCTGTGTTGCAGTGAGTAGCTAGCCGTTAGCTCTTCCCAGGCACTCTGAGGAAGAATTTATTACGATACAGTCATGTAATAGCAGCCTAACGGCTGCCTTTTTGTTACTTAGCTCAATGATTGCTTGTTCCTCCCTGCTTCAGACCTAAAGAAAGGTTCACGTGCTGCCAGAAACCGACTCTGTTTCTTTTGTCGTTTTAACAGCTGGTCTTAAAAGCTAATTCTTTTGCCTTTCTGCTAAATGAGTTCCCTCTTTCCCCTCCCAGTGCGAGCTGTGGAATGAAGCAGTTGTTGTGAGATCCGCCTTCAGTGCTCCCAGGCTGTCAGCCGATGAGCCCTGTGGTGACGTTGCATTTTTGGTGCTCTCGGGAGCTCAGGCAGGATGGGAAACGGGGCTGCACGGAGAGGTGGTGCCGCTCCTGCTGCCTCACAGAGCTGCCGACAGCTTTCCAAGGCTGAACGCTGCCCTGTCCCATGGACGTGCACCTGTGGGAGGGCAGGGCAGGGGAGCTGAGGTTCTGAGCTGGTAAACAAGGCAGACCCTCCCTGTTCCAGCCTGCCCCAGTATCCCAGCATGTTCCAAAAGGACACTCAGGTATGTGGCCACAAAAAAACGTGACTTATTTTTTGTACCAAACAGTGCGCTCAGCTCCCCGATTCCAGCAGGGAGTTTTGTAGTGTACAGCGAGAGGCTGCAGCTGTACCTCTGCACAGTCTGATGCTCCTCCCTGTCCAGTAAGTCACTTCTAAAACATGTGTGACCCCCTCTTGCACTCCAGCAAGCTCTCTCTGGAGAAAACATCCTGGGAGCCCTGGTGGTTCAGCAGTAGCCAAGTGCAAGTTCCTTGACCTCCATAGAATTGTCTCGTCTTCCATGTAAAGAGGACAAAATTTGGCTTTGTTGTCAAAGTGGGGGCATTTTAAACATCAGAGCTGTCAGTAAGAGCTGCTATGGCTTTGATCTTATAAAATGTGCATCTAATAAAACAGGTTTAAAATATGAGATGTGCATTCTGAGTAAAAAGTATTACATGGCAGGTCGGCTCTCTTGGATTGCCGTTGAAATTTGAGTCTGAGGTGCATCGAGGTGGGTGAATCAATAACTGATTTTGGCCACAGAGCTGGCAGGAGAGATACATTCAGATGCTTTAAGATGCTCGTGATAATTTTCCATTATATTATTTCAGATACGAAGGTCAAGGAAGATCTAGTTTCTTTCTTTATTTTATCAGTTAAAGAAAAAAGAAACCAGCAAGGAGGATGAAAGCCCAGCCAGGATAGCTACCGGTGGAAGGATGTTAATTTTGAAATTCTTTTAAATTTTAATAAACCTGAGCTTACAGCAGAAGGAGGATTTGTTTCGTTTTTCTCGTTTTGCCTCTTTTTGTTTCCTTGAAACAGAGGAAGAACCCGCTCTTTATTTTAGACGTTTTTAATTGCCCAATGCTTAAACCCTTTTCCTCTCATTACATAGGAATCTGAAAACGGGGTATGATAACTAGATCTGCTTAGTACACACACACACCTTCAAAGAAGTAAAAAGTTCTGAAGACAATCTAAATGGCCAGAAGGTGCTGTCAGGTCCTGGTGGCATGCAGACAGCAAACTCGCTTTGCTCCCAGGCGCTGGGAAGCACAACTCTGCTCCAGTCCCATCTCGCTGCCACGTTCAAAGCAAACCTTTGTCTTTAGCTCCAGCAGAGATTGCTGAGCTGCCGCCACATTCAGCTGACTTTGAACTTGGATATGTAAATCTCAAAATGCATAACTCGCTGGGAAGCTCACCAGGACGTGCGGGGTAGTTCCTGGCCTGGCATAAGTTTCTTAGTTTCTTTCCCCTGTGTTAAAATAGGGGCATCATTGTTCTGAAACCATTTCCCAGCAGCAGAGCGTCCTGGCAGCGAGATCAGTCATTAGTTAGAATAAAATATTAATTAAGAGCGATATTCTGATGGGGTCACCTCACTGCATTTCATGCAGGGATTTTTGTTTGTCGTTTTATTAGTGTAGGTTTGTTTTTTGTTTTGCTGCAGGGCTTGACAAAGGCTGGTAGTATTTCCCAGGTACAGAGTTTAAAAGCTCGATAAGGAAGATCAGAATAGTGTTTGTTTTATGCCTGGCTCTGCTTTGAAGCAAGGGGCCAGAGGAGTGGCTGTCCAAAGGGACGTCGTCTCAACGCTTCACAGGCTGCCTCGTCCCACCTGTGCCTGTGTGTGCAGGGGCTGGGAGATCTGCCAGGAGGCAGGAGGTGCAGGATGTGGCCCTGCTCCTGATGCAGAGTTCTCAAAGTGCGCCCTGCAAAGCCTGACACCTTGTCCGAAACAGCTGGCAAAGGGAGCTGGGGAAGGAGGAGCTGGGATGGGAGCTAATCTCGTCTTCCTTGTCCCTTTTAAACAAGGCCCATCCTGTCAGCTGCTTTCCTGCCTCCAGCCCTTCCTCTTGCAGGCTGACTGGCACCTTTGTTGTGTCCAGAGCCTGGTCCCATTTAGTTCCCAGTGTCTTTTCTGATGGGATTTCTGTGACCTGCCTCCTTAGCACCAGCCAGCCTATTCCCCTCCCGAATTTCTTTTCCCTAGTCTCTGCTCCAACTTCATCCACTCTCCCTTCATCTTCTCCAGGTCTTCTACCTCTGTGAGGCTTACAACCTTAATCCTACACATTTCAGCAGTGCTCCCCACAGCTGGCAGGGCTTGGTTGCTGTCGCACGGCTTTCCAAAGAGCTCTCCTCCACCAAGGGAGCTTTTAAGATCGCCAGAAAACTGCAGAGCCTGGGTTTAGCCTCACACACCTCTCTCACACTGTAAAAGCAATGGCACAGGGTAGAAAAATTACTGCACGGGGTGGCGTTTGGGTGTGTAACCAGAGCCACAGCGGGATGCTCCTGGAAGTTGTGCCCTGCATGATGCCTCTCTGCCAGGAGGGTGCTGGTTACTCCCCTCTAGCGGCTGAGCCGATCTGCTGGCACCTTCCCGTCCTGGCCCTGCCTGCAGGACCCACGGGGAGCTCTATTCTGAGGGAGAAGGAGGGGTTCCGGCAGTGCTGCTGTACTTTGCTGCTCTTTTAAAAGTTGGGAAGGTGACTGAGTATCTGTCTGTTCCTCCCACAGGGCTCGGGTGTGATTAAAGCAGGCTTTGCAGGCGATCAAATACCGAAATACTGCTTCCCAAACTAGTAAGTACTCCCGATCAGTTCTCAGTACCATGAACCAATCCTTTGATATGTGGAGGGGAAGAGTGGTCCCATTGTGTTACTGAAGAAATGAATTAAGCATTTTTTTCCTGCTGTACAGAAGTGTTTGAGAGAGAAGATCTCTGCTGTTAAGCACTTGTAGGTTTGGGGGACACACGAGACATGAAGGATGATCTGTCACTTCCTCAGGCTCAGCCCCCAAACCACTACAGCTTTGTAGGATTCTTTAGTCTGGAGACATTAGGTCACCACCAAAAAGACAAGGTTGGGGCTGGAGGTGTGAATCCCTGCGTATGCCTTTGGTGTGTGGGCTGAAGTCTTCATTCCTGCCAAGCTTCCTTGCAGGTTTTCTGACAGCTTTACTGGAAGAAGGACTGCTGGATCAGGAGCAGGCCCTGGCTGTTATTTTGGATAGGGTGTTTTTTTAACGAATGTATTTGTTCTGACCGATGCAGACTCATCTGTATGGTGAAATGGGGCAAGGGACTATAAAAGTCTAATCTGAGGAGCCTGCCTGAGGTCAAGCAGTATCGTGGGGGTCTGTCAGCTCAGGCTGCTGCTCAGTCTAGCCACGTTTACCCCAGGCACTGCTGGAATCCTGAATCATCAGGGAAAGTGTGGCCAGACTCAACTGGCTCACGTCCTGTTACTTCAGCAGTGCCCACAGTCTGCTCCCTTCGCTTCTGATTCTGGGATTAGCTCACACAGAGCAAACCTGGGGCTGTCTGCACCTGGGAGTGCGCTCAGACTCTGTCATGGCTGTTAGAGAGCACTGCTTGGGGCTGAGAGGAGCAAAAGGTAGTAAATTGTTGGGCACACCTGAGCTGTCTCCTGAAGCATTTATACTTTTGCCTCTGTTGCAGTGTGGGGAGACCAAAGCACGTTCGTGTTATGGCTGGTGCTTTAGAAGGGGACATCTTCATTGGTCCGAAGGCAGAGGTAAGAAAACCTCTTACTGCAGTTCTCCGTGCACCTTGCTGTGTTGCTGTAAGAGCTGCAGCAGTCACCCTTGAAAGAGCTGGGGTTCCTCGAGAGCAGGGTAGGCCTGAAGAGTGGAATAGATTCTCACTTCTAAGCGTGTCCAAGCTGAAGTGGGAAGCTTCATGAAATTTTTGTGCCAACCTGCTGTCCACAGACCATTTTCCTCGGTCCCAATTTATTTTCATACAAGTCCTTCTGTATCTCTCCTTTTTTCTAGGCTGCTTTGCAGTCTGTATGGTTATATCCCTGTCTCTGTGACTGAGAACTTTAGAAATGGACCCTGGTTGGTTGCCTTTTATGTCCCTGGTGTGGGCAAGAGGCTCGCTTTCCACAGCCATGGCTTTGTCAGCAGGCAGTCGTTCTGGTCTCATGTTTCCCCTGAGCACTGAACTGCATTCCCCAGTATCACCCTGTTATATTTTATATCATGGCCAAGCTGGTAGAACAAAGATACCATTTGAGAGGTGTCTGTATGTTGGCTTGAAAACTGTTAGGATGGAATGTGCTCTGCAGACACCCTTTGTTCCAAATCTGTGTAAAACAGCCTTGTTTAGTCTTTGTAAATGCTTCTCTGGAAGAGATGTTTGTGATTAGTGTTCAGTCTTTGCCCTGTACACTAGAGATATGATGTTTTTCAGTGGAGTTGATAATAAGCAAGTCTCTCGGATGAATTTGTAGTCGTAATGCTCAGAAGTGAATTGTTCCAGTCACTGACAAGTATGCTGCATTGTCCTTTCTGTTTGCTCAGGAGCACAGAGGTCTCCTCTCAATCCGATACCCGATGGAACACGGCATAGTAAAGGACTGGAACGACATGGAGCGCATCTGGCAGTACGTGTATTCAAAAGACCAGCTTCAGACGTTCTCAGAGGAGGTGAGATGCCTCATTACGTGACAGCACCAGAGTCCTGTCCTTGCTGTGCATAACACCGGGAGTCTTTGAACTTTGGGAAGAACTTGGGACTCCTCCTTTGTTCTTTCTAAACTTAGCTGTTGTTAAATTAAGCTCTTTCCCCTCTCAGAAGATACAAGAAATGTCCAAGATGAATTCCTCCCCATATCTCATGTTCTGGCCTGACTGAAAATCTGACTTTCAATGTTTGTTACTCACACACTCTCTAATATATTCTGCTCTGTGCCAAGTGCTCCTTACTTTTCCTGTTTTGCCTGTGCATCAGGCATACCCACTCAGCAGTGACATAATTTGAAGTGAGGAAGGAGAAAACCACAGTCATGTGGTTTGGAAGGAGCTGACCAAAAATTATTACATGACTGAGAGTGAGAGGCTGTGTAAGTGGAGGAGGAATATTTCTGCTTACACATGCCACGACCGTGTGCCTTTGCCCTTTCTTAGGGGCTGTGTTTTTTAGGCAGTCTGGCTGACTTTTGGTACAAAGGGTCACCTTGTTCATCCTTAATGAAAAAGGGTCACTCACAGGGCAGATTTCCTAAGATTTCTTCATAACTAGACCAGAGCCCTGCTGGTCCCCCAACCTACCAGCGATTATTCACCGTCTAGCAAGTTACTTGGAGTTACTCCCTTCCACATATCTTGTTCTACTGTTGGTTCCGAAAGTGGAACAATAAGCAGAATTTTTGGGGGAGCACACATCTAGCTGCTTCCTGGTTATTACAACACAGCTCCTTTTCTTTACCAGCATCCTGTGCTGCTGACAGAAGCACCCCTAAACCCACGTAAGAACAGAGAACGTGCTGCTGAGGTGTTTTTCGAGACCTTCAACGTGCCAGCACTGTTCATTTCCATGCAAGCTGTGCTCAGCCTGTAAGTACCTCTCATCTTTGATTTGTTGTGAAATGTTTCTTGAAATCTATTTTTTTTGTTCCCAAAACCAAACAAAACAGGGAAGACCACACAAATGTCTGACTTACCTCCTGTTTCAAGCAGAAACTGAACTTAAATTTCAGTTTCTGTAATAGAGTTTATAGGAATTTGATGAGAAATGGCTGTGGGGATTTTTTTATAGCCTGTTTGTGTGAAATCTCTGCTCCTAGAGTTGGGTCTGGTTGTGCTGCATGCTTGGGGCTCACCTTTAATGGCTCTTTTTGGCTTGATGGTTTGTCCCTTCACCAGGTATGCTACTGGGAGGACCACGGGGGTGGTGCTGGACTCGGGGGATGGCGTTACCCACGCGGTTCCCATTTATGAAGGCTTTGCCATGCCTCACTCCATCATGCGGATTGACATCGCTGGCCGCGATGTGTCCCGCTTCCTGCGCCTCTATCTGCGGAAGGAAGGCTACGACTTCCACACAACCTCAGAGTTTGAGATTGTCAAGACCATCAAGGAGGTGATGTACTGTCTGCTCCTGTGGTTATCCAGGGAGGGATTTCTGCCCCAGGGAAGTTGTTGACTCTCCAAAATATATTGGGAAGTGCCAGCCTACCTAGCTCTGAACCTCATTTCTTTTTCTGCCTGAGGGAGAGCAGAGCCTCTAAGATGATTAAGGGACTGGAGCAACCCTCATGTGAGGAAATACTGAGAGGGATGGGGTTATCGAGCCTGGTCAAGAGACAGCTGGGAGGGTTTCGTCAATGTGTATAAATATCTGAAGGGAGGGAGCCGAGAAGACAGAGCCAGACTCCAGACTCATTTCAGTGATGTTCAGTGACAGAACAGAAAGCACAAACTGAAACAAAGGAGGCTTCATCTGAATGTAAAGGGATTTTTAATGTTGTTTTTTTTTTTTTTTTTTTTTAATGTGAGACTGACACATTAAAAACAAGATGACCTCCTGAGGTCCCTTCCAACCTCAGCCATCACGTGGTCTGAGATTTATAGTCCGGATTGCGTCCAGTCCCTACCGAGGGGCTGTACGCATTGAGGACTGGATGATCTCAAGAGGTCTCTTCCAACCTCAACTGTTCTGTGATTCTGTTTAGATGTTTGTTTGTTTTTTAATCTCCAAATGATAACAACATAGAAAAGCAAAGCTTAACTGTGGAAGAAAAAATAAGGCTGCTGGAGCAGTTTGAAGAGTCAAAATATTTTGTTTCCTATAACTTAGTATGTAGGTGGTCAACGGGCAGCAAGCCACATAGACCATGTTGAGTCAGAAATTTTGCTATTGGCTATTAGTTATTTCCTCTGAAATGTAATAATACATTTTGTTCATGCTCCTAATCTGTTGCCAAGTTACCTAAAGCCACATTTGTATACGGTTAATATCACTGAAGGTGTTCCAGGTGCCTGTTTTGCTTTGCAGTACAGTAGTTTGGAAGTGCTCTCAGGATAATTATCCCATCTGCAGCAGATGGAGATAGCTTCTTAAGCAGTAAGAGAGGGGTGAAAACAAAAGGTGAGCAGCAGCTAGAGCAATTGTGAGCAGCCTGAACATCTCTTATTACATGGAGCCGAAGCATGAAGAACAGATAAGGTATTTTTCCTGATGAGAACCCAAAAGGTCTTTTCCCCAATACAAAATAATGTTGAAATTGGTCTCCCCAGAGGGATGCTTGGATTTTGATAGTAAAGGAACTTACTTCTTGTAGTCAGAAACATGTTTATGAGAGGTATTTGCATTTACCCTTATCTTCTTCTCCCTGACTCTGCTTCCTCCCAGCGTGCCTGCTACCTGTCAATAAACCCCCAGAAGGATGAGACTCTGGAGACCGAGAAGGCTCAGTACTACCTGCCAGATGGGAGCACGATTGAGGTTTGTGAGGACTGCTGTCAGACAATTCCTCCTGTGATGCACTGGGTTTCCAGAATAGCCTTCTACCTCCTGATGGGAAACTTAATGCAATGTTGAGTGGGAGAGGGTAATTTAAAAAGAGCAGAACTCATCCCAGGCTTCTGGCTGGGGCACTGGAGTTCTTAGGGGAAGAAAACATTAGAAACCTCACTGATTCTACTGGGAGTCCTGGGTAAGGACAAAGCATGGCCAGGGGGACTGAGAGCTCTTTTTGAGTGCAGGCTCTGATCTACCAAATCTTTATGTGGATCAGGTATGAAGTGTGGGTTGGTACCTGCTTGCTGTAAATTCCCACTGGGGTTTTATACATGGTTTCTGTTCTGCCTGGAGGTGCAGAAACAGTTGGTTTGAAGAGTGTTTTGAGAATACTCCTCAAAAGATTGAGCCTTGAATGAGAAGAAATACAGGTCTTACCTCCAGCACCGGGGGTGGATCTGCTCCCTTGTCCACCATTGACCTGCTGAATGAAGCTGAGTGAGTGTTGTGAATTAATTTGTACAGAGCTTTGATTTAGCAGCAATATAGGACTTATTGATACTTTTATGGCAAATCACTAGATTGGATTGTGTGCTGCCTAACAGCACTTACTCATGAGCCAATTCAGCAGAATTTACTACAATTAAAATAGCAACTTAAAGATTTGCACCAGCAGGTTTCTTTATCTCTTCATCTGCAAAATGGAAACTGCACCTTTGCCAGGAGTAGTAGGTCAATCTGGTGGTTGCTTGGGAGCTGATGATGCAGCACAAGTGTCCAAGAAACTTTCTCTGAAGTTTTGCCTAAGGAGAGAAAGACCCAAACTTGAGACAGTGAACTGGGCCGCACTGCTCTCTCACTCTGTGCTACCTTCTCCTCTTGCAGATCGGCCCTGCCCGTTTTCGAGCCCCGGAGCTCTTGTTCCGGCCAGACCTGATAGGGGAGGAATGTGAAGGACTCCATGAGGTGCTCGTTTTTGCCATTCAAAAATCAGACATGGACCTGAGGCGAACGCTGTTCTCCAACATTGTGCTGTCTGGAGGCTCCACGCTTTTCAAAGGTTCCTGCTTCTCTTTCAGTGGGCTGTGCTATACATGATCCCTTTTTCTTTTCCTTCTCATGTGAAACAGGGAAGATAACTCAGATCACCCAGCTTGTCCTGTGGGATAAGGGCTGTAGGAACTCTGTTCTCTTTGGGGAGTTACTGTGAGAAGCAGAACACTGATTCTCACTAATTTTCTGAGTCCTAGTCAGAACCAGGGTGCATCTGACCCCTATTAATTTATAGATATCCTCTGCCAGAACTCGTCCACCCTTTATCCACAGGTGTATGTCTCCAGATAGATCCCATTTTTCCCCGTTCAATCAACCCTGTTCTGCCCTACAAAAGGGGCTGGATACAGGAGGAAGGCCAAGGGAAGAGGGAGGGAACTGGTACATTTGTGATCCTAGCTAGGAATCTTGGTTGCTTGTCTCAAGTTGCTGCTGAGGGACACAGTCTGTTGTGGTAGTGTTTGAGGTCTGAGTGAGACAAAATCCTGGTACTTCTCTGGCTGTGTTCTGTGCTCCTTCAACGTGGTTTCTTTGTGAGATCAGGAGTGGGATATTTGAATAGGACTGTGTAGGATCTGGCCACATTGTTAGTAGATGGAACTTGGAATTTTGCGGAGAGATTCAGACTACGTTGTTTTTGTCTTGTGCAGGCTTTGGTGATAGGCTCTTGAGCGAAGTGAAGAAACTAGCTCCGAAGGACGTCAAAATAAGGGTAGGAGCATTCTCTTGGGTGTTTGTCACATGCTCTGTGTGTCTTCTTGAGAGAACTGTGCTAAAAATGTTGCTGCCACGTGGTTCAAACCAGTAGCAGCTTTCCTGGAGACAGCCCAACAATATCTGCTGTCGTGATGAAAACCTGTGTGGTTTCATCAGAGAAGGCAGCTCTTCTGGCAGCATACCTGTCTAGGATCCTGGGGGTGGTTCTGTGGGGGATCCGCTGGGTGCCTTTATGGTGGGAGAGGTCGTCCCTGTGTTTGTCAGCTGTAGGAGGGGAAGTGTGCCAGGAGGAGCAGGCTGGAGCTTGGAAAAGTACTGACTGACTCTCTGCTTCTCCTAGATATCAGCTCCTCAGGAGAGATTGTATTCCACGTGGATCGGGTACGTACTGCATGATGCTGGGTCGCTCTGTGGGATGAGGGCGGGGGAATCGCCGTCTGCTGGCTCTCAGAGCCCTGTCCCTCCTGCTGCTGTGTCACTGCTCAGCCACATGATGCTCAGCCTGGTTCCTGAGCCTGTCTCCATGCTGCCAGCCCCTTACCCTTTGCATCTTTAAGGCTCCTGCAAGTCCTTAATTTTCCTCATTGTCTTAACCAGTCCAGTTCAAAGTAGAACAAGTTCGGTGGTAGGAATGCCTTAGGGCAGAGGCTCTAGGTGCATTTTCCCTCTTGTGTTGCTGATCAGGGGAACTAAACTCAGCTCCACAATCCTAAGCAGTGAGACCAGACCCCACGTGAAGAGGGCTGGTGTTTGCAGCAGTGTCAGCACATTATTTGGGAGGTGCCTGGTGCCAGGCTCTGTGGTGCCAGCACATTTGAGGCTAACGGGAGAGGAGGTGACCGTTCAGAGAGCGTTTCTGTTGTAGGAAACAAGGAGCCTTGGCACCTTTCTCAAGCATGGAAGCGTTGTGCAGTAGAAACAGCTCCTCTCTGCAGGAGAGGCAGTGGGAGTGCCCCCTGTTTGCCTGTCATACTGTAACATGTCTGTCTCTCCCCAGTGGCTCTATTCTGGCCTCACTGGACACCTTTAAGAAAATGTGGGTTTCGAAAAAGGAATATGAAGAAGACGGAGCTCGTGCCATCCACCGAAAAACCTTCTAGCCCTGGGACCTGTCCTCAGTCTCCTCCGAAGACTCACTTCAGTTCTAAACTCGCTTTTCTGAGTCCGAGTGTCTGAGAGCTGCCTGTATGTGTGTGTGTGCGCCAGCATGCCCCGATGTCACTGAGCAAAGACGACAGCAGCAGGAGGGTTGTATTCATACTAACTTCATATTTTTTATTTTTTGACTGTTTTTGGTTTTTTTTTTTAATGGAAAGGAGAAACCCCCAGTCTGAATTTCTCCAGAATGGCCCATTCCTTTTTCATTTCAGTCCCTTAGTTTCTGTGTTACGGTCACATTTGCCACTGTAAAATGAGCAAGCGAAAACAAAAGGGAACAGCTTAGAATCTGCCTAGCAAGCCAGAAGGGAGCCAACCACTGCAAACCCCTCACGCAGGCTTTAGTCGGCCTGGCTGCAATGCCTGGGTTGTCTGGAAATACACAGCGGAGGCCCCGTAGCTACGTTCTTAGTCTGCAGCGTCTTCGACATCAGTAGGTTTTGGAAGTTGTTTTTAATATATTTTTTTAATTAAGAGGAAGCACATTCTCAACAGTTCAGCCCGTTTGCCCCCACTGTTTTTGGTGTGTGTGTGTGGGTGTGTGTGAGTGTGGCGGGGTGGAACTTCTCAGACTGATGTGTGGGTCGGTGCCGCAGCCGGAGAAGTCGGTGATAGGACTTAGTTCATATTGCATGGAGTAGAACAAAGCAATCTCTAATCAGCTTTCATTATGCTAGACGGTTACTCTCTCATTCCTTGTTTTAAATAACTTTTCTCCTCTGGAAGCAAGTGCCCCGGAGTGGGGGTGAAGGCACTTGTGTGTTCCCCCTCAACCTGCCAAGAGTCACAGTACTGAGCTCTCACCTTCTTGCTCTGTAAGAGCTGAGGCTGTTTGCCTCCTCCTCGCCACGTCAGGGCGAAGGGAGCACGCGATTTCAGCCAGGCATAACTCGTGTACTATATCCACTCGGGGGCTAAGTACTAGTTGGAAAGGTGCGTCGTAATGTAAGAATTGTTTTATTTATTGAAATGTCTGCGTATATCTCCAATACTGACCGCAGCACCTGGGAATTTTGCTTCGGGTCTTCCTTGAACGCCTGCTCCCCAGTTGTCTGTTGTTTGATGTTAACACTGTTTACAGCACACACACGCTTCGCAAAATAACCGGCCAGCCCTGCATCGCCGCTCGGTAACCGTTCTGTAGGGAGCCTCGCTGTTCTCTGGGAATACACTAAAGGAGAGGACAAGAAATCACCTCAACACGGTGGTGGGAGCAGCAAGCTGGCGCAGGGGCTGCGTTCTGCTGTCCTCTCGTGCTGCTTAGGCCTTTCTGCTCAGCTGCTGGCTGTTCTCTAGAACATCCTCATCCCTCCCGCAGCTCGCGTGGAGGTGTGGCACTGTTCCCCTTGCTTCTGTTGGTGCTCTTCATTTCCTTCACCACTGATTTTTCTGTATTACCCGGCATTCGCAGTGGGCCTGGAGTTGTTCGGTGGCAGTTCCTCCCTGTTCCCCTCCTTTCTGTTCGTTTCCACCCATCACCTTGGGGTCACTCCCTCGCCAGAGCTGAGAAGGGGCAGGAGCTGGAGGGTTGCAGCAGCCCCTGCTGCGGAGGCTCGGCGGGAGCTGGCGTGAATGTAAGCAAGCAGCACGCTGCCCTAGCACAAAGGGGGTTCTCCGGGATCCGAGAGGCTGCAGGTAGGCAGGTTGGGTGCTCTGCTCCCAGCTGAGGCCGTGTTGCTTGTTCTCCTACCCCTACCAGAACAGATCATGGTTTTTAAGCAAGAACCCAGTCAGGTAGGGACGAGCTCTCACTGCTCAGCCTCCTCCTGCCAGAAAATAAGTTGTGTTCTTGCTGGTTTGTTGTTAACGTGCGGAGGGGAAGAAGCAAACCCCTCTGCTCGCCTACCACGTGCCCCAGGCAGTGCCAGTGATCTCTTCCTCCCCTTCCCAGCCCCTCTGCTGGCCTCGCAGAAGCAGCAGTGCTCCATTTTGTAAACTGCAGTGACCGGACAGAAAGGTGCCGTCTCCAATCTAGCATTTGTTTGATCTGCCTGACTGTTCCCTTGCACACTGTCCAAACCATGTTGCCTGGTGGTGCCCAGCATACTTAAATAAAGTCATTCATATACAAACCTCGAGCCTCCCAGCCTCCTCTTCCCACACTTGCATTTCTCAGGAGGTAACTTGTGTTCTTCTCTTGCCTGTACAGAACTTGTTGGCTAATTGCTGTGTGGAGACAGCACCGGTGGTCCAAGACTGCCTTCAGAGCAGGCCTTTGTGCTGAGGTAGGGTGTTGAGGATTGCTCTCCTCGACAATCGTTGCCCCCAGAGCAGCTGAGGGGCTGAGAAGCTGTAAGAGGGAGTGAGGAGGAGGACGCACAGGTGAGAGGGGTGATGCTGCTGGCATGGGGGGAGCTGGTGCCGGCCCAGGGGCTTGCTGAGAAGCAGCAGGCAAGCCTCCCTCCCAGGGAAGTGTGGGGGAACGTGGTTCACCCCTGGGACTTCACTTTTCATTAATGGTCCCTTTCTCAGCCTCTACCAGCTGTAAGTGGGGCAGGCAGCATTCCAAAACACCCTCATTGCAGCTCAAGCTCCTGCTTCTTGCCCACCTCATCAAGGGAAGCAGCACCCGGCACCTCACAGGGTTAGGTGAGCCCACGCAGGGCCAGATGGGTGGCAAATAATTCAAACGGGACCACAGCCATACAGAAAAGGTCTTTAATTTATGAAATGAAGAATCAAACTTGGTTAAAATCTGCACAAATAAGTTATGATTGAACTATTGAGAACGACAGAAGCCCCGTGGCAGAAACATCTTGGTCCGAGACAGGAGGCAGCTGTGTCCTGAGGCAAAATGGCAGAGCTGTGGGCTGCAACCCCAGGAGGAGCCTGGTGCTGAGGCTGGGGAGGCAGCTAAGTGAAGAACAGCACGAATGTGAGTGAGCACACCTCCTCCTTCAGGAGGGCACAGGGCAGAGCACTGCTGGCCCCCACCCAGCCTGCTTTGGCACCACGCTCACCCGAGGGAGTTGGAGGAGACTCCCTTACCCTGGGGACTTCTGGTGACCGCCTGCCCCGTCCTTCCCCCTTGGATCCGTGGCTGGACAATCAACCCCTGGGGCGCTGTTTCAAGCAGAGAGGAGCTGTGGTGTCTGTCCTTCTGCACAGAGGTAAAATCCTACCCCTGTGTCTACCCAGCATTGTGTCAAACGGGCTCCCAAGTGGAATTGAAGGCACAAAAGCAAGAGCTGCGCTCTCCCCCCCGCAAGAAGGGAAGGTGCCAGGGTCAGCCCCGTGAGAGGGGCACATCAATCCCCTGGGTTTGGAAAAGGAGCAAGGAAAGGCTCTGTGTGTGCTCCCTGCCCTGCTCTGCCCACCAGGGACGTGTACACCTGCAGCACGTGTTGCACCCCAGCTCCTCCTGCCCTGGGACCAGCGAGGTTAAAACGCTCTTGCTCCTGTGTCAAGGCTTCTCTGCCTTCCCCAGCAGCCCCTCCTGGAATAAGCAAGCATCGGCCTTACAGCATTTCACAGTTGAATCATAAATGCAGGGTTTCCTTGCTCAGCAGTCCCCTCGTTTTGCCCCAGGCTGGAACCAGGAGGGGCTCAGGCACCCCTAAATCATTTTCACTTCAGGCGCTTCCCCCTGCGTCAGGCCTTGGCGCTGAGCCTTCACCATCTGCAGGCGCTTCCCGTGCAGGCTGAACTGCGACCAGGTGAGGAGCTGCAGCAGCGCACAGGCGATGGGCACGAAGACCAGGAGGTAAAAGCAGCCCTGGCGGAGAGTCGGCTCCAAGGCGGCGGCAGACTCCAGCTTCGGCGGGGCGCTCACCACATTGCCCAAGGGGGTGCGCTGGAAAATGTCGTAGCCTGGGGGCGAGTAGAGGTGGTGAGACACAGCAATGATGCAGAGAGCAATGACAGCTTTTTCTGGAAGAGCTCTCTGCATCCACTACGCTGTGGAGGGATGGAAGTCCACCCTCTGCCACCCCGCTGCTGTTTGGACTTACCTGTGTAGGCGCAGAGCAGCCAGGTGCCAATGAGAGGGGGCGAACGTTTGCCCTGGCTTGGTGACCAGCGCGACCATCCCAAAAAGCAGCGCCGAGGCTGCCTGCTTCCTGCGGTTCAGGACCAGGTCCTCGTCCACCAGGTCGGTGACCACCAGGTTGAGCAGCTTGCAGGTCCCTTCCGTGAACACGCGGTTGCTGCAGGGCAACAGGCAAAGCACTGGGTAGGGGCACCGAGAAGCGATGGGAATGGGTGAGAGGTCAGAGAAAATGCAGAGAGAGATGAGAGGGGTTCCCTGATGCTTAAAAAAAGAATTTCAGAAGCTCTGGCTACTGGGGGGGGATCCAGTCATTGCTGCCAGGGGATTCTGCAGTGACCTGCCCCAAGCTGGGTGCTGTCAGAGCTGGGAGCCACCTTGGCTTCTCTTCTCTGATGGAAACAGGGACAAGTCGTTTTCCTTCCCAGCTGGCACAGAGCAGGGGATGTGAGTGTTTGCGTACCTGGCTATGAAGATGCAGAGCAGATAGACCTGGTTGGGTCCCGCCAGCAGCATGACGACGCTGAGAGCCAGCTTCAGGAAGAAGAGTCCTCGGACCACAGCGTAAACCCCACAGCGGCGGCAGAGGGAGAGGAAGTAGAGATTGTTGAGGTGGGGGGCAATGTAGGAAACACCTGAGCAGAGAAAGAATCACAAATAATTCTCTCGAGTTTTAGTATCCACCATCCACCCCAGTACCAATACCAAGAGGGAGGACGAGGAGGGTAGGGTAGGAGATATGAAACAGCCCCCAAACTGCATACAAGGAGAGGGTGGCTGCAGCAGATGTACTCAGTGGGTTTGTGACTGCACACACTCTTCCTCCAGAGGGCAGAGCAGTGTGCTCTACTTCATCAGCCTGGTGGGCAGGAAGGAAGAAAAGACTTGCTCCTTGTTCCACAGGGGCTGGGACTCAGCCCTGGAGCAGGAGGGAAAGAGACTGGGCAGCACGAGCAGACCTGGCCCAGGCAGAATTCTCTCAGAGTGACTCTAGCCCTACGGGACTAATGCCCACAGAGGGAATAAATTCAGAGCTGTGCTCCCTGCTGCATCCTAGAGCCATATCCACAGACTACAGATGTTATCCTCAGCAACACCTGGGCTGGAGCCATGGAGTCAGAGTCCAGCACTCGGTGCTTTTAACTTCTAGAAAAGGCTCCAAGTTACCCCTCCTGTGCCCAGAAAGGAGGTTCCAGGGAAGGATGTGTGAATCTTACAGCCCAGAGCCCTGTGTGTGAGCACCTCTCCCCAGCTGGGGTTTGTGAAGGCAGAACACAGACTCAGGCCCTGCCCCAGCTGCTCCCTTTGGTCCCATCTGCCACTCACCGAGGAGGAAGGATCCGGTAGAGACAGAGATCTGGTCTGACAGCAGGTGCTCCAGGAACAGGGGGAAGAAGTTGCTGTTAAAGTGGCAGTGAAAAACCTGTGAAAGCAGCATGCAGACAAGCCGGTCAGCAGGAACAGCAGGAAGAGGGAAGAGAAAAAGCTAACAGCCCCCTGGACTCTGGTCTGAGGAGTCCCGTGCCGAGGGATCGTGCAGGATGGGCCTCCAGCACCTTAGCACAGCAAGAGCTTGGCTGTGGAGCTTGCAACCCTGGAGGCTTTGAGACTGCAAAGCTGCTGGCCTCAGGCAGGCAGGTGGCATTGCACTGTGTGCCAGCTGCCAAAGCATTCCTCACTGGTGAGCTCACACAGCAGGGCAGGGCAGGGCAAGGAGTCCACAGCCATGGCCACAAGGATTTGAAGGAGGAAACAGTGGCACAGCAGGTGGGAGGAAGCAGCTGTCAGGATGACAGCAACAAAAAGAAGGCAGCAAGGCTCAAACACAAGGATTCAGGCATTAAAAGCCTGCCTGAGGGGACCCGATGGACCCCAGGGGAGGCAGAGCTGTGACGGCAGCACACCAAGCTCAGGGAAGTTGGGCACGCTGCTGCCATTTTGTAATAATTGAAGAGGAATTAAAAACAGAAATGGCAAAAGCCAGCTGGGAGGTGGATCCAGCTGGACAGTGAGAGCAGTGACATGAGGCTCAGGAAAGGAGGAGATGGCGCTGACAGCCGAGCCAGCAAACTGCACTCCTGAATGAATCCTTCCCACCACAAACCAGGCCTGGTGCTTCTGCACCCCAGATGGATGTTGGCAGCCAGCCCCTGTAATCCAGCCTGCACCCCGCAGATGCTCAGGAAGTCGCTGTGCACCTACCTGGACCAGGTTCATGCAGACAAACCAGAGGAAGTTGCGATGCCGCTTGAGCTGCTGGAGATATTCTGCCAGGGTGATCCTCTTCTCCTGGGGGACGGAATGTTTCTCAATGTACAGCCTAAAGGGAGAGGAGGAAGGACAAACAAAAAACAAAACAACTGTGATTCCTTCACAAGCAGGGCAGAGCCCATGTGCTGTCTCTCCTCAGCTCCCATTCCAACCTTCCTTCTCTCTAGAGACCAAACCAAAAAGAGCAGAGTCTTCAACAACATTTACAAGGACAAAAGGCTGCAGGTCTCCCGAAGAACATTTATTTCCTGAGCCCACAGTTCGGATTTCCTGTCCAGAAAAGCATTCTCCTATCAGCCATTACACTCCATATATGCCCCCAGTCCAGATTAGCTCACCTGGCAGATCTCATCGGGACCTGCTGTGTTAGTACAGCATAAAGCTGGCAGCTTGGAACAAGAGACAAGTGAGTGTAACAAAAGTGAGGCAGCCCAAGGAGAAGCAAGGGAGCTGAGTGGGGTAACCAGCTGCATTGTGGCCCACGCAGCCCAGTCACCATCAGGCAGCTAAAGCGAGCAAAAAGGTGAGGGATTCGCTTGTCCTGCTCCACGGGGAAGGGGCAGCAAGGTGGTCTCATGCTCAAGCAGCTTCTGGCATTTCGCCACTCACAGGCCTCAGTGGGTGCTCTAGATACTAACTCGTGTCTCGTTCCAAACACTGGGAAGGTCAGGGCTCTGCCTCCAGTTTGGGCCTGGGCTTTCACGAGATAGTTTTGTCCTATTTTCAGAGGGCCTTAGCAGCCAGTGTGACCTCAGGCAGAGGTGATTCTGAAAACTGTATCAACAGACAAGAACCACAGGTGATTAACAAAAGTTTTCCTTGTCCTGGATCTTCTCACGGTGGTGTGTAACAGGACCCTACAGATCTATGCCAAGCTGTCCCTGCTGCAGAATGGGTGACACTTACTGTTTTAGGGTTGATTCCTGATCCCATTTCGCTTTCCCATCATGCCTCAAATCGCTGGCGGAGCAGCTGAGTGGACAGGGTAAAACCGACGATGGAGCAGAGGGCCAGCACGACGCAAAATATGCGAAAGGAAAAGAAATCTTCCTTGTTCCACACTGTGTAGGACATGAAGACAGAGAGCGAGCCTATGGCACTGAAGAGAGAGCAGTAGAAGTTGAGGCTCGTCCTGTCTCTTGCCGAAACAGCCAGGTCTGCGAGCAAGGCGTTGTGATGGAGGTCGACCATGGTGAGAAAGCTGTCGTACATGCAAAGGCAGAGAAGGAACTGCACACCAGGGATGAGCCCAGGCGACCCAGAAAGCCAGGAAAGAGATGGCAAAGAGAGGGCCATTGTGGCTCAGTGCTCTGAGCCTCTTCAGAACTACTTCTGGGGAGGAAATCTCTGCTCCTGGCCTGCAACAGAAGATAAAAGTTTTAGAGACTTGGACAAAATCCTGCATGACTACGTATTGCTGCTTTCCAAGGAAGTTGTGTAAGTGGCCCAGACGACAATGCAGCTTTTACTCATGTAACAAACACCCACATACAATAAATTCTCATCTAATGTATGAATCCACAGAAAACACAAGTTTAAGGCTGAAAAGCACAAAGGGATCCTTTTTCTCCTGAGCAAGGGGCTCCCTGATAGCGCTGCACTGTCTGCTTCGCATAATGTAAGTTACTTCAAACAACACTTAAGAAGTTTCCACGAGGTGCAGGAAGCCACACCGTGCTTTTCATTAGAAACTTGAAGCAAATAACACAAGAAATGCTAATGACCATCTGTGGTCTGTGATTCAACAATTTTAGGAACAACTGGTTTGATGTATTGCAGGAGGAAAAAGATAGTCCTTTCCCCCAGACTACACACAGACACTTTCCAACACCCCAGTAAAGGGCTTGGGATTTTAGATTATTTTTAGATATTTTAGGTTCTGTACCACTTGTGAATGTTAAGAGTTATGGTCACATCTACTTGGTACATATATGACCCCTTCTACACAGCCAGGTACTGAAACAAGGTGCAAAGAGCTCTGAACTTCTAAGACAGCAGGAAAAGGAGGTATTTAAAGTTTCATTCTCCAGTAACCATTCCCGTGCCACAGTTTTAAAGCTCCCACTTTCACATCTACCCCCGGAGACTCAGCAACTTCCCAACCTCTGCTGGAAGCAGAACTTTACTTACTGCTGCGTGCTCAGGAACACCCTGTCGCTCAGCCAGCCAAACAGAGGGTCATTGAGGCTGTTCCAGATCAGGAACACTGTCTGGGAAAGAAAACAGGATGGTGACACAAACCACAGCAGGAACCCCCAGCGTGCCCTCCCTGCACCACCACCACAGGCCAGTTCCCCTGTCTGGGGAAACTGGCACAAATGCAGTGAGGCCACTGGTTTCCAGGCTTGTGAAACACCCCCGCATCCCCAGAGAAAAGCCTGTCTTAAGAACAAAGTCTCTGGGTTTTCTATTTCATCTCCTTTTCTGTTTGTGTGAAGAAAAAAAAGCTAAAAAAAAAACCAACAAACTAGCACTCAGAAGGCTCCTTTCCCAAAGGAGAATACAGCTAACGCCCCGTACACCAAAAAAATCCACGGCAAAGACTAACCTCCCCTATCCAAAAGGATAGTTTATCGATCTTGTAAACAGAGACGAAGGTGTCCACGTAGTAGAGGAGAAACACGTTGTGCAAAATGGAAACGAACAGTGACAAGGACCCGTAGATCACTGCGGTGGGCAATCGGAAGAGACAAGCCAACAGTCGCAACCCCATGTCGGTGCGGGCGGCGCTCAGCTCCCCGCATCACCTCCATTTCAGGTGGGATGTCTTCCCCCAGCACCTGCTGGGTCTTTCTTGGGGCCAATCCATGGCTGCTCCTGCAGGAGAGAGAAAAAAATAAGTCAATTTCTTAAACAAACAAAAATTGAATCTAATTAATTGATAAATCTTTGCCCGCGAAGATCGGAATTAGTGTTGCTTTGAGGAAGTGGTTGGATGGGGTTTAGGCCAGGAGCTGCCTGCTGCACTGAAGCCACTTCATTAAGGGGAGGCCAAGGGTGGGCTCAGGGGTGCAGCTGCCCCATCCTTTGTACCTCGATGGTCTTTGTCAGCCAGCTGATTAGCTCTTTCCACCTCTTACAGCAAGGTCAGAGGAGGAATCCAGCGAGGAAGCTGAAAACAGCAAAGCAGCCCTAAGGAAACAGCCCCAGTCACTGACATTTTTAGGTACTGATGTTAATTTTCAGCCAAATAAAAGTGACAACAGCCCTGATGTCATCTCTCACAGGCTGCTTTCCCCAGGCAGTCGCAGCTGGCTGCACCTGGGCTCGCTCAGACACCAGTTATTTACGGCGAGCGGTGCTGCTGCTGCTTTGTGGCATGAAGAGACACGACCAGAGCGCGACGGCGTGCAGCAGACACGGTGCCATCACGCCACAAAGGCTCCCAAAAGCCACCTCACAGCTGGACTGCAATAAAGATGCTTTAGCTGGGCAGCAGTATACAGGGAAACTAAACAAGTGGAAAGAGCAGCTTCCACCTGGAGCGACCCAGGAGGAAGCCGTCAGTCTGACCACTTCTGGGCAATATCAGAGAAGCAAAAAATAACTGTCTGCTCTGCCCAGCCCGAGGAATTCCTCGCAATGAGCTCAGCAGGAGCACGCAGCGTTTGTTCCCAGCACTTACGTCGCCGGGCTGAAGCTGCACATCGGCCCCTGCTCCTGGCCAAAACGCCAGACCCCACTTCAGATCCAGCTGCTGAGCCAAAACCCATGGGCAGATAAAAGGGTGACAGCGCTCCCCGGGGAGCTCAGCCAGACAATGAGCGTTTGTAGGTGTAATTAAAGGCAGGCACGCTGACAAGCCTCGAAGAGAAATGGCATTTTGTAGGGTTATGCCCCGAAAAGGAGGCAGGAATTGGTGGTGTGTGGAGATGAAGGTTGAGGAGCAGCAGAGCGGAGCCGGCACAGCTCTGTGCCTCTCACCAGAGCTTCCTACAGGGGAGCAGCTCGAGGGCACATCGAGCTTTTGGGGCACTTTTTGGGGCACCCTCACGAACGGGATGCACACAGGCACCCCTTCTCCTTGGGCTCTGTGAGGATTATTTAGCTCCTGGGTTATTCCTGCAGAGGGACAGGGCTAAGAGGTGGCTGACAAACACATTAAAAAGCCTCCAGGTAGTTGGACACCAGACACATCCCCAGCTGACGTTTCAGACTGATCTCACCCTTCGCTGCCACAGCTCTTTTTTTTTTAAATAATCTCCCTCATCTGTGAGCATGCAGATGAACAGAAGCAAGTTATAGTGGCCCATAAAAAGCGGATTTCGCTCCTCCATCCAGCGTGCTGGCCAGGGTGGTATTTTCATAACCTCCTCCTTGGGACAGACAGAGCGTTAGTCACGGGTTTGTCAAAACGAGGCTTTAAAAAATAGGGGAAAAGGAGCTGTGAGAGGGAACGGCTGGCGTTTATTCACACTGAACTTATAACACACGCTCCTAAAGCAAGGATCTCGTAGATTAGCCTTTATTCACACCATTTCCACATCTGGTGGGGCTACCAGTGCTGCTCGCAGCCCCCTTTCCCGGTTAAAGCCCCCCCAGCAGCACCAGTGCCCATGGCGCCCATCACCCCCCACAGCCCGCTCCCTCACGGCCCCCTCAGCCCCTTCAAGAGGGCGCTACCAGGGGGTATCCCATGGGGGGGGAACCCCCCCGCCGGCCCCGCGTGGGAGCGCCCGGGGGAGCGGGGGCAGGTGGGCGGCCGGGCGCTACCACTGTGCTCGGGGGGGGGGGGGCGCCACCTCCTACCTGCGTCCGGTGCCGGCGCTGCCCCGCCGCTCCGCTGCCCAACCGGCGTCTGCGCATGCGCGCCTAGAGTCCTCCCTCTCCGACCCCACCCCGCCGCCATTTTGCGTCCTGGCGGGTGAAGCCGTCCCCTCGCGCCGCCATCTTGTTTGAGGGCAGCTCGCCGGGACGCGCCCCCTCCGGTTGCCATGGAAACGGTGACGGCCGCGAGGCCTGGCCTAGGCCTAGGCCTGGGCCTACACCGGGCCCGGCTCCCGGGGCTGAACGGCCGAGCCCCGTCAGGGGGCCCCGAAAGGGTCGGGCTGCTCAGCAGAAGGGTGCCGAGACCCCGAGCTGTGGCTCTCAGAGGGTGCTCAGCGTTGCCAACAGCCTGTAAAACACACGGCTTGCCTCTGGTCCCCATCACTCACAATCATCACCCAAGATCCGTTTGATGTTATGTTGTCCAAAATAATAAAAAAATAGAGACTGTGGTTGGTTGTCCGTTGGTTCAATGCTTTCTCCTGAAAGAGGATCTGCACATCGCCTCCCACCTCTCGCTGCAGCAAGTTGCGCTGATCCCACACATCTCACCTGGGGAAACAAAGTCCTAGTTGTTATATTTCTTAAAAAGCACAATTTAGCCATTTCAGCAATCCCTTCAGCATACAACGCTACATAGTTTGTGTTTCATACTCCTTCTTTCAGTTGCACCCTATTACAGAACTGACAGCAGTGCCCTAAACAAGGCGTATTTATAGCCAGGCAGTTAACGACAGCCGTGCAACTACAGGCTGTGCAATTAGCGAGGGGAAGGTGTTGGCCCACCCCACACTGACCCTGCTGCAGCCCTAAAGGCCTGTGGCAGCACAGGTGCTGGCGGTGAGCCCACTGAAGGAGCAGGGGTACAAATACGAGCTCAATCGCTGTCTATGCTAAGTGCTTGTATTCTATTTTTTCCTCTTTGGGGCTTTTCCCTCACTAAAACATGCACCTTGTATTAGGTTGAGCAGACAGGTAAGTTTTCTCAGCCCCCCCCCGAGTGTGCAGCTCTGCAGGAGGGCAGGTTTTGTAGCCCTGGCTACCAGCAGCGAGCTTCTGCAAGGTGTGTCACTGCACCCGTGTGTGTTTGCTCCTGGTGTCCTGTCAGGGTGTGCTGGTGAGAGGAGGCTGCAGGAAGAAAGCTGCCTTTGCGAGGTTGGGTTATCCTGCGGCTCCCGATCCAAGCAAAGGCACCGCCTTGGCTGTTTTTCCTCAGGAAGTGAGTACAAGCACACCAGACGACTGTCTGATCGTGACTAAAGACTTGTGTTGCAATACTTTAAAAGCTGTGATGGCAAAATGATACTGCTGCTAGCTTAAATACTTGCAGTATGAGCATGTAAGTGAGGGTTTCTAACTTTTGTTTGGCTTGAATCCCCAATGCCTTGCTCACCCCTGCACATCCTCTGCTCCTCTGCAGTAGCCCAGCTGGGTCGGAGCAGAGATTCATGCGAGTGCTCCAGCCAGTGACTTTCCTAACATCTCCTGATTGTGAAAGATAATGTAAATTGTTATTGTTGTGTGGTGCTAGGCTTTGAGCACTTTGGTTTTAGAAAAATGACATTTCTCTGAACAATTGCGTTTGTGGAAACACAGGGTTGCATTTTCAATCCCATGTTTTTTTTGTTTTTTTGTTTTTTGTTTTTTTTTTTTAAAAAATCAATAAAGTTGCTTCTAAGCTATGCTCTGTGCTGTTGCAAGGCCATAACAGAAAGTAGCTGGAAGGGGGGGGAGCCCGTGATATAGAGCCCTAGATCAGCAGAAGCTGTGGCTGTTTTCCTTAGGGGTGCAATAAAAGCAGTATTCCCATGGCTATTTTTAGCTCAGAAGCTTGAGCTTAAACTAGAAACACAGTGTGGGTGTTCAAAAATGTGGTGGTGGTGTAACAGAAGCTAGTTTTATACACTGAAGGCATGATATGTAATACAAGCCCAAACTCTGGGTAATCTGTTTGCTGCTCTATCTGGCTGTTGGTCCCATGGAGGATCCAGTGCAAACGAGCTGTGCTTTCCTTGCTTTTTAACAACGTGTCCTCAGTGTAGGGTGCATATTCTCTGGTATTTTTAAGACACGTAACTCAAGTGCAAATGTCTTGTTGTGATATTAGTCAGCAGTGTGTGACAACAGTTGGAGGCGACCGTCTGTGAGCATGAAATCCCTCTGAAGGACCAGGCTGTGTCAGCAGCTCAGGCCTTTAGAGGAAGGCAGGAGGTTCTCCCAAGAAGTCTTCAAGGGCACAAGGCTTGTAATCAAGCAGCTGAGGGAGCAGGATGGTGCAAAAGCACGAAAACAGCGTGCGAAACGTGCTGTTCTGCTGTGCAAACTGTCTGTTTGATAAGGAGGTGCTGGTAGGTAACCGGAGCTAGGCGGGGGAACCAAGGCTGCAGCAGAAAGGTTTGTTTTGGAGGGTGTAAAGTCAACAGCGTTTAACCAGATAATGGCAGGGGAGGCTGAAGCAGCTCTCGCAGGGCAGAACAGTGCAAGGCTGCCCGGACCCTATCAGTAATGCCATGGAAGGCTGAGATCGCCTAGGGAACGGTATCAGAAGTGCCGGACTTGGTTGTGGATGTAGCAAAACTGAGACCAATGAGGAAGAAGTAGTTAGGGGTGGGATGATTACTTGGGAGGAGACCGGCCGGAGGAAGGGAGGCATCCGCATGGCAAAAAAGTGGGTACAGAAATGAATGAAGTAAAAAAGGGAGGTATTAAATGAGATGGAAGAACAAAGGAAGGTGGGACTGCAGGAGTGCAGACACCTACAGGTGGTAGCTGAGCCTGTGGGGCTGCTGGACTCTGTCAGGTCTAGGCTGGAAATATTTGGTGTGGGGGGGATCAGATCAGCACCCTCGCACTGGGTGCTGCGGGAGGGAAGGGAGGCATCTATAATGCACCGGCAGTGCCGTGTGGGTCAGAAAGCTCGATTAGGAGCTTTATGGTTGTGTGCAGACTGATGTAAATAACATGAGTTACGAGCGGTGTGTTAATGAGGTTATCGATTCTCCAGGTGAGTTATTGGTGTGATTAATCTGTAGTGGTCGGTCTCTTCTGTCAGGTGTCCCCAGGCTGCAATCTGGAGTACAGAGAGGGGCTCAGCCAGGGTCTCCCAGCTGGGAAGCCTGAGCAGCTGATAGTGAGATCCCCTGTTTGAAGAAGAGGGGTGTGGATGGAGGAGGTGGATATCAGATGAACTTCTGGGGGTGGATGGGGTGCAGGCTGTGCTGGAACACGGAGAGGGATCCTTAGGCCTGTGAATGTTATGGTGTGCCAAGAAAATGTGCCCTGGGGGAAGGAGGATATGCCACGGAAGGAGAAAAGTGGGGTGTTTATTGCTGTCCTGGCCCCTGCTGTGTTATCTAGCAGCAGGAGGAGTGTGTCAGACAGCCTCACCCCTCCTCTGAGGAGTGCAGGCTGGGTTCTCCTGCCTCGCCAGGCTTTCTGTCCAGAAATATCAAACGACAATCAGCATCGGGAGGCACTGGCGTGTACTGGCTGCCTGCAGGAAGCTGATTGCTGCCTGCATGCACCGTGGCTTTGCAGGAAACTGATTGCTTGCAGGATGAGGCAAGTGTGGGAATCCGTGCCCCTGGATAAAAGTGAAGGTCTGGAAGAGCCCAGCTTGCGGCTGTGTAAGGAGCTGCTGTGCTTTCCTCACATCCCTGCATGCTGCCAGGCACCTCTGGCCGAGCGACAGCATCCCCTCCAGGCAGGCAGCCAGGAGCCCGTGCCTGAAATCAGCCCTGGTGGTAGGGGAGCAGAGCCTGGTGCTGTGCTGGGTGCTTTCTGTGCCCCTTCCCCTCCTCTCCCCCTGCTCCTTCCCAGAAGAAGCCCTTGGGAGGCCTCTCCTGGGTGAGGGTTTATTTTTTTTCCTCTTCCAGAGACCTTGACTAGAGCAAGATCTGATGTTGTCAGTAGGGGGGAAGGAAACGACAAGAAAGTTTTTGCTGCAATCCTCTCCCACGCACAGTTTCCAGCTATAGGGTTGCTGGATAAGCTTGTGGGACTGGCTGTGGAGGGCAGACCTTAGCCCGATGTGCTGGCACCTGTGACGTGAAGGAGTAGCTTTGGTCATAACGTTTCCCTTCCAGAGAAACCCTTGAAGCTTTTCTCGCTCAGTGCTGTTTTCCAAGGGAGGCCTTTGCCAAAGCGTTGCCAGATGGCAGCGGTTCTGCAGAGTCTGCTCAAAAATGTGGGGATTAACTGGAAATAGCCCGTGACTTCATCCCTCCTGGTTCAGGGAAAACTGCTGCTCGCCATACTCCCTGTACCCTTGGGGATTGCTACGGAGAAGTCGCAACAGATCTGTGGGTTTGGGTTTTTTGTTGTTTTTTAGTTCTTTTTGTGGGGTGGGGAGGACAAGGCATGAAGAAGGCCAGGTAGGAGTCTGCAATAACCTGCTTGATGTGCCAGCCGGGCCCAAGAACTCGGCTAATTTTGCTGTGTGGGGTGGACAAAAAGACTTGGTGCCCACACAGGTTTTTTGGCACCCTAGCTCAGCCCTGTGCAGTCTAGCAGGGCTCTGCTCCTGGCTGCGGTCTCCCAAAACCAGCCTCTGGAATGGGAGCAGGCTGAGGGTCCCCAGGAACCATGGACACCATCCCAGGGATGGATCACTCGCCCTGAAACACAGAGGATCCATGGAAATGAGGGATCCTGGTGGTTTTGCTGAACTGGAGCAAAAGATGCACTGAAAATCCTAAGGAAAGACAATTTATTCTGTTTATCTGCCTCATGCTGCCACTTATTCAGCCTGCTTCTGGAGCACATAATGGTGTAAATAATTTCTCTTCCTCCTGTCCTCACAGCTATTGACACTCAGCAGCTGCTCCAGACGGATGTCCCCGCTGTGAGGCCCAGCTCCTGCACCATGTACCAGTCTCCCTTCGTGCCACGGGAGCTCTGCCCACCCGTCATCCCACCGCCCCCCTACACCTACCTGCCCCTACGGACGGGGAGAGAGGAGGCTGCCAGCTCCGTAATGATCCCTGCCGTCCCCATGCACAACTTCTACAGCCGCCCCGTCACCTTCGTGGTGGATAGGAGCAGCTACCCTGACTATGCAGGAGGCCAGGTGGAGTTTCATCACCTCTACGGTGCCTCCCACCCCTATTTCCCCCCCTACTACGCCTGGCAGTTCCCCGCTGTGCTCCCCGTCCCTCTGTGCAGCCCCTACCCCGGCTACAATCCCTACCAGAGAGGGGATCCGTATCGAGAGACGTGGCCGGAGGGCTTCACCATGAGAGGGGAGCTCCAGTGGGGGAAGCTGACGAAGGTGTTTGGGCCGAGGAAAGAGCTGCCGGACTTCGTGAAGGATGATCTCCGGAGGGTTTACGGCACCTACCCGCGGACCAGCATCTCCATAACCTACCGCAAAGGGGAGTTCCTGGTCAAGGGAGACCCTAAGGTAGGAGAACAGGAATATACGGTGGAAAAAAGGGTCGTCCAGAGGGCTGTGACCACCAGCGAGGCAGATGACAGCGGCGAGGACCAGGGTCGGAAGAAGAAAAAGAAACTTAGACGCTGATGTGACCTCTCAGCACAGGGACAGATGCTCCGGAGCCCCCCAGGAGCCAGCTGGCAGCAGCTGGGAAGCACCACGAGCAATGGGTGCCCCCACTGGCTCCCGACTTCTTGTCCTCCACGAGCTTGTGGCAGCTTCACCCCGTCTGGCACACGATGCCTGTCCTGTGGAAAAACCACCTGGCACTTGACTCCCTGTCGGGCCAGCTCTTCGGTCCCGTTTTTGATATGAATTCGCTTCCCACTGGTTTGGGTGAGTGGTCACGGTCTGCTGAGGGGATTCCCAGGCAGCAGCCCTCGCCTAGAAGCTGGGCCTCTTCCCACCCTGTCCCGGGGAGCTTCCTGGAAGCCGGGTCCCTTCCCGGCACTCGTCTGAGGAGATGGGATCTGGATTTCCTCCCAGATGGAGGCAGAGTGGGTTTGGAGGGGAGAGAGAGCAGCTCTTAGGCGCTGTGAAAAGCAATCCTCTGCACATCTCATCACTGATTTATGGCCACGCCACTGTGCCTGTGGTGTGACACTTCCCTACACGCTGGCAGAAGATCTGGGTGTCCCCATCCCCTTACACTTGGTGACCTGCTGCTTCGTGTCTCCTGGCCCTGCGTCCTTGCTGAAATTGCTGGTGAGGCTCCCGGAGCTGCAGCACCTCCACGGATGGGTTCCCCTGGGAGGGGGCCTGAGCTGTGCTGGAAACCCCGAGGGGTGTGAGGGGCTGGGGCCGAGTCTGACCTCCTTGTGAACTCCTGTACCTTTTAGATGATTGTAAATAAACAATAAAAAAAAAATGCAAATAGTTAAATTTCTGCTTTTTAGCTACCTGACAGCGGTCGGCTGCAAACAACCTGCAGCGTGTCCTGGCACCTTTCTGGGAAGTCAGAAGCTCAACACATGCAGCTCATCCCTTCAGCTGGCTCCAAATTTTGCTGGCTTGTAACTGAGCCCCCATCCCCAGTGGGATGCCATGGAAATGTAGCCCCCGACTCATCCATCCTCACAACTTAATTGCTGTGTTTGATGTGCTGTCCAGGCTGCTCTGAGATTCAGCTTTTCCTCCCCATCAGCATGGCAAAGGAGGGAGCCTGGGGGACCCTCGGTGGCTCTGAGCTGCTGCAAGGGGAAAGCAAGCGGGTGCCTTTGTGTAATGCACCAGCTCTGCTTGCTGAAGCAACTGCCAGACCAGCTCAGCAGCTATCTGGATTTCCCCTTCCCCAATCGGTTTCTTCGAAATGGGTGAGCTCTGCTGCTAGATAAAGCAGTGAGAGCCCTGAACCAGAAAAAAAAGTGCTGCAGAAACCTCAGACCGAGCTGCTACTGCCTGGCTGGGCTCTGCTCAGTGACTGGCAGCCGGTCAGGCCTGCCCTGATCACCAGAGTAGAAAAAGAGCAATTCTTAGCTCTTTGCTCTCCCTTGAGCATCCCCAGAGCATCCTTTACATGCAGACGGAGTGATGGTGGTGGGATGTCTGCTGTCCCTCCACCAGCAGCTCCTAGGGGCAAAGTTTGTGTTAGATCCTTGTGGGTGATGCAGCACTCGGGTGGATTTTCTCCCATTTGTGGATTTTTTTTTTTTTTTTCACATCCCTTTAGCTGGTGCAGGTAGGGCTGATAAAGGAGAACGTGGGGTTTGCTTTCTGATGATGATCGGATGCTGCATAAATTGCCAGGACCCGTGTAATTCATCCTAAACGTCACTATTCCAGGCATGCCTGGTACCAGTTTTGCGCCTTTTGCACCCTGTTGTAATGGAAAACATCCCTGAAAGTTGGTGTGGGCAGCCAAAATCTCTCAGAGGCATATGGGGCGACGAAGCTGGTGAGGGGCCTGGAGAGCAAGTCCTATGAGGAGCGGCTGAAGGAGCTGGGCTTGTTCAGCCTAGAGAAGAGGAGGCTCAGGGGTGACCTTATCGCTCTGTATAAGTACATTAAAGGAGGCTGTAGGGAGGTGGGGATTGGCCTGTTCTCCCATGTGCCTGGTGACAGGACGAGGGGGAATGGGCTAAAGTTACGCCAGGGGAGTTTTAGGTTAGATGTTAGGAAGAATTTCTTTACTGAAAGGGTTGTGAGGCACTGGAACGGGCTGCCCAGGGAGGTGGTGGAGTCACCATCCCTGGAAGTCTTCAAAAGACGTTTAGATGTAGAGCTTAGGGATATGGTTTAGTGGGGACTGTTAGTGTTAGGTTAGAGGTTGGACTCGATGATCTTGAGGTCTCTTCCAACCTAGAAATTCTGTGATTCTGTGATTCTGTGATATGAGGGATGGGTGGGAAGAGCCAGTTATCCCCACAAAGCTTTCCCTGACATAACTCTGCCGGGTTCCCCAGGTGCCTGCCAGCAGCCCTCCCTGCCCCAGCTCCCCCAGCCTGTCCTGTCCTGCTGGGGACACCTCTGGGGCTGGTTGGAGGGAGCAGGCACAGCCCGAGGCTTTACCCAGCCCCTTCTGTTTATCTTCTCCCGAGTCGTGTTTGGTTTTGCTGCCCGGACTCTGTACAGGAGATTGCCGGGCACACCCAGGCCCTTGTTCTGACAACCAAGGGGTATTTTTAGCATGGGTTTATGATCATCAGGAGGCAGCGATGTATTTTCCAAAGGGCCATTCTGCTCCCAGATGGAAGAAATGCTTTGTGGTTGGGCTCTTTTTGCCTTTGGGGGAAGCACCCACCATGTAAATCATGCCCAGGTGGCCGTAACTCACCTCCATCCCTACTCGGATCCCCACGTAGGAGCAAAAACTCGCACGTTCCCTGCAGGCACAGCCCTCGGCTGCTCTCTTCTTGGAGATTCGAGGCTTATGTGCTGCCCAGCTGCAGAACTGAATCCATAGGGCATTTGGGGGTGCTCTAACGCCTATGGAATTCAGTTCTCAGAGCCAAGCAGCCAGCGCGCGCTGCCTTCCCGTCGGCCCGCCCGGCTGCGTCTCCATCTGCGGGGAGGAAAAAATAGAAAAGAGCTCACGGTGGTGGTGGTGGTGATGATGACACAGAGCAGGCAGCGAGCTGACACACATTTTGCAGCTGGGAGAGCGAGGAGAGGGCTCTGGCACCTCCTGCTCTGCCCCAGATGCAGCGCACGCAGCTGTGGCTTTATTTGGAAGCGCTGCTCAAGCTGCCTGCTGGATTATTTTTTTTTTTCCCAACGCTTCCACGTGTCACCCTGTCACTTGGAGCTGCTGCGGAGTTTCGTGCCGGCCCTGAGCTCTGTAACCTGCCGGAGCTGGGAGAGAAATGCTGCTTCTTCCAGCTGTGGTGGTTATTTGCAGGTGCCTGAGGAGTCCCGCCTGCATTGCGCACGGGTGGTAATGCAGCGCATCCTCGGTGTAAGCTGCTCTTCCTCTGCTTGCCCCTCTCTCAAAAGGCACAGCAGGGCAGGGGCAGCACTGGGGGGACTGCTCGGTGCTCTCGTCCCCAAACCAGTGCTTGCTGATCCCCCTTGAGCTGGGATGCACGGGCTGCTGGATGGAGACGTGTTGTGCCCGCCTGGGGCTGCGAGAGCCCCCAGGGCAACTCCGCAGCTGGAAATGAAGCAGTGAAAGGCATTTTCCAGGCAGCCAGGTGCCTTCCAGCCAGCTCAGATGCAGCAGATGGGAAGGGTTGGGGCTGGGCTGGGACATCCTGGTGCACCCAGCAGCTACGCGTGCGCCCTTTGCTCCCTGCCAGCCCCACACCTGCTTTGGGAGCAAAGGGGAAAAGCGTGGGGCAGGTGGGGACCCCCGTGAGCTGCTCATTTTCAACCAAACCAGGAGGCTGGGCTGGCAGCTGACAGGCACAGAGAGGAGTTTTTTTGGCTCAGCAGTGCTTTGCCAGGGCTGTGACGGCAGCAGCAGCGCGGGGTGGCCGGAGAGGGAGCGCAGCTGGCAGGGGGCTGCGCGCCGGAGACGAGCCCCCGGCTCTGGAGGATCAGCAGAGGGCCGGGAAATGACAGGCGCGCTTTGGAGCCCCGACAAAGATTTTGGTGGGGGAAATACCCAGCAAATGTCTGCGCCGGGAGCCAGCTCCACGGTTGCTCAACAGCCAGCCTGGGGCTCTATTTTTGTCTGTCCACGGGGAGCCGGGTTCAGCCGGGGCAGCGCGAACCCGCTGAGCCTCCCCTGCTCCCACTGAGCTCACCACGCTGCGGAGGGAGAGGTGGGCTCGGGGACCCTGCTGTGCTATTTTTCAGGCTGCTGTGGCTTGGTAGAGAGGTTTTGATAGCCCTGAGACCCCCCCAAGCTGAGAAATGTGTGGTGATTTCCCCCCTTCCTTCCCCCGGGGATGCTATGGCTGCAGCAGGCTGTTGGGGTCCGGCTGCGGGGTGCTGGTATTCAGCCCCAGGTAGAGACTGGGGGCTTTGGGGTGTGTCCAGGGGCTCCTCGGCCACCTTCTGGCTGTTTAAATATGTTGAAATCCTTTCTGCTTTCATTCCCATGCTGTAAAACTCCTCTCCGATGTGTTTCCCCCAAAGGGCTGCAGGATGCTGCTCCCCAAAGTGCCGGCCACCCGCCCTCAGCCCTTGGCCGCCCCAAGCAGCTCAGCTTCCAGGAACCAAAAGGAAAAGCCTTCCCCAGCCTTCCTCCACATCCTGCTCTTCTCAGAAAGGGGAAGAGCCTCAAGCAGAGGGGTTAACCCCAATGCCCCCGTGGTGCCCGGGGCGGTGTCCCCTTCCCTTGCTGTGCGGCCCCGGGGAGGTGACGGGTGCAGGGGCCGTGCGGGACAGCGCAGGGGCAGCCTGGCACGTGCCCTGCTGTGCCCTGTCCCCCTGCACGCCCGGATGGAGCAGGGCCAGCTCCAGGAAAGCTCTTTTTGGGGTCCTGCCCCTGGGTGCCCATCTCCCGAAGGTCCCGGGTCAGTCTGACCTGGGCGAAATGGGAAGCCTGCAGGGGCTGAGGTGCAAACTCCAGGCTCCGGCTGTTTCCCCTCGCTTGCAAGGTTTATTGCTCTGCGGGGGTTAAGGAAGAAGCAACGCCCCGGTTTTGGCACTGCCAGCTAATTAGCACGGGAGCTACTGATTAGACAGGACGTGCCCAGGGCCGGGCAGCGGTGTCTCGTGGGCGTTCATCCAGCCTGCCTGGCTTTGTCTTCCCAGGAAGCCTGCAGAAATAGTTACAGGCAGCCCCCATCCCGAGTGAAAATATCAGCGGGACGGGTCCACTTTCTCAGCTCACCCAAAAAAATACCGATAAAACCGAGGCTGGGCTGGAGATGCTCGCACCCGTGGGGCTGTGCCCGGCAGTGAAACCTCAGCACATCCATGCTTTGGCTCCCTGGGGACAGCAGCAGCAGGGGCACCCCCCCTCACCCGGCCACACCGGCACCCCCCCGGCCCCGGCAGAGACCCCTGCACTCACCCTCAGCTCCTGCCCCGGCTCCGTCTGTGCCGCCTGCGAGCGGAGGCACTCTAAATATCGCCGCCGACTTACTCACTTCTCTTCCTGGACGGCGGCGTGCAGGGTTTCCACCCACTTCTTTCACCTTTGGTTTCCAGGCTTTCTGAGAAAAGGGGAAGCCGTGGGAGGGAGCGACCGGCATCCCCGTGCCAGGGACGCAGCCTCCGGGAGCTCGCACCCCCCCCCCCCCCGGGAAGGGGGTCCCGGGATGGGGGCCCCCAGGAGCCTCCAGGAGCTTGCTGCATGGTGCTGGGGCTGATATCCACATCACCCACAACTGTGATGAGCGGTGTCCGTCCTCAGCCTGCGGATCCCTGCGCTTTTAACCCCGCAGCATCCCCTCAGCACCTCTCCGGGACGCGTAAAGCACCGCGGCCGGGCAAGTGCCCAGGCAGGGCGAGCGCATGGGCCTGGTGGGGTGGCTTTTCCACCCGGTCACGTTGCCCGGCGTCCTGTTCCTGTCCTGTCCCCCTCTGGCCGCCCCGTGCCCGAGCATTGTTCTGCTCAGAACTGACGTCAGGTCCCCCGGGGCTCCTCTCCACCCGCGGGTTGGAAAGGAGAGGCTGGGGGCATGAGGGGCATGCCCTGCTGCTCCCCGCGGAGCCACACGGGTGTTTAGGCAATATTTGCCCGGTGTTTTCATCTTCTGGGGGCTGTCGGGTGTTTTTGGGGGGCAGGAAGCGCCCGGAAGGCTGCGGGGATGAGATTACCGAGCTGGTTTATCTGCGCCCCGAGCGCGTGATGAGCACTCGGGCTGCAGCCCACGGGTTTATCGTGCGGTGCCCAAAGCGGCCAGCAGCAATGATTTGGGGACCCAATGTGGTCTCCGAGCCCCGGCTCTGCGTGGTCTCAGCCCCACGCCTCCTTCACAGCGGGGATAAGGCTGGATGGGAACTTTGTGAACCTCGATTTCTCCCATTTTCCGAGCAAAGGCAACCTCCAGCAGGTCGAGGCGGGCGTTGTGCAGGGGGACAAGACCCAAGACCCGCTCGCTCCTCCTGAGGCCAGCCAAAACCCCTGGTGGGATGACAGCTCAGCCCCAAAGCAGACTCCAGAGAATCCCACAGAGGCGAAAACATCTTTCATCCTGCCCTTTGGGGTGAGGGATGCAGTGAGCCAGGGGCAGTTTGGACTCAGCAGGTGCCTGATTTGCAGCCTGCTGCTCACAGCCCGCTGCCTGGCGAGCTGTTTTTGCCCCGTGACAGATTTCCTTTGGGACCTTTTTCCCCTCGGCCACACGGATAAAAGCTGGGTGACGTTTCCTGAATCCCCAGGAGTGGGGAGAAACGGAGACAAACAGGGGACACAGAGGGGACTTTGGAGCCATGGAGCCGTCCCCGCACGCCTGCAGCAGTGGAGGAAGCAGGGCAGGGCGGGGGGAAGGGAGTTTCTCGGGTTGTTTTTCCCCTCAAGGTTCCTGTTTCCCCTCCAGCCCCGCTCCACACATACTGGCAGCCCTCCCCGTGCCCCTTGCAGCGGGGAGGAAAAGGGAAAAAAAAGGAACAATTGGGGATGAACTGGGGGAAAACCGCAGGGCTGAGTCACTCCTCGGAGAGCTCCGTGTCCGGGCAAGGTCCCCCCGAGCCCTCCCCGGGGACGGTCACGCTCAGCATCGTCTGCCAGCATCCCTGGCGGGTGTCCATCGCACGGCAGGAAGGTTTCCTGGTGGCCAAAGAAGCAGAAGCGAGAGCGAAGGCGTGCGGAGAGCTGGGGGAAGGCGCTGCTTGGAGAGGAAACGGCACCAAGGGGGGACCCTGGAACCCCAGGGGGATGCGCCCCAAAAGGAGCCTCCCGGCCCAGGGGTGGCTTAGGGTTAATGATAGGACTCGGGGTGGCAGCCTGCGAGGTGGGCTCGCCCCCAGAAATGTCTTGGGGAGCAGGGTGAGCCTGGTGAACCCCCACCTCCAGCCCCCTTGCTGCGGCCCCCAAAAAGTCCGGCTGGTGCTGGGAAGGATTGCGCCATCGTGCTGCTGCTTCCCCACGCTCTGCGCCCAGGGCTGGTGTTTCCCCGAAATGTAAACCCCCCGATGGTCAAAGCCGTGCTCCTGCCAGCCTCGTGTGCATGGCTGGAGCAGGATGGGGCCTGGGATGGGTCCAGATGTGGGACTCGCCCCATGCAGCAGCTCCAAGCTCCTGCACCCCCCTCTAGCGGCAAATCCGAGAGGGTTTTGCCTCTGGGACAGGGGGCACAAGGGGATCCCTCACCCCAATCACCCCCACTTTTGGCCCCCAGTTGGATTTGGGACCACGTTACACGTGCCAGGAGGCTTCTGCCAAGTGTAGGGTGGGCAGCGGGTGTCCCTACACTGGGGAGCACTGCATCATACCCACACCCTGCCACCCAAATCGGGGCTCGCAGGGGGCTCGTCACCCTCCGTACCCCTGTCAGCATCGTGCAGGGGTGCGGGGACTGCATCGTGCAGGTGCTGCGAGGTGCAGGGCTGCAAATCCCCAGGCCGGGAATCGGCACGGCGTCGCTCCCGGAAATCCAGCCGGGGTCCACCCACTGTTTGGAGAGGAAAGCGAGCTGAATCACCCATGTGGGGAAGGAAAATGCTCCGAGCGTGGGCCTCCACAGCTCCCCGGGCAGGTCTGCTGCAGGAGGGGGCACGGGGGGAGCAGCCCGTGGGGTGGCCGAGCCCATCCCAGCCAGCAGCAGTGCTCTGGGGCAGCCCCATGGCATCAGGGATGGGGTCTGGGCTCTTTAGGATCTGGCAGTGATGGGAAGGGCACGTTGCAGGCACCCGCTGCCAGCAGATAAAGGACACTGCAGGCAGCCCCCCTGCACCACCCTGCTGCTTCCCTCCCCGTGCCGTGCCCTGGGCCCTTCAGAAACCTTCAGAAACCCTCCAGGAGCAGCAGGATAGGATGGAAGGGAGGATATGGGGCCGTGGAGCAGTGGTGGCTCTGTGGGGACACGAGAAGCGTGGCTGGGAGCAGGCACTAGAGGGCTGCATGCTCCTGCTCTTGCTGTCAGACTCCAACCAAGCAGCTGGGGATGCTGATGGGTCTGGCAGGGGCTGGGTTACCTGGAGAGAGCTGGGAACTTTGCAGAATTAGCATTTACCCTCTGCATGACCAATATATTTTTTTTTTATCACTTTAATTATGTTTTTCCCAAGCTCTGCTGCTGCCTGAGCAAATTTGCACAGCAGAAAGAGGCAAATTGGGGCTGTGCCCTGTTCCCTGAGCCCTCGGGGGCTGCAGTGGCACAGCACTTGCCCCAGGAAGGCTGCTGAGAAATGGGCATCCCTTTCACTGTAGGACCAGCCGTGATTCTCCTTCCACCCCTCTAAAGTCTGAGCACGCTGAGACACATCTCCAGATCCCACATACGAGCCCGTATTCGCAAGCTTGAGCTTGATTCATCCTGAGCGTGTTTTTGGGGCAGCCCGGTGCCCCACCAGGCGCTGTCCCTGGCCGTGGATGTTTGGCATTTCCATTTTCCTTCCCGTACCTCGAGGTGTGTGGGGTGTTTGAGTCATCTCCCTGCCCTGCCCTGCTGACAGCTGGGGATGGAAACGCTCCCCGTGGAGCCTGCCCCTGCCCTCAGCGCTGGGACAAGCACCCGGTGTGCACTGGGTGTGGGGAAAACGGCGTGAACTCGTTAGGATAAGAGATATTGTGCAGGTATTGCTTGGCGTGCTGATAAAGCAAAGGCAAGGGAAGGAAAAGGCAGCTCTGGAGGCTGCGCTCCCGCAGCAGGAGGGGCCCTTCAGCTTCACTGCTCCGTCAGCACCGGCTCGTGGAGGAGTTCAGAAGGAACCCGAAATCTGATTTGCTTTATATCAGATCAGGCAGGATAATCACGTTTATTTCCCTCGGAAAAACGAAGCTTTCAATTTCAGCCCAGATTAAGAAGTTGTCCTCTGATCTACGTTGCAGGAGACTCTAATTGGGAACAGGAGGTCAGGAGCTTCCCAGGCTGCTTCTTGCACGCCGAACCCTCAGGATTAGCATCTCTGCGTCTCGTGGCATGGAAATAAATCCCGAGAGCTGCTACCTTTGCAAAGACACTCTGGAGCTGAATTGCTTTCTCTCAGCAGTGTTAAACTTTTCTGGAGGGGAAACCCAATCAATACCTGGTTGTGTTGGGTCACTGCAGGTAAATTTGGGACAAGAAAGATGAAAACCAAGTTGTGCCTTTTGAAAGCCTCCTTTTTGGGATCCCTTCTCCTGCCTTTGAGAACATCTACAAGTGGCTCTTGGCCTGCACCAGCAAGGCGAGGATCCTCCTGTGATAAAAGGATTTTGCTAAGGCTCTTTGAGAGACCGCCGTGGTCCCAAAGGGTGAATGTTGGTGGCAGGGTGTCACTGAGCAGGAAAGGAGAGGCAAAGTTATTCCTTTTCTGCCAAAAATGACCTCTTATTGCTGGGTGTGATGGTCTAAGTGGGACCCCTGGCCCACTCACAGGCCGTGCATTTTCTTCATGTTTCTCTTGAAATTAACCATGATTTATGCTCGAGAACGTATTTTCAACAAGACAGATCCGAAGACATCAGGAAATGAGAAACATTTTTCCAGATAGTTTGTTTTATCAGTTAACCACTGGCACTGCTTTCCCCCCCCCCCCCCTTTTTTTTTTTTTTTTTTTTTGTCTGGCTGAAATCCTAAACATTAGTTCCTGTTATGGATATCAGGAGGAATTAAAATGCCCTCTGGTATAGTACAAGTTTTCTTTTCAGAATGTGGGGTACGGTAATTAATTATTTCAGATTTTTTTTTCTCCTGAAAAAGCTGGGATTTGGTGCTTTTGCTGCTGGGAAAAAAGCCATTCCTGCAGATTTCAGCCCTTTTCCAGCAGCATTTTTTTGCCTTCCCTCTCCAGCTCATGTTCCTGCAGCCCTGTAGCGTGGCAGGTCAGGGACCTGACCCTGTTGAAAGTTTTTGCAGCCTCTGGGTTACTTCCAGCTTGCAGTCCGCTTGCTGTAGGGCCGTGTGGTTTGGTGCAGATCCTAGCATGGCTAGGGCTGGGTGGGATGTCACAGCAGTGCCACCTGTGCCATCACGCTGCCACCGAAGCCTCAGGCCAAGAGAAAAGCAAAAGGCCACTGCTTGCCTGGCTTTGTTTCCTTGCCTTCAAAGGGCCACGGCTGCTGTGGCTCTTTGGAGGCAAGGAAACAAAGCCAGCCAGTGGCATCGACGGGGCTGATTGCAGCCTTATCTTTATGAGCTACTCCTCGCCATGAGAAGGAATTAAAGGGAAGTCATTTGGCCCAGCTGAGCCGAGTGTGAGAATAATATAAAAGAACCATTTCTTACCCTTCGTGGGCCATTTAATGGGGCTGAATGTCATGCGTTGTATGACTCAACCCCAATATTTTCTGTTTTAACACAGGAAATGCTTTCCAGGTGAGTTCGCGCAGTGTCATTCCTCACCTAATAAAAAAAATTATTCAAAGCTGTTATGTGAAAATGAAATTTTTGAGTAAAATCCTCTATGACTTAATTCTCTTGTCATAGAAGAGCTACGTTAATAATTAAACAAGATAATTGTAAACCGGGACTATCACCCGATGCCTCGCTGAGTTCCAAACAGTTTCATGACCGAAGACCCTCCGATAACCAAACTCAACTGGTCTGCTGGGAATACCAACCTTGTACCTAGAGACGGAGCTTCTAAGGATTCAAATGTCAACGCAGGGTTACAGAGGGTCACACACGCCCTTCCCAAGGTTTATTTTGTGTTACGCCAGCTCGCCTCAGCTCAGGGCTTGATGTGCTGTGCTGCATGTAGCTGCCTGATTGCCAAGAGGTCTTCACATTTACACACGTTGGTCTTCATATTTACACGTAACTTCCACTGAATGAGCCTCCAGCTAGCACGTGTGCCTCAAACCACTTTCAAAGTTCAGAAATCAACACAATATAACCCTACAGAATGGATAGAGACATAACACAAGGAAGGTGAGTGTGCTGCACTTGCTGCCCTGTGCCTGTAAGAAATTTGTATAACAATATAATCTTAATCCTTAGGAAGGGTATGATGAGATGTTGGCTGTCAAATCCTTGCTGCTGATGCTTTTGGGTTCCTCTTGATCAGCCTAAGCCTGGCTTTTGATCAGATTTGAACCGGTTTTTGGACAGGTCTAATATTTCCTGCAGTGATTTTTATTTATTTATTTTTTTTAATCCTACTAAGAATCTTGCTGCTTTCTCCATCAGTCACAGACAAGCTTGCCCATTTTTTTTTGTCTTTCTTTCAGTATCCTCGTGGCCACAGCTGTCTGTCCCCCCGGGGCAGCAAGAAGAGCACAGGCACATACAGGATGACACAACCTTGTTACTGTCCCGCTGTTATCGGAGCACAGCCCTATCGATGATTTGTTCGTGCTGTGGCCTTATCAGAGCACAGGCTTCACGCTGTAAACACCTCCCCTATCAAGGTTTCACCTTGTTTCGGTTATGTTCTTGGCTGTTCTTCTAGCCCTTGCTCCATTAATGGTTTCTGCTGGTATTCCTCTGCATAACACCTCCAGCGTTTTTTGCTCCGCATTGCTATCTGAGCACCAGCCTTCCTGGGACAGGCAGATGGATGAGGTGTGTCCTGATCCATGGCTTTTTGTAGGCGTGAGGGGGCTCAGGGCCTCTGTGGGAGGAAGCAGCCCCTTCACAGGCTGTTCCACAAACCTTGTTGACACGTTGGTATCAGTGACAAAGCTGAGAGTCTGCAGATTAATACAAAAGCAAGCCGTGAGTACAAGCAGAATTTTGGCTTTGCCTGCTTACTGAATCATTCCACCACAACAATCATGTTTATTTTCCGAAAGCCAGCTGGTATTCCAGGTGTATTTCTGCATATCAGCCTGCCGTTTCTCAATTCAGACATGGGGAGCTCATGAAAATAGCGGTGAGGCGGGCTGAGGGGTTTTACTGCCTGGTTGCACGTCTTGTTTCTGAAATATACTCGTGTCATTCATTTTAACTGGACATCAAATGCCCTGTATCAACTTACTTCTGATGGAGGATGTGATTCTTATTCTCCTTTCCCAGCAAGCACTTTCTAATTATTATTTTTTTTTTCAGGGGATGAGCAGCCTCAACTTCATTAGATCTCTCATGGCAAAAGACAAATAACACTAGAAGCTGATGCAGGGCTCTTCCTCAACCTCTACAAAACACTTCTAAGAGGTTAGGGGCAGCATAATGTGTGAGTCGAAGAAAGGAATGAGGCCTGGCAACTCTGATGAGCTAACTGAATCATCTGACTAATTTCTCTTGCATGTTATGCTGAAAGCACTGTGGAAAAAAAACCACTAAGCTGCTGAAGGAGACCCCCCTTCTCCTTGACTGCTAGCAGTGCGTTGCCACTCATCACTATTTCTGGCATCATTTGAACTTTGTGTCAAGAATGATTAATTTTTTCACAGAAAACATCATCAGCAGGTAGGATGTTTACCAAGAACATAGCACGGCTTTTCTTTGAGAACCTCCGTGGAAAGGTGCCTGCAAGGACAGGAACTGTCTTTGGCAAATGTTACCATGATAGATGTCTGCTGGAGAAGCTGCGGGTGAAATTGCTTTCCATTTTTACTTTAATTTGCTTAAGCTGTGAACCAGGCTATTTCTAGTGCTCATGACAAGGGAATTTAGTGTAGGTAGTTATATGGCTCTGGCGAGTCCTGACACTGATAACTGTCCTGGCACAGGACACTGGTAATTAGAAGTCAGGGATACTGGAGAAGCAAAATAGGTGAAACTTTAACTTTTCCCTGGGTGAAATAGGCTGTAAAAGACGAGTCAATACTTAACAATGTGAAGATAGTTTAATCAGTGGGGAATTTTCCTATTATTGAAACTGTGGTACCATAAATGTTCTCTCCAGATGGTCACTATAATTAAAACGCAGTCTTCTGGCCAGAGAGCTCTGTGTCAGGGTAAGCGTCTGTTTGGTAAAGCAGGTGTAAGCTGCTTCCTGGAATCAGATTCTGAGATTTTGTGGGAAGGGGAGAGATCCTCCAGAAAGATGGAAGAATTGGGAAAACTGGGAATGCCAGTCTGAACACGAGGAGAATCTTCTAAACACCTCCTGCCTCTCTATCCATTCCTCGCCATATACACATTCAAATCTGTCACCTCTTTTTTGTTACTTCCCAGTTTTCCTCATGTGTGCCACGTGATGTATAAAGGGATGCTGAGATGGAGCTGAACATTGACCCAGAAGCCACTGGTAATTCGGTACGACCCACGATATCTGAGAGAACCCCCGTGGTCAGCTTTCCTCTGGATAAAAATGAGTGACTGCATGTGTGAATAATTAAAAAAATATATAATTTACTGTCTGAGTAGTTACCTATTATTAATTTATTACAGCAGCTTAATAAAAGGTATGCTAACAGATATTGATCGATCTGCTTCTCCATAGGCTTGATTGTAAATTGCCTTTTCCCTGATACACAGCACTTAAACTCTAAGAGGGAAGGCTTCTGAAGATGCCTGCCTTTGCCATTGCCCATCACTCTGTGTAATTGCTCAGGGAAGTCTTTTGCAGCCTCACTGCTCGTGTTCTTTGCTGCTGCCTGCCTCTGTTCTGGTACGTAATGTTCTAGGAGAATTTCATGGTCCTCTGCTGCTTCAGGAAAACTTCTCACCCCGATTCCCTTGAGGTAGCACACGGCGATTATAAATGAGTTACCCTTTGCTGTGCCTTTGGTGAGGTCAGGTGTGCTAAAGCAAGGTAGGAATGAACAGACTCGTTAATGGGACAGAAGGTCCCCAGAATGTCAGACAGCGTGATCAGGATAAATGCCATCCACGTGCAAGGACACAAATCCTGACACAAGCTGCTTGAAGAGGAAGTTGGAGTTAATGGTTGAACACGTTATAGCCTCTCGTGAACCCGACACAGGCAGAACCTGCACTTGTTGGGAGTGCTGGTGGTTGTGTTGCCCAATAAAAGTTGTCCAATGAAAGGTTTGGGTTTGTTACCTGCTGTGCAATAAGCCAGCCCAATAAGCATCCTTGGAGGGGATGGGTCTCTTGTTGGGCTGGGATCTCTCAACCTAGGGGCATGATTTTTAATATTATAATGAGGATAGTTTGTGGATAGTTCATGTTACAACACTCCTCATTGGTTTTCAGCCAATTTTTGGGAACAATTTAATTATTAACAAACTCAAGGGCATGTGTGTTGCATTTTTCCTTACAAAATGGTCCTCTTGATGAAATAGTTTCTTAGTTTCATCCTTCAAGGCCTGGGTCATCTGTGCCCTTGCCTTGAAGTACATATTTTACATCTTTTCACATGAAGCCAAGTTAACAAAACAAAATGAACCAGCTACTGGCATCCGCTGGAGTGCACGTCTGAAGGAGGTCTCTCCTGCCCCTCCATCACAGAAAGCCACAGTGGATCTGCAAGGAGAAAGGAAAAATGTTCTTTTTCTACAAAATAACTATGAGGCATAAACTATCTCTGTGGCTTCTGAAATCAAAATGCAGGCTGAAACTCTTCAGGAAATGGAGAATTTTTACAGGATGGTTTCAGCTACCATTGCAAGACTTCAGAAATATTTGGTGTTCCTTGTGTTAAAGTGCTATAAGTTTGCAGTGATTGATGACTTTCTAGAAGATTTGACACAGGAGAAATATACTGATATATTTAAATGAACATTAACCAATTATGAAGTTCAGCTATGCTTTCTGGAGTCTAAACGTAATTATTGTTCACGGACTAGAAATGCTGCTTTGATTATTTCCTCTTTTTTATCTCTTAGACAAAAGCAGATGTGCCCTTTTGGGTTCAGGGCTTTTAACTCTATTTAGAGAGTCTGCCTCAAAATATTATAATAAAGATCACATGGGTGAGTGATATGTTTCAGATGTTGATGGCCCGGGGCCAGCTCAGTGTTGATGGTGGTTGTGTAGCCACTCCATGGGCAAGCCATTTCCCTGCTGGGAACGCAGCGTTCTGCGATGCTTCCTGGTTTTGCTTAAGAAAAGGCATGAGTCATGCTGGAAGGCAATTAAAAAAGAGATGAAACGAAACTGATAGCAAAGGCTGACTTACGCAATGCCCCCGCTCTGGTTCCAAATCTGCTTGTAAAAGTTGGCCAACTTTTTCGGATTTGTAGCTTTTCAAAGTTTCTGCTGATCTACGTTTGTGGGTATTCAGACTGTGTTATGGGAAGAACTAATAGAAATGAGCATCAGTAGAAGGAATGGACATGAGGCAAATTCATTTCCAATTCATTTGAAGCAAGGCTATGAGGTAAGTTTCTAACTTTCGCTTAATTTGGCAAAGGGAATTGTTAGCGGTGAGGTGCTCACAAACTGTCAGGGAGGTAAATTTAAAAAGTAGTTTATTATGATTACTTTCTTGTACCTATACTTCTGTGCATAAGAAGTGCTGTTGCCTATTTATTTGAAGCTAAGGCCTGCTGAAGGGCATGTATTATCCTAAAAAGTGCGTATGTGTGTGCAAGTTTCCCACTGGGGGGATGTCGAACTGAAACCACTACAGCTGTTGCACCTTTATTCTTATTTCCCCTACTGTCCTCAGTGCCATCATATCCTGCCTTCCGCAGTTACTGCATTTCAGGTAGTTGCCCTAAACAAGTTAATAGAAGCGATGTTATTATTTAATGCTGTTCCTTGTGTCTTTGTTGTGGGTGGCTGATGAGAACCAGCTTCACCTTGATATCAGTAGTGCTGGAAGCGGTCTTTCTGTAGAAGCTGCTCAGCGTCTCTGGTTCCTGTAAACTCATAAATACATTCCACGTCTGACTTTTTGGTTGTCTTTTGGGACTGTCTCCAGGTCAGTAACAAATTGCAAGGTTAAAGTATTAAACTGAAAGCTAAAGAAAACGGTTAATTTGTGCTTCCTCACTGTGACATGAAAAATATTTCTGGAATTCTTTGTTGGTAGCACCGGGCATGAAATTTTGCTTTGGCACTTTATTAGACAGTAATTCAAATATGTACAGCAGTATTTTCAAGAAACGATGTGACTGCAAACCCAATTGTTCTCCATTTGTTGTTAGAGCGTGTGCAGGGCAGGCAAAGCACGGAGACAGCAGCGCTCATTATGCAATGGCAGGAAGCTTTTGTTGTACTCTTCTGAGGTTAGGTTGAAGACGTGATGGATGAGATGACTGAAAGCTCTCGGAAAACGGAGGGGCAATGAGTGATGGGGTGGGATGAGAGGAGCTGGAGCACTCAGCAGACACTGAGGCACTTGAGATGCTCCCGCAGCTGTTTCCTATTTCCACTTGTTTTGACTTGTTTTGCTGCTGTGCCTCGTGTTTTGCAGACCTGCCTGAAGGGTGCAGAGACATTTCCCTTCAAGTGGAGCTAGCCAGAGGCTGTGGTCACCTCCACTCTGGGACAAAACACCACAATTCCCGACCACTTTCACCTAAAACTGCCCCAAACCAGCCTTCAGGGTACTGGGACAGGCACAACCCATTATTTCTGCAAAGCAAAGGGCGGGAGCTAGGTGGTATCTGTGTGGTGCTTGCTTTAACCGTTACAGCTACTGCTGTGGGCACGTTTTGGAACTACAGCTAATTTTCACGGCTAATTACGAGGTTAATTTAATGGCCGCGCGCGGACCTGAGCGCGGGCGGCCCCTCACAGCCGCCCCCCCTCCTCCCTCCTGGCCCTGAGGCGGGAACGCCTCGCGCCGGGTGCTGCGCGCCCTCCAATGAGCGAGCGTGGAGCCGCACATAGTCCCGCCCCCGGAGGCTGAGAACCAATGAGAGCCGCGATCCCTTCACACACTCAGCCAATCAGCGACCGAGTTTACACCCTCTCCGTGAGGGCCGCCTGAGGCGCGGGGCCTGTGAGGGCGGCGGCGGCCCCAGGGCTGCGCTGGGCCGGGCCGGGCCCCCCCCGCCATGACCCGGCCGCTGGGCCTGGCGCCGCCATCACCGAGCCCGCCCGCCGCCAACAGGGCCCGGCGCCATTTTAGGCTGGCGGCGGCGGGCAGGGAGGCGGCCCGGGACTGCAGGTAGGGCCGGGGGTGAGGGGGGGGGGAGCAGCGAGGCCTGGTGGGGCCGCAGGGGGAGGGGGGGGGCTGCTGAGGCGCTGGGGGCTGAGGCAGGGGGTGCTGGGGGCAGGCTGTGGGTGTCAAGGCGATGGGACAGCCCCCCTAGGGCAGTGGGTGTGGTGTTGTGCTCAGGGAGTGTTTGGGGGATGCTCAGGGTGTGGGTTTTGGGTGGGTCTGTGTGGAGGAGGTGGGTTCGGTGGGTCTTAATTTGGGCTCTTTCCAAATTTTGGGGTGTTGTGTGAGGCGGCTTTGCTGTGAGGGGGAGCGAGGGCTTGAGCAGGTTGCTCCCTGGGGTCTCCCTCCTTTGGGAACATCAGGTGTGAGTGGGGTTTTGGGCTATAGGTGACCTCCTTTGCTCCCTCCCAGCCTCAGCCGTGCTGCAGGCAGGTGGCCTGGCGCTGTGAGCAAAGACACCGAAGGCTTCTGGTTGTGTTCTGACCGGCATCTTCAGCTCATTGTTCAAACACACGCGTGCTCCCACACGTACCTGTTTCTGTACCCATCCTGCTTCTCACTGTGCGTTGACAAGCCTGGCTGTAGGCTTCAGAGGTTTGGCTGTAAAGAAAGGACTTTGGTTGTCACTGATACAATTCCCCTGCCCCTTCTGCTTGTGAGATGTCCCTTTGGAGAGGTACCGTTAGCGGCATTGTAGCTTGGAATGCTGCAGAATTCCAGAGAATGCAGTGGTGAGCAGGGAGAGTTTTGAGACGTGATGAACCTGTCCATCTACTAGAAATCCTCATTCTGCCATAGACCTGGAAAGGTTTTTCACAGGCTGCCGAATTAAATATGTTTTGCTCCTTTCCTATAAGGCAAGTCATAATTTTCTTATGCCATTAGCAGCACTTTATTGTGTTTCTGCTGAGCCTCTTTTTTTGGTAGCCGTGACCTCTGGAGGAAGTAAAAGTTCTCTTCTTGTCTGTGCTGGTATTTGCCTGTGAAAGTGAAACTACTGCATGAGTTGTGGTTTTGCTGCTCATGAATATTTTAAAATGGTTTTTCTCTGAGGAAAAAAAAAATGCAGTCTGTTATATTTCAGTTGTCCTAAGAAAGAAAGAAACTGAAAGAAAAATTGGGAGGTTTTGTGTGTAACTCTCCTGTTCGTTTTAATTCTGTCACCTCTAGTACTTCTCAAGATGCTTCATTAAAAAAAATTACTAGACCTATTAAAACGATAGCGGAAATCCTCCCGTTATGGTCCTGCTCGTGTAGGAAGTCACGTGCTCTTTTCATGTTTTACAGATATGAAAAGCAGGTTGGAAGGCCCGATGCTTTCTCATGATCCTCCCTGTGCTGCAGCACGTGCTCGCTTGCCCTCCCAGCCCTGTGGTGTTTAAGTTCCCAGTGCGCTTCCTTGACTGCGGTGCCGCAGAGGGGCACTTGAGGAAATTATTGTTGTGGTTTAGCTGGGCAGTCCCCATCCCTTGTGCTTTGAAAATGCAGAATGACAAATGGAAAGTAGAAAATGTTGAGAGGTGAACGCTTAAAAAAGGGTGGTCTAAGGCAAATCACTCTACTCTACTCAAACTTTTAACACCTCCCTCCTTTTGTTTATTCAATGTTGCCTCTGTTTTCAGCGATGTTATGCAAAGCTCTGTGTAACTGGTACAAATACAGTCGTTGTTACAAGGTTCTTTTGTTTTCAGTGAAGGACAGCTGAAAGGACACAGCTGAGATAGGGACTGCGGCAGGGTAAAGGATGGAGAGGATACAGGAGGGCTTGGGCTTGGTTTTGGGTTGTTTTCTCATGGAGGGAAGGAATCTGGGCTGTATCTGAAGGTTTCCTTTGAACAAGTGAGCAGCAGGTTCTTCTGGCTCCAACTTCAGAAACAGTTACCGAGTCTGTGGAAGCACAGAAGCGTAGGGATGCCTGGAAACGTGAGTCTGGAACAAATGTTTTCATCCTCTGTCGTCACTGTTAGACAGCAGGATGGCTTTGAGTGTTTTGGAAGGCACAGCAAGCTTATAAAATATAGAAGAACATCCTAAACAGGTATTTTGCATGTTTTCTCACACCAGTGCCTCTTGTTTGGAACTCAGAGCAAGGTCCAAAGCAGAGGTACGTGTAGCCTTAAATCGTAAGTTTCCATGCTATGTGGAAGAAGGAAGAGACAGCAAGTTTGTAGTTTTTGCGTGCAGGCCAGTATTTTAATACTCAAACTGCACGTTACTCAGACAAGCTGGTCACATCTAGAAGTGAACATTCTCTCACGGGAAATGCCTGCTTGCTTTCAAGTCCCACATGTTTTTGCAAGGAAAAAATATCTCTGATACAAAGCTGTTACTTACCTTGTTGTGCATATGTGCAAATAAGATGGCTGTAGGTGGCTGTTTCTGTTGGAAGCCAGAGGATGCCCTTAATGCGTGCTGGATGCAAGGAATTTGCAGCCCAGCCTGGCACCAGTGGGTGAGAAAAGCACCAAGCATGGTGCGTTTTGGACAAGAAAGAAAGTTATGGAGCTCATTGAATTTAACAACTTGCAGATAGGACTGTGCAGTTCTTGATTGCAATTAATAATGCATTGATGGGGTTTGCTGTTGAGCAGGCCATCCGTCTAATGCTCTAACATCCTCTCCTCAGTCATCTGTAGCTTTATGCTGCTTGTAAAGTTGCTTTTCATGCCAGAGGCTGTCTCAGGCTGAAATTTGAGTACAATTTTTATGAAAATCGTGTAGCTTTGTGCTGCTTTTTAGAATTTTTGTGTGCAATGGAGTGAGAGCTTGATCTTAAATGGGTGATTTTGCCATGTAACCTGTGCCATGTTATTTCATGGAAACTACTTCTGCTTGATCCTCATAAGGCTGTAGAGGAAAAAGTCTCTCAGTTGATAATTCTGCTTTCTGTAGGCTTACTAGAAATCAGTAGCGTAGGTGGTTATAGACAGTTTACACTACACATGTGTGTAGTCTGGTACATAAGAGGTGGCTGTGTTAAGGGGTCTGAGACTGGATTCAGAAGCTATGGAGAGCTGATCCGCTAGGTTGCGGGTGCTGAAAGAGGAGAATCCTGTTCTGTCCACCTTCCTGCTCACCTTTCATTGTGTTGGCTCTGGCCTCTTCCTGAACAAATTCAATGCCTTGATCTGACAGAAGGTGACGTTTCTAGGGGATACCAAGTTGAATAGCTCTTAGTTTAAGCTGGTGGGTAGGTGAGACTTACAGGGTTGGTGAAAGAAGTGGTGTCTGAGAGGGCGCTGGCAACTTGGCTTTGGTAGCCGAGCAGAATAAAGGCTTGAAGGCAATGATTGTGGTGCTTGCTGTGATCTGTCAGAAAGCTGAACTCCAGATTGAACTAACAGCTACTGGCTTTTAAAAAAAGTAAAAGACCTAAAAATAAATCACAGCGTTCTAATTTTATTGCTGTTTACTGTGTGGGCATTTAGATATTGTTCTTCTTAAAAAGTAATATTTGTTTTCTTTTCAGAAACCAGTCTATTAAAGATTTCTTCAAACCAGTTTTAAAACAAGGTAATTATAATATCTCCTATTTTTTTAAAAAAAGTGTGCAAAAGTATAGTCTACTCTTATTCCAAACTGGTGAAGTGATGTAATGGCTATAGCTTACCATGCATGTCAAAATGAGCATGTTTAATTTTTTCTAACATAATTGAAAAACTAAATATTTAAATGAATACATCTAAATAGTGGTGTAATTATTGGTTAGTTATTCTCTCATGCTTCAGCTAAATTGTTAATAGCAACTGCAGCCATGGCATTTTCCAACCTAAATGATTCTGTGATACAATGATGTTTTCTTTGCTCTTTTAGACCTTAGCCATAAGGACAGAAGTGTGTTGTGCTCCTCAGATGTGACATATCTAAAAGATGCAGGAAATGGACTGCCGGTTTTAAGTGCTGAACGTTTTGAGAAGAAAATATCTTCTGCAAAGAAGGTTAAACGAAAAAAGATGCCAGACCAAACGCCAAACACGAGTCCTGTGTTAGATGCCTTTCGGAGAGGAATTAAGGAGAAAAGAGGCAACATGGACATGCTGGAGAACAACGGAGCGTGCAAGTCACTGGGTTCTGTATACCCAAGAGTTGTGGTTCGAAAACTCCTTGTTAACTCAGGTTCTCCCAAATGTCTCTTGGCCAAAAATGATAAAGCTATCAAGACAGACCAGGGAAAAAATGAGAAGTATCTGGGTGTAACAAGAACACCATTGTCTTGCGGAAATTGTTGGGAACAGGAAACTGATTTTATGGATCTAGAAGAGACCAGTTCAGACTCTAACAAATGGATTTCATTGCCACAAGCTGATGCTCAGAAAGCCTGTGCTCAAAATAATGACAACACGTTATTGTGTCAGAACTTGGGGCTTCCCACGAACTTGCCATGCACTTCACCTGACTCCACATTGAGGTTAGCACTGGGAACTCTGCACAGAGAAAGAAAGCGTAAGAAACGTAGAGTCAAACGATCTAAGGCGCAGCCTGTAATGCTGATCTCAGGAACAAGTGTGTCACATCAGGTGTGTTTAAAAACATTGTTAAGGCTTGACAGCAGTGACCATTGTGCATGCCTTCTTTGTCTGTCTTTCTTTTTTTTAACGTCGAGTGAAATTCTGGGCACTGCCTCTTTGAGTTGTAACAAAATCCATGCTCTTTTGCTGTTCTTTAAAAGTGTGCTCATGCTTGGGTAAGCTGTTTCATAACTATTTTTCAATAAATGAGAAATTCGCTGGCTGAAGAGCAAGGGAGATGGGCTGGTTTAGATGCGAGCATGAAGATGCAATGCAATTTAAACGGTAATTATTTTGTAGAAAAAATGTCTTACTAAAAATGATCTTTCCTTTTTCACTACAGTGTAGTGTAGGGAACAGATGGGCAATTATCTACTAGTTAGGAGTTGCAGTGAGTAGCCGTTCAGATTTATGCACTTAAGCCACAGTACTTGGGTAGAGGTGGGAGTGATCCTGTTAAGTATGTGATATTTCATTACACATTTAATTATTTTTTTCTTTTACCAATCAGGATAGCCCTTTAGAGGGTAGGTAATTACTTGAAAGGATGATCATTGTGTGCCTCCATAATATGTTATGAATTAATAAAAGAAATTATTAAGCTTGTTTCCTTTTTCTCATTAGCACTCCTCCTGTATTTGCTTGTCAGTACTTACTATTGCTTTGTTATTAAAGTTCCTAATGGATTGTTTTGGGAAAGGCTAGCTAGCCTGTTACCAAATAGCCCAGGGAGGCAAGTGGCTAATGGCACTCATTATTACTGAAAGTGGGGAGATACAGAAAGAGAAGCCAGTCTGAATAAAAAGCCCTAAAATTAGGGTTTGGGGGAGGAGTCCTCTTGTCAAGATCTTTGCAGCAGTGTTTTAAGTTTGTCTGGAAATGAAGTATATTCTCATATTTCTGAGGGTGTGTGGAACTGAGCCTGTGCTGGACTTGATGCTTGGCTCAGGACATCAACATCCTATTTTTAAAAGTATGCAATTAACTTTTTATCTTCTCTGATTTTGTTTTTAGGAAAATGGATATCAGTTAAGAAACATAACACATTCTGGTTCAGGGGAGGCTGCCTCAGGTAGTGCTGATAATATTTAATTATAATTGAGCAATCAAGTCCATCACTTAATGTCTTTTTAAAGTGCTTTTTAAAGTTATGTTTATTTTACATGTATGTAGTTAAAACATATTCTTCAGCTTTTGATAGGTATTCTGACAGTTCAGTGCAAGAAATATGAAGGTGAAGGTTACTTGATAAAGAGGGTTATTTTGGTAGTGTGATTCAGGTGACTGGGACAGTTCTTGTACAATTTCATAGGTTTGAACAGTAGTGACAGTGGTTAGAAGTGGTTTGTAACTAGATAAAGGAAGCAGATTTAAGATACTTTTCAGAAGTGTTGTGAGTTTGCTATAAGGAGTAAATCTACTTAAATTTCCCTGTCAAAAATTATTACTGCTATATAGTCAAGGTTATTTCTAATACATGGCAAGCTTGATGAGTAAATTGGGACCATTTAGTGAAAAACAGATTGTTAATCACTTAATTAAAAGTGATCTCTTTTTGTCTTAATCCCTGATATTTTTTTTTTTATAGTATATCTTGCATTTTGGAACATCTATCTTCACTGTGGTGACTAACAAAATTTGAAATTCAGATTAAATAACAGTAACAAAAAAATCCAACCACAACATTATTCTTATTGAACAGAATGGTAAAATTCAGGCAGTATTGTTGTTTTCTTTGCCCTTTTTAACCATATAATTTTCTCTATGATAAGTAGAACTACTGTAGTGTTCTACTGTAGGTGCTGAGCTGCTTTTAAAATAAAAGGACTTAATTTCATTTTCAAGTTCATAAAGGTGACAATCTAAGAGTACAGTGTAGAGTGAATCTTAACTGCAGTCTTCAGTGTTCAAGCAGAATTGAAATGTTTTTCCTGGTCAGTAATTTCAGACATAGCACAGTTTAAAAATGTAAGTTACTTGTTTTTAAAGGGTAGACTGTTACAATTTTGACTGTTTTTTAGAACGGTGGTTTACTTTTTCTTAAACGTTTTTCGTAGATGACCCAACCCAACTGAAGCAGTTTCAAACACATGATACTCTCAGTGAATTTGGAGATGATACCTCATCCAAGAAAGCTGCCAGTACGTGGGAAAGCCAGTCTGTTCCATCAGCCTATCTTCAATCTAATTCGTCTTCTGGGCCATCCAAACAAATCGGCTGTCCTGGGAAAAGAAAACATTCTGTGATGAGCGTGGATGCAAACGGTTCTGAAGTAACAGGTTTGAGCGACCCTGCTTTCAACTGGTCACCTCAAAAAAGCAAAAGTAGGAAGTCTGCTTTTGTTAAAAACGTTGGCTTAAAGTCTCTTTCTAGTGGTGTTCTGCAGCTAACGGAGGTTACTGCTCTACCTGGACCTCATTCTGCTTATTCAGAGGAATACCCAGAGGATGTCTCAAGGAATGAAAATGAGAAAAATAATTACTCCTCGGTAGATTTGTCATCATTTTCTGCACAGAGTCCTAATGAAAATAACCAAGTTTCTCTTGTGGATACCAAAGAGAATCAATTGCAGGTGGCCAACTCTCACTCTTTCTTGGAAAAGTCCCTTCCTTCTCAGGAGAAAAGTACTGTGTTGCCTTCCCTACACCACATAGCACAAAGAGAAGCTGTATTCACAAAAGCCGTGAAGCCTCAATGCCACATGGCTGGCTTACCTTGGGTGTTAGACGCTAAGATGGAGCAAGATGGGAAAAGACCAGAAAGACTCAATAGAGCTGATGATGTAGAACCCAGCAACGTTTTTTCAAAACCAGAAGAAAATAGTTCAGAAAATGCTTCCGATTTTTGTTTGGTGAAAGGTTCAGGGAAACTTTCAGGCTCAGAAGAGACTGACGAAGGACTTCCCTGTTTGTTGCCTTTTGAAGAAGAGTCCGAGGACAGCAACCATGCCTCTTCACAACTCTCACAAGAGTTAAAAGTTGAAAGCACCTGTTCAGAGATGTTCAAGGTGAACGGAAAATCAAAAATCAGCTTTGATAGTGAAGATGAGAGTTTGGGATGTGCTCTAGATGATGATGATGATGAAGAACCATTCGTGACACTGCAAGAAATCTTGTCTGCAACTCCCAAGCCACAGACAGAAGCTTCGGAAGGAGACTGTTCAGACAGTTTTTCTCAGGACACTGTGGCTCCATTGCTGAAACTTCATGTAAGTGGCTGAAACAAGCAAACAAAGAACCATTGTATCAGGTTACGTTGCCCGTTTTGGTACGACTCTTTTCCTTTAACTGAGTTTTCATGCATTAAGAATATTTGCCTGTGAAACTGGTGGCTGAGCTTACTTGAGGGTCCTATGCTGCAACGGTGGAATTTTGTCAGTTAGAGGGTGCTTTTTATTGTTTTTGCCGTTGGCATGGCTGAAAGATGGTTTGTGCAGCTGGATTGCGTGAGCTGGATTGCCATCAGCGTTTTTTCAGGAGTTCTGGCTTTGCATTTTTCCCCTAAAGAAAAAGGGGAGAGGTTACACTTAGAAGATGTGTGGGGTCTAATGTTTTCAACTTTCTGATGGGGCAAGGTACTTATGAGTTGAAGTTAAGGAGAGGAAATTGATCTGTCCATTGAGAGATCTGTGCTAGACTGCAACAATATATCCTTGTCACAGTTTGTGATCTGTCAGGAAGCTGTGTGTAAGTTCTTGGTCTGTGTGAGGTATTTTCCTTGAGGTTGAATTTCATGGAAATTGGAAGTACTTTTAGAAAGGATTTCAGAAAGCTGAATGATTTGTGTTCATAGGGGATAGATGAAGAAGTATTTAACTACCAGTTTACAGGATATTATGGTGATGAACTGATTTATTTTTAAAAGTTAACCTATTTGGTCAATTACAGCATGTCAAAAGTTGTTGGTTTTGCAGGTTTATTGTAAAAGAATAGTTTAGTTAGGAAAGTCCTATACTAGGACTTAGCGTAGCGTTCCTTACAAAGCAGATACGGGTTGGAAATGGCTGTACTTAAGTGGATCTGGTGGGGATGGAGTTAAATTTTTTGCAGAGCAGCCTGTGTTTTGGTGCTTTGTATTTGTGGCTAAAACAGTGTTGATAAGACACTAGGTTTTGGCTACTGCTAAATAGTGCTTGCACAGCTGACCGAAGGGATATTTCCAGTGCTGCATCGTGTCATGTTCAGCAATAAACCAAAAGGTGGCGGGGAGCTTCTGGCAGGTAGCCACGAAGCCACTGCTTGGAGACGAGCCGGCTATCAGTCTGCTTGGGGGAGGTGGTGAGCGAGTGCCATTTGCGTCAATTTTGTTTTCTTCCCTCTCTTTTCACTTACTAAACTGTCATTATCCAGCTCCATGATTTTCTTGCTTTTGTTCTTTCTGTTTTCTCCCTGGTACCACTGGGAGGGAGGAATGAGCAGGCTTTGTGGTGCTGAGCTGCTGGCTGGGATCAGCCCACTAGTTTCAGCAAACAAACCTGTTGTTAGCAGAATGCCCGTATAAATACAGCTCCTTGTCCCCTTCTCCCATTTATAAATCTCTGAAATGGTTTATTTTGCTGATTGAATTTCTTTTAAAAAGTATTTCCATAGGCAGGTGTTGAACAGCCACAATTATTTTATCTGTCCTTACCATTAATTATGCAAGCACATTATAGATCAGGCTTTTGTGGTTACATACATACCCAGTCTTAACCAACAGGGCTGTGTAATTAATGGTTAAGAATGGTAAACAGATGCAGTCTAGATCAACTTTTTGTGGAACATGTATGACCACAGCATTTGGCTTATCCTGTTTGTACTAATTCATGACCAACAGGCACAAAACAATTGAACTGTCCCAAAAATTCCACGAGCATGGTTTTTGCATGTACTAGCGTTCTTATCCTTTTTTGTAAGAGGGGGCATATGTAAAACTGGATGCAATCTTTAACACGCCCCAACCAAACAACTAAGGAATAAACAGATATAAAGTAAGGTAAGAGGGCTTCAACCTACCCACAAAATTTCCCCACAAAGATATTCTGATTGTTACATTTGAAGGATATCTCTAGGCAAGGGTGAGAGTGACAAAGATGTGCTGAATCATTTTAGGAGTTTGTCTCATGCACAAGAAAGGGGATTCCCAGCATCTCGGTGGATAGTGATAAGCTGTGAAGCACCAGGCTTCTGTTGCTAACACTGTTCATGAAGGTTAGCTGGAGGTTGGCCCCAGGGAGAGAAGAAGACTTGCTTTGCCGTTCAGATCCATTGTGAAGCATAATTATTTCTAAATTAATCACAGAGAGAGATTTAGTAATTAATGGAAAACTATCGAGGAATTGAGAAACCCCGTTAGTTGTCCAGCTTTACTGGGTCTCCTTTGATTTTCATTTTTTAATTATTAATTTTTACCTTCAGCTAAAATATCTTAAAATATGAAGAGATTCATATTTTGACCATATTTGTTGCCTAATAGTGAATCAATTGGTAGTTTGTGGTATTTCATAAATATCTTATTACTTCATTTACAGCTTTCTAAGACTCCTGTTGTTAGCCAGGTGTCATATGTGAACAGCTTGGAACATCTCTTGAAGGAGAAAGAAGAATCTAAAAGGTTTGTTTCTTAAAGCTGCCTTAAAATTTGGTACAAAGTTGTGGATGCTTAGATTTACCTTGTCTCCCCAAAGTGATGGGGTTTGGGTAGCAGCACACTAAGCTTTGCCTGCTGGTACCACTAACATATGTCTGATGGAACCTACCAGTGTGGCTTAACTCTGAAAGCTGAGTGACAGGCTCCTTGCAAGCAGTAATGAGTGGTTTGTGATTAATCTGTCTACCCCACAAGAGCTGGACTAAATTTACTAATGCTGTTGTTGCAGGTCACTGAGCCAGCTAACAGCTGCTAGTCAGGCATTAAATAAGAGTATTTCTGTAGACTGATTATGCTAGTTCCTTCAAAATCATTCGTAGCTTAGTTTTGGTTTCCAGAGTTGTGTAGACTGACAGTATCCAAGTAGTTACACAATTCAGAACTAATACATGCTCTTGGAAGAGATCTTTCAGGTAAAAAGGAATGTGGTATGTGTACTAATGGCAATCAGCAGTGAGTATATTCTTTTTTTTTGTAAAGAATCTGTCCCTAGTTAACAGTGAACCGACTAGCAACATAGCGGCTGCTTCTATAACTGACACTATTTAACGAATAATATGCTAGCATTAAGCTTTACAAAATAAAAATCTAGGAGATACAAAGTTTTTTGCAGTTGCAGAAAAAAAAAAATGTCAGCAGCTGGTCTGAGTGCCTTTGTCTCTCACAAACTACTGACTGAGTGCGGTTGGAAATTCATTAGGCATTGGGAAACATGAACTTTGTATCTTGGACTAGCAATATGCTTGTTCTGTTACACAGATACAATGTCTTGTATGCTTTTGCCCTGCTTAGTGAGCTACTGGCCCCTGGGTTTGGGAGCTTGATTCTTGTTTCCTTCTGTTGTAGATACTACATGGTGATGATATGTTTTGCTGTTATTGTTATTTCAGATTAGATGAACTAGAAAAATTGTTACAAGAAAACATACAAGAAAAGGAAACTGATTCTTCAGATAGAGAAGATGAGAATGTCACAGATGAAGACCTCTCAGAAGAACACAGGTCCTTCCTATTCATAAACCAATTAAACCTAGTTCTTCACTTTGTTTTCCTTGCCTTTTTTTCCTAATCTCTCTCTCATTCCATCAGTTGTTGCTAATGTGTCTAGTTTGAACCGATTTATCTTTTAGGGTTGTGTGGATTTTCTTAGATGTTACTGTATTATAATCTAACTCTACCTTCATATGCAGTTGATGTGTTCGTCATCTTAAAATGACTCTCAAACAGCACATGGCCTCTCCTTGAAATTCATAAAAGTATTTTTTTAATTTTGTAGGGCGTTTATAAAGAGATTTTCATTAACAGCTCGTGCCATACCTGACTACCACCCTGGAGAAGACATATTTGATTTAACAGTCTCTGGGAAAATCTTCAATCAACATGACCTTGACTTGAGGAATTTTTATTTCATCCCTCAAAATCCTATAGAAAAACTCCTCCTTAGGTAAGAACATCCTCTTCATTCTGTTGTGTTTACTTGTAAGATTTTCATAAATGCTAAAAGTTTTTAAGATCAAATAGTATCTTTGCATACAAATGAACTCATTCTTACAAAGTAGGCAAGACTGACTCTTTTTTCCTGTAATTCTGCTTTCCAGATTAGCTTCATAGAACAGTGAATAGTTACTTGAACCTTCTTTCTTTACTCCTCAAATTTTTGAAAAAACATATTAATTGAGGCATCAGGGGAAGGGGGGAGGAAAAAAGTGTCCTGACCTCTTCCATATTTTTGTTGCGTTGGGCTATCGCTGGTAATCTGACAGATTTGTGGAAGATGAGTGCAGAACTGAAATATTAGGATGAACAAAAGCTTAAATATCTCAGATGGATGGTCACAAAGGTCCTCTTTCTAATGTTATGTCTGCTGAAAACCTTCTGTGTTGAATGACCCTGGGACTTAAGATTCCACATAATCGGGATTGCAGGAAGTTACAGTTTACGGCATCTGTTAGATTCAGTCAGCGAGCTAAGTGTTTATATATGCACAGACACAACTGTTATATAACTGGTGGAGATTTGTGGTCCATTTTATGAGGCTGTCAGACTACAGATAGATGGACGATTTTTCTAATCCACAAGTGCAAATCCTAAAAGTAATTCCACTGATTTCAGTTGGTATTTTACTCTGAACTTGCATCAGTGAAACTGAGGGAGCTGTAAACATTTGTATATTTTGTTGTGGCTGTAAGGAGGGGGGTGGTTTCTCCTTGTCTCCTGAGGAAGTCGGGCTTGTGATAAACTCCTCTGGCTTCAGGCCTCTTTATTAATATGTGAAGGTCACAGGGATGCAAGCTCTAAGAAATATCTTGTAAATCAGTGACTGGAGGAATGAGAATTAAATGAATTGTCCCTTGCAAAATGCAGTTATGATTTAATTGCTTTGGTGTTCTGAAACCATCCAGCTGGCACATACTGGCTGCCCAGCTGACACATGGATGTCTTCCTAGCTGCTTCGTTGGTCAGGCGGGTAGATGGATGGGATATGGAGAAGCGAGGAGGCAGGTCTCACAACAGAGCTACCTGTTCTAGTAGATACTGAGAACAGAGGAGCCTAAACAGGGGTACATGGTAAATTGGGTATCTAATTCAGCTGCTTATGGCACACACTACTTGCTAAGGAAGATTTCAACTAAAAGAACTTACTACTAAATCATACAGAGTTCTGCACCTCGCAAATTTGCCTAGCAAGATGAGACCATTTGATTTTATTTGCTTCATTTTGCCTCTAGGTTATTTGAAAGATTCTTCAAAAAAAATGAGAATTCAAGAAATTTGAAATGTTTTTTCTCTTTTCCTGTAAGAGTTTGTAAAGGTCATTGTCAGTAAAAAAGCAAATAAAATAAAAATTTGGTATCTTATTCGCTAATCTGACAGAGCCCATCTGTGTAGACAGGAATAATGATTCATAATACAATAGCGTAAATCCATGTTTGTTTGAAGCCATTTTAATTGTGAAACTGTTGATTCAACCAATAATGGATTTTTCTCCTTTTTCTCCCACCCCATCTTTGTCTTACAGTTCTGATGTAACACAGCAGCTTTTTCTAGCTCTTCATGGTTTTCTAAGTTCTGCTTACAGTTGTAGCTTGTGTCCTGCACCAATTCTGAAGTGGCTTTTCCAGGTAAGACCACACTGTTCTGCAGTTACACTCTGTCAGGTAGAATATTCTTCCTAGAAGCCAGCTGTTGTGGAAGTAATCAACAGAAGTTTGTGAATCTGTTGCATTTTTTGAGCAATTTTTTGATCAAAATGCCTTCTTTTTTGGGTTCTGGTTTGTTCTGCAGACTACCTTGACTGTCACTAGTGATAAAAGGCTTTTTCCATGCTTTTCTCCACACTTAGAGTGGCTGTAAAGCTTCCTGTCCATCTTTGTGTGGTATTTCATCTGAAAAAAGCTCAGCACGTGCTAGGTGAGAGGATATTTTGGGATGCTCATAATGTGGGCCACATCAGAAGCAAATATGTATCTGTTTCCTTCCCCACACACAAAAAAAAAGTACATGCTGTAGTATGTACCTTATATATCTAAATACGAGCATTATCAGAATTTTTATTCTGAAACAGTCAATGTGCATTATGGCTCAGGAAAAAAAAAGTAGAGATGCTGTCAAAGGAAATATTGTGGCTGTCTTCTTTCTAGATGCCTGTGCTGGTACCCAAGTCCCCAGGGAATGTGCATTGTTCTGTTACTCACAAAATGCCCATTTCCTATCTTCACTCCCTTATTACTTACCGCTTTCTGACTGTGCCTGAAATGAATAGTAAAGATGGACTGCCTGCAAAATTGCAGCCTGGGTCTGATGACTCCCTTTCTGCTTTTGCCAAAAGGAAAACGTTTTTGTTTTCCATCTCTTTCTCTCCCGCTAGGAAAGTACTGCCTTCCTTTCTTACGTGAGCTCTGGCGTTCTTCTGATAAGGTGGAAGGGTGAGCCAGTTCGGTTTGCCCACAGAGCACAAAACTGTCCAGCACTTGGGGGAGAAGAAGAGGAGGTTTTGCTGGCCTGGTGAAATGTCAGGGAGTGTGACGTGTATTTCATCATATTCTTGTAGTTAATAATTAATCGTTTTGGTGTAGTCTTGCCCGTGTTCTACTTACCTGCAACTGAAAAAAGTTGAGTTCAATGCTCAGTTGCCCTCACTTCTGATGATGGAGTTCAGTTTGATCACGGATACAACAGGTTCCAAAAGGACAGCTAATAATTCATTCCTCTAATCCTCAGTACATTCTTAAGAACAGACTTTCAACACAGGGTTGCAGTTTTTCTGATACTGTGAATAATTACTTTAAAAGCATTCACAGAATGTGTATACTGCTTGAAATACTGCTGGAAATCATAATAGTCCGTTCTCTCTGATGTACTATGCATTAGAGAATTTGGTATTTATTTTCTGTTTTTTTCTTTTAATTTTAACGAAGAGTTGTGTTTTTTTTTTTTTTTTAAAGAAAAATGTTATCTGGCAACTTGATGTTTGACTCATAGCTTTTTTTTTTTTCCCTCCACAGATGATGTCTGTTCATCCTGGCTATTGTGTTTCCTTGCAGATTTTAAACAGTTTGATGGAAATAACAGTAAAAAATGGTGAGTATTTGAGGGATGGAAGACTGACCATCTAAACAAAGGTATTTCCCTTCCATGAAGTATAGGAAGGTGTTGGGAAGGAAGGAAAAAGCACAGGCTCTGTCTTGTAATTCTGGCGTGAATTTAAGTTCTTCTAGCCTTTGTGCATTATGTAAGTAACAGGAATTGGTCTTCACTGAGTTTGTGCAAGCTGCTCACAGGGAGTGGTCCTGGCATATATTTGCAAATGTGTACATCCAGTACAGAACCTTTTAAACACGCTTCTGTTCTTTCACAAATGGAACTGATCTAAGGAGGAGCCCGGTCTGCTCAAGTTCACTCTCCTTCCCATCTTTCTCTTCAGAAGATGCAGACATTCATTTCATAAATTAAGAACTACAAGGTGGTTTTCACATAGTCATACTCAGTATGTAGCAGTGCGTGGTTTACTTTCCAAATAAATGGCAAAAGTGAGAGGAGCTATACACTTCCATGTAAATATTTACAAGGGTCTGGTTCAGCCTACGCTGTTGCTTGTTTCCTGTGCGTTTTGCCTTCCTTCATCTGTACTCTGAGCTGCTTCAGTACCAGTTGCTTTATGTGTTCTCAGTGTCTTTGTTCAGATCCATCAGTCACTCTTTAAATTAACAGTTAACATCATTAAAGTAATCAAGATCATTTGACATTCTTGGGCAGTTCTATTGAAATTGGTCTACTTATTCTGAATCTTGTTTGAAACAGGACTGTGAGCTGATATAAGAGGAAATGTAGCCTCCTTTATTTTTTGCTTTGTTGACTTTAAGCTCGTTTCAGAATGAACAATTCAAGCTGATCAGTGAGCATTCAAAGAATTAAGACTAGGAGAGATCTTAGCCCATCTCTGACTTATGTATCTACCTTAAGCAGGATCAAATAGGCTACAGTTGCTCCTGAAAAGTTTGTCTAACTACAAAATTGCAAACTGTGGAGTCTCCCAACTGTTCTGAGATGTTCTGTTCTGGTGCTTAACTAAGGATGCTTTATTAAAAAAAAAAAAAAGGGAAAAAAAGAAACATCAATAAAACAAACAAAACACCAAAAGAAAATGAGGAACACTTGAATTGAACGTTGAGATCTGAACTTGCAGTGTCTTGAGTGATACTGTTTTATTATATTTGCCTTTTTTGTTCTTAAAGAATTAACCCTGAGAGAGGATTGACCCAATTCAAAATTCTAGTGACTTCTGTCATTGTTTGGAAAACACTGCATCGAGTTTGTCACCTTGCTAGTTTGTATCCTATACAGAATCCTGTGTACAGTTTGCAGCTGTTCAGATGTGAGTCGTGATACAGATCAGCTTTTTGCAATGAGCATTTTTGCTTACCTCAATCAGTGAATTCCTTGTATTTTGCACTTCTGTTCTGAAAACCTTCCCTGTCTTGAAAGTGGAGATAAGATTTTAGTCCCATTATAACACCCTCTTACCTCTACCTACACAGAACAGTAATTTATCTGTTCTCTTAAAAGTAAAATCTTGCCTTCTTGCTTGTTCTACTGTATGTGGTGAGAGACAGCTGTGAGAGAAAATGGGTGGAATCTTAAAGTAATTTACCTGTTACATAGGAAAGATGTTTCTTAAGTGTAAAATACTGCGCAAGACTACCCCTCACACTATAGTTCTGAAAATAACAGCAATTTTTCTGAGATTAGAGCTGGTAGAATTGATGCAAACAGCTGAATGTATTTGCTTCCCTGAAAAGGAACTAATGTTAAGAACTAAATTTCAACTAATCCATTCCATATCTTTTACTTGTAGCTTCCATCAGCGATGAACAGTCTAAACCCTGGATACCTTCACTAGCTGATGTGTCAACTGTTTTTGTCAATATGGGTGTTACATTTGCGTCTCTCTTTCCATTGGAGCATCTGCAGCCCAACTTTAATGAGTGTGATATTTTGTAAGTGTTTTCATTTTGACACCTATTGCTTAGATCCTGTGAAAGCAGGTCTTGTGTTCAGAATGTAGAATCAGAAGGTTTTTCTTTATTTTCCCCTATTCTGTCTCCTTACATTCTAAACTTAGGTATTCATAGAATAAATAAGCCAGAGTTTAAAACAGTTCCTGCCAGGTAAGGATTCAGCAAATCAGAGTATTGTTCTTTGTCCTACAACTGTCTAACGGGTATTAACTTGAATTGTTGCCTAAACAGCTGGGCAGCATTGTAACTAATTGGTTATAAGTTTAAGACGTGCTCTGTAGCTGGGGATAGTTCTGATTTGAAGGTGTTTAAACCATGCTGGTTTCTCCTTCGGTTTGATGCAAATAAGCCTTTGTGGGCTTTTAAATTGTTGATTGCTCAGATTAGCATCTCTTTCATTAGGAGTCAGATGCAAGGAACAGTGAACAAACAACAACCAAGAGAATCTCTTTCCTCTGCCAGTCCAGCCTTCGCCAGTCTACCAGAAAACAATCTAATGAATGTAATCAAGGTGAGAAAACTCCAGTTACTATGCAAGAGTTTTTTTGTTTATTTTTTTTGAGGGAAAAAAAGGAACCTTAATCTAGCTCTGGGCTTGTTTTTTGAGTAGGTGTTGTGCTGGCGTTTCAGCTCCACATTCAGCAGAGATTGCTGCAGGCTTGTTGCAAGCTTCAGTTTCCTTTCTCCCTGACTTCCATTGGCTTCTCTCAATTCCTGGTGCCTCCCTTTTCCAGTGTGGCTCTCTGTCAGGCTTCTTTGCTCCGTCATATAAAAGAAAAGTGTCAGGGTGTTCCAGTGGGACCGGCAGCTGGTATTGGCTGTTGTATTTTATGCTGCCTCTGTGTTAGCGCAGCTCACAGAGGCACATGGTCAGTCCCTGTGCAGCAGAAGGTGAATGAGGTGGGAGCTCACGGAGGGCAGGTGGAGCTGAGACTGCCTCTTTTATGGAAGTGAGCTGTGAATCCGTGCTGTGTCCTGTGAAACCGTGGGCTGGTCACACTTCCCAGGCTTGTTCTGTGATTAAACATTCCATGAAAATCCTGCCTCTATAACTGGTTTACAAGTTCCTTGTGGAAGTATTTGAACCCTCCTGACAATGCTTCTTTAGAGATTTGCAGTGATCATGTAAATGATCACCTCCTTTAGAGACAGACTTACATATCTCAATTCATTTCTTTCCTTTAAATACACATCCCATACTGTAAGTAATCCATCTGATGATAATTGGGTGGGGAAAAATCTCTTGATTGTTTTCAGTGTTGCTTGTATAGCTAGAAAGTCTGTCAGTCTTCTGTTTAGTTAGAATAGGATTAACGGTGCAGTGTAGAAAGATCTTTTGTACTTTAATGTCCAGGGATTATTGTCATTGTTCAAAAGTATTTCTTTAAATGTTTATAAGATGAGCCTCCAGCAGATGTTTTTTTTTTAATAACAATAAAAAATGCAGACACTTACTAGGGGAGCTAGTATTGTTCTTGCAATAAGAACAGGAAAACTTTGTTACTCAAAGTGCATTTTAAAGTGAGGGTGGAAAACTTAAGTTCTCATCACGCTTTAATAGAAGCTAAACCAATTTCAGATTTTAATGCTTTTTATTTCTTTTAAAGTTTCTAGATTTCTGTACAACGGTAGTCAAAGGTGGATATACAGACCAAGAAATATTGCTGCTGCTTCTATTACTATTTAAAATAAGCTTGGAGAAACAGCTAAAGCAAGTTCCCTTGACAGATTTTCAGTGCCTTTTCATAAAGCTTCTGATAAGTATAAAAGACTGGGATACAAAGGTAACTTCATAATTCATTTTCTAGTGCTAGATTTATGAAACTGCAGGTTAATTTTCAAGAAATTTATTTTGAAGTTTTATTTTTTCCTTTACATAGCAGAAAAATACTGCTTGTAAATGTAATATTGAACAGATTGGGAACTTTGTGTCTTTGAGATTTAGGAGGGGGCTGGGTGTACTGAGAGACTGTCTGCCTAAAAACATGCTTGCCTGTCCCCTTCTGCAAGGGGACTGTTGTATTGAACTTGCAGCGATTTTGTTAATTATAGATTGTTTAAAAGGGCTATTTGAAAGAATAAATGAAATGATTGCACTAAGCTGATGAAATGTCAGGAAAGGCAACCTGATCTCAGCTACCCTACTGTAAAATAGTATTTAGGAGACATAGCCACAGCTGCAGTGCAGAAATATCTTCATGCACATCATCTTTTACTAGCCCAATTCCTTTTAATATCTATGCTGTGGATATGTTTCTTGGTAGCAGATGTGTATTCCTTTGCAAATAAAACAAATGTCCAATGTCCCCATTGCTTAGTAAATTGGGTGATTAAAAAAAACAAAACAAAAAAAAAACAAAAACATGTTTTTATTCTTTTAAAGATGCCTGAGCTCTGTCTGGCAGTGAGTGAACTCTCCAGTCAGCACCATAATCTTCTGTGGCTGGTTCAGCTGGTCCCTAGCTGGATAATACGCGGACGGTAATGACACTGTAACAGCTAATTTATTAGTATAAGCCCAGAGCCTGACAAATGCAATAGGTGTAACATTGCTTTTGTATTTTCTTTTGTGTTTTGTTTTTTTCTGGGGGGGAGGAGGGAGATACTTTAACAAACCACCACAAATAGTTAGGTTTTATCATATGTTACAGATGTATGTGCATGTCATTGTGCATACATAGTTTCTTAATCACCTCTGTGGTTGGAAAGGGTCATTTTACATTTTATTTGTAGTTTTCTGGGCTATACACTTTCTGGTACCCTATAGTAAATAAAGGCATAACTTCCAACATCCATCACCTACTCTAATCTTTGGCTGAATGATCAAAAATTAAATGTCCTTTGGGTGATTAATGTCTGATTTTATGTCAATCTGTCAAGAGTTCTGCATCTTTGAAATAAATTTAAAAATGTATCTGAGAGAGAGGAGAACGATTTTGGCCTTTGATTTCAGGCTTGGAGGCAAGCTTCTAGCAATGTTTGCTTGTCCACAAGAAAAGCTGTAATGAGACAAGGATATTTGCACCTTACTAGCCTCTGGTTTAACAGCACCTATCTTCAGTAAATCCAATTTAATAGCTGTGGGCAACTCTATGTCTCGGGAAGCCATGCACAGCCTCAGTCAACATTGTTGAAACTGTGGATTTGAGACTTTCTCTGGGAAAGAAATAAAAAAACTTCTTTTTTTCAGGGAAGTAAGACGACGCCTTAGCCTGGTGATAATAGCAAAGCTTCTTAATCAGAAGCATATAAGAATACCTGATGACAGCGACAAGCAGGTACTGCATGTTTTGTGTGTGTATAATTTTAAAAAGTCTAGAAAACTTAGGTGTTTCTTTTTGTACTTTGGTCATTCTTTAACATGAAAATAGGCTTACGGTATTAAAAATAATCGCTTTTTTTTATTTTAGTGTTAGAAGTATATTTGTACACATGTGTAACCTGTAGCTTGTAAGCGCAATAATATTGCTTAAGTGCCTAAACATTAATTTTGGTCATTGAAAAGAAGTTTATGCCTCTCTGCCTTCTTTTTATATTTATGTAGAATCACTATGAAAACAAGGGGTTAATGAGGCAACATACAAATGCTTTAGTTTGCAAATAGTCAAGAATTACCCAAAGCACGAAATAATCAATTTTAATTAAGAGCCACATTTATAGAAGTTCTTGTGTTAATGGTCATGTGATACGGTAGTGGCACTGTTTCAAATTGTCCGTTGCCAGTGAACCAGTCCAATCTGTTAATGCATCTGTCTGTAGATGTCTCTTCTGCATCAGTATCTGGTGTACATGAAACCGTCTAATCTACTAGAGAAGATGAGAACTGATGAGCAGCAGAATGTCAGTGAAGACCACCTTCATATAGAACTAGAACAGGAGGTATATAGCTGATAGGATTTTTTTTTGTTTGTCTTTTTATGTATCTTCTGCACTTTTGAAAACTAATCTTCTATTGTAAACAAGTTCTAGAAAAACTTGCACTCATCTGAGAATTCAATATTGGTTTGGTTATATGAGTCTACCATGAAATCTCTTAGCAAGTATTTTGATCTGGGTGTAGATAATGGGAAAACAAAGTCAACTGCTGAGTTTAATTTTCAGTAATTGAAACCACAGAAAGCTTTGTGGGTCACTTGGGTAACTTAAAACAGCGTAGTACTGTTTTAAAATGATTCTAATATATGAATGTATTGTTTCATATTATTTACTTAGGCAAATGTGTAGACGTACCTATTCATTTATTAGGCTGTTGGAGGATGCCAGTGAAGTCATAATACTGAATCATTAAAGCAAAGATAATGCTGTAGCTAAAGATTGTGCTTTGACTGCTGAAGCTCTGTTGGTTTCTCTCTAGGTCTACTACCTAGTCTACATCCTCCTTCATCTAGTCAGCTGAAGCTAGCTGCTTTGACACTGTAAATTCCAATCAGAGGGTAAGTAACTACAGTGGCTAGATCTTTAGATTTTAAATGGCTAACTATTATGCACTTCTGGTCTATTGTGGTAAGGTGATAGAAGATCACCAGAGGATAACAGCACTGGAAGAAACTTGGTCTGAGGCAAAGTAAATGCAGAAGAGCTCTTCCCTGCAGTTACTGCAGAGAAAGAAACCTCTCCTGCATTTTTGCAGGTGGAATTGTGTCAAAACACAATTTTGTTGATCAGCAGACGTTATCTTTCACAGAGTAACTGGAGATTAACTCAGCACAGATCCTCAGAACTCTGGTGATGCTATGAACTACTTAAGTAAAGCTGAAACTTTAATCTAGAAGAAAACCATTTTGAAAATATCCAGTAAAATATGCTCAACACATTGTGTTTTTCTGTGCTGGAGCGCAGCCATCAGCAAGTGAAGGCTAGGACTGTATCTCTCCTGTTCTCCATAGCCATAGTTCCCTCGTGCTGCGAGATGTGAACATCTGTTAAGTAATACCTTCTGTTTAGCCTCCTGGTAATCTTATTGAGATTCCTGTGAACATTTGCTGTGAGTTGCTTGCTGCAAGATGTTTGTGTAAATCTGTTCTATAAAACCACTCCTGGCTTTTAAGAAATGTGTTATGTGAAGCCTTGAAGAGGGAGGTAAAGCAGTAATATTTGCTTCTGTTTCACAGAATTATAGAATGGCTTAGGTTGGAAGGGACCTCTGGAGGTTCAAACAGGGCCACTTAGAGCAGGTTTCCCAGCACCGTGGCCAGACAGCTTTTTGGGTATCAATGAGGGGAACTCCACAGCCTCTCTGATCAACATGTTTGAGCACTCAGTCACCTTTGCAGTAAGGAAGTGTTTTCCTGCTGTTCAGATGAAACCTCTAGATCTAGAATACTAATCAGTGTTCTTGGGCCCCACTTCCTTCCAAGGCCTTATCCTGTGGGACTTTTCCAAGCAGACCCTTGAAGAGGCCAAAGTCTGTAACAGACCCCCACTACAATGTTGCCTTTAGGGGTCTTCTATTTAATTCTAACCCCATAAGCTGTCAGTGGGCTCCTCATCCATCCCCAGGCAGAGCTCCGTGCACTCAGGCAGCTTTCTCACATACAGGGCAACACACCCTCGTCATCTTCCCAGCCTATCCTTCCTAAAAAGCCTGGGGCTTAAGAGTCTCAGTTGCCTACTCAATTGCAAAAAGATTATCACAGACTGAAAAGTGAAGCAAAAACATCTTTGGTTAAAAAAAAAAAAAAGAAAATAGTTATATTGCAATGATCTCTTTGAGATGTCTTTTACAACTGCTTTCCGAAGACGTATGGGGAATTTGATTAAAAAAACAAACCCACACACAACACGGTCTCTGAATTTCTTGATGAAGAAGAGCCTAATATTCACTGACCTGGTAGGAAAAGAGGTGGCACTGTATATAAATCTTGTGCAGGCTCGATTGGGTAGAAAATCAGTATTATTATTTCAGTTCTAGTCATCTTCCAGTTGGATGGGGGTGAATTGCCATGGTCTTGAGACACCAGCAAATGCTTATAAGCAGAATTTCAGCATGTTTCACCTACAGAGTGGAGCTGTTTTGCAGCAGGTTAGTGGGGGATTAAGTACGAGAATTTTATCATGAGATTCACAGAATATCAAAGATCTTGGGAGCTGTTATTAGGAGGTTATGAAGCTGCAAAAAAGACGATCAGAAGGTTAGAGATCAGTGCGTGTACATTGCATGTGTTTTACCTGTTCAGCCAATTCCTGCAGACTGCAAAAGGAAATTACCTGAGTTATTACTGAAAAGGTTATTTTTAGCTGTTTAAGCTGCAGAACTTTTTTTGTTGGTGAAAGACCTGAGTGGCACTGTTCTTACTACTTTGGGAACAGAAAGGACTTATAAATTAGCTAGTAGGAACTTTGAAATTTTTGATATATAGCCGTGCTCTAATTAAAATTTTGGAACTTTTTTTTCTCTTGTCTCATGAGGTGCATATCAACAACAGCTGATAAAGGATCTCCTGATCTTGTTTGGTTTTGTTTTTTTTTCCCATTCCTTACTTTATATGCTTCAATCTGAAGTTTTCTCCAAAATACAATTGTTACACTGAAATAGTACTTGAAGCATTTTTTTAGTTTCAACGTGGATTATTAAAATAGCTGTTCATTTTTGTCTTTATTTAGCAACACTTACTGAAGCTCTGTGGTGCCTTAGATAAGCACATAAAATGTGATATTAGAGAAGATGCAAGGCTGTTCTATCGAACTAAGGTAAGACAAAGTGGTCTTGGTTTTTTTTTTTTGGTTGGTTGGTTTGAGTTCTGTGTTTGTTTTTTTTTGTGTGTGCTGTTCCCTCACACCAACCCTGGAATTTCTAAGTTTTCCTCGTGGATCTATTTTTCCTGGTTTCTCTGTCTGAATCACATCTGTACTCATACATAAATACACATTTGTTTTAATGCACTGGAAACACTCTTTTTGCTAACTACAGGACTAAGAACTCTTAAGATGTGAGCTTGTCATCTTTTAGCTAGTTATCTCAACTTTCAGACCCATGGAGTTGCTCCTTTGCTTCCTGTCAATTAACGAGGACTGCCGTGAAAAAGAAATCGTCTGCTTTTAAGCAGTCTTCTGCTTTTAAAAGCGGAGGCTATGTGCAGTGTGGGACACAGTACGGAAAAACTAGCCTGACCATCTTGCACGTCTCTTATTTTCAAAATAATGACTTAGTTAAAATTAGTTGTTTAAAAACGTTGTGGGTTTAAGCCAACACTATATGTGATGTAGCACCAAGCCTGGATAATTGCCTTTCATTTGCTTTGTGGTACGTAGCTTGCTATAGTTAGTCCTAATTCTGGGACTTTCATGGTCATAGCAAGCCAACTGGGATCACCTCAACTTTGAAAAGCCTTGGCTTTGCCAGCCTTAAATCAAACACTTTTGCCTGTGTACATTCTTAACTCTCGAAGACTTTTTTTTATTCAGCAGGATCAGTACAACATGGATCCTTTTAACAAGTTACAGAATCTTGACTTGAATTTTTGAATATCAGACCCCTGTCTGTTTTGTTTCTATTGCACTTGCACTGGGAGATGAAAATCTTACTTGCTTTTTCCCTTTCACTACTACTTCTGTTGTGATACTGCAGTAACTGCAGAAGGCACCACTGTGATGATTTTACACAGTATATGAAGCAAATTTCAACTCTGAATACCTTGTATTTAACACCTGCTTGTGATTGGTTATGAAAAAAAATACAAGGAATACAAATTCAGACAGTGCTGCATAGTTGGCTTTCATGATTGCCATGGCAGGCACTTTTTTCTCCTCACAAGCAATCAGACTTGTGTAACAAAGCTAAGTTACCCAAAGGCTGAGATGGGTATTTGGAGGCCAGAGGCTTGCATGTTGATGCCAAACACTTAACATTTTAAATCGTCTTCCTGTAATGAGCTTCTGTGGAGTAGATAATTTTGGATTCAAAATCCCAGATTACAGGGATCTTGTTGGAGTTGAGGTGGTGATGTTCTGTATGCCTGTTGTGAAACTGTTTCCTCCCAATAACCCTTGGGTGTTGGGTTTTTGTTTTGTGGTGTGGTGGTAGTTTTGATTTTTGGCTTTTTTTTTTTTTTTAATACAAGTGGCTAATCTAACCTGAATTTGCAGGTAAAAGACTTGGTTGCTAGGATATACAGCAAATGGCAAGATATGATACAAACCACTCGGCTTTCTCAGGTATTGTAATGAAAACTTTTTTTTAATTTCTTTTCATATTGCAGGGTGCATTAAACTCATTCTTTACCATTTGAAAATAGCATATTGATTTCTAAAAGATTTTTTTTTTCCTTAAATTGCTTGGCTGTTGATTATGCTTAGGTGTCTTAGGATAGTCTTTAGTTAAAACCCTTGTTTTGCTGGCCTTGGTAAAACCAAGATTCCATCTTTACCCTTAAAAGTGCTGTTCTCATAAATGGCTTACGCAATAACCTGAAATGCTAATACTGAGTCAGGTCGCAGGGCTTGTCTCTGATTACAGTCATTAGTGGATGCTTTGGAAAGGACTGAGTGGGGCAGGAATGCCGTGATGCACTTCCTGCTATTGTCTGGCACTCTGTCACTTGGAGGCTACTTGAATCCAAGGCTCTATGCACATGTGTTTAACAGCTCTTGATTAACAGCCCCCCACCGCCCTCTGCCTCGAAAGTGTCTAATTTCATGCAATGATGAGGAAAACCCTCTCATGCTCTGTGAACGTGTGCAGTAGCAAGAAATTTTACGATCAGCCCTTCATTAATACTTGCCTTGGCTGACATTGGTGGAATAGGTGGATGACTTCTAAATAGGTGGATGACTTCTAATATCCAGAGCTCAGCTCTGTTCCTGTGTTTCTTAATGTGCTGAGGTCCTCTCTTGGAATATAAAGTTACGTTCAAAAATAAATACAAAAATTGTTCAGCTTTCCAGTAATCTACTGCATTTCTTACAGGAAGTTTAAATTACACATAAGCTTAGTATTGATTTCAGTTTAAAAATGTGTAATCAAACATTTGTCTGTAAAGAATAATAATGACTCAAAGCAATTCATGAAAAAGACATCATTTGTAGTGTCTCAGGTTTCCTGTTACAGGGAGGGAAGGGAATTAGAGGGTAGACATGGTCACAGAGGTACTTAGCAGATGATGAAAGTTATTAAAGATGCTGCTCTTCCAGAGTTGTTTCTTTCAGAGGCAGTTGGGTTTGATTCACATGTGGGGAAACTGGAAAGTGTTTCCAAATTAAAATAAACAAATAAAGAAGAGAGTAGGCAACTGCTTAGCTTAAGGTCACCACGTTGGATTGTGAGTCCTTACAAATTTGAGATGTTTTCTATTTTGTTCTTACTTTTTAGGGAAAACTGCATGACTTCTGGGAGCCAGATTCGTGAGAGCTTGTCTAGTTCAGGGAAAAAACAGAAAAAACTGAAACCAAGGAAGATGCAGAATGAACTGGAGCTTCAACTTGGTTGGAACACAAGGAATCAATCCTCTGAATTAGAACTTGGGCTTGATTCAGGCCAACATTAAAAACACAATGATTCAATATGATGATCGTTGTTTTTACAAATACGGTACTTCAGAAAAAAATGAAGTGGGTAAACTGCAAAAGTAGCTATTTCTATAGCCCTGTCTGATTTTCCAGGCGTATTTTATCATACTGAAAACTGAGGGAAGTTTCTCATTTCCATTGCTAATCACAAGATGTTTTCGAAAACAGTATGCATCAGTTTTCTTGCCAGCACACACCTGTAAGCGTTGCTTTAGGGTGTCTAGGAAAGAACTGTCCCGTGATGTGGAATGTGAGTTGAGAAACAGTATTATACCTCCCCTGTTGTGGGCAGGTGAGGAAGCTCAGTTTCACTACGAGCCAAATAACAGAGTCACCTGCACGTGTTAATCTGCAAAGCAAGATTTGGTAAGACCAGCTGGTTTCTCTAAATAACACAAATACAGCAGTCACGTGTGAACAAGTGACCATCTCCTTTGCTTGAGGGTGGAGACAGCTGAAGAGGGGCTGTACCCGAACAACTTGTGGACACTTCTTTGCTCGGTGGTTGTCTTTTATCAAATAAGAGAATCAAATTTGTTATTACAGTGATGCGTTCATTTTAACGTCCTCAGGCATCGATTTATGTATGCAGTGTATGTGACTGCACAGAAAGTGATTCTCTAAGACCACATTGTAAATGAGATCTTTAATACTCAAGTAGTATTGTTGTATTCCTCTTTAAGAAACAAACTTATATTTGTTATCTGGCTTCAGCGCTTTATCTAAACAGAGAGAATAACTATTTCTGAAATGTCAAGTCAGTGGAAATTTGAGGAGATGAGCTTTTGGCCCATGCAAGTAGAAATAACTGTGAGAGCTGTATGAGGTCTGAATTCCTTTGTGCAAAGTCTTGCAGCGTACACAGCGTGTGTTCAGAGCTCCCCAAACTTTGTGAAATAATCAGCCCAAGAGGTAATCTCCTTTTGTACTTTGTGTAAATGCCATCATTTAAATCTTACGCTGTTGTGTTTGGGGGGGGGGGGGGGTATGTGTATATGAACAGAAATTTAATGTATTGGGTAAAAGCACTGAGTGGGAATCTCTTAACTGTAATTTTTAATAACTATGTGTACATTTTATAATACTGTTTCCTTTTCAATTTTTATAGATTACCCTGTCTTGTATGATAGACTTGCTACGACTTCACAAAAATGTAAAAAAAGGATCAAATTCAAACAAAAAAAAAATGAAACTTATGTATGTTACATGTTAAAGAACTGCTCTAGATTGGACTCAACTCAGAGGGAAGGTATTTTATTTGCAAATCATATTCAGTGTTTTGTCTTTCAAATGTTAGCGAGTTAGCCTGAGTCTGTGCAGCTGTACCCTTTACAGAATAATCAACTTACCTTAACAGCAAGAGTTACGTGTATGACATTGTTCAGGGGAGAAGAAAAATTCCTTTTTTAATCTCACCGTGTTGTTAAAGAATTGGATGAGTCTACCTCAAAGGGTATCCTTGACAATGGAACTGTTACAGGCTAAAAAAATGGTGTGGTGGTATGGCAGTGCCACCCTTTGCTCTGCTCGTCTTTCGTGGTGTCAGCCTTCCCTCTGGTAGCATTTGCTTACTAGGCTGAATATATTGTATGTGATTTTATTAACGTTTATATTTTTTTCTCTCTAATGTTGTATAAAGTTTTAAAAAGTACAGAATATGTTTCCTGTATGTAACGTGTATATATTTTCTTACCATGTAAAGTTGACTTTGCAGTCCTGTATATTTTGAAGAAGGAAAGGGTTGGGGTCTAGATTGACACCTCTTTTGTATTGCAGTTCAGAACACATTGAAACTGCTGTGCTTTTTTTTTTTTTTTTTCCCATACAAAGTAACCACTTTGATACATACTTCTATTTAATAGACCCGTGGAAAATAAAACCAGACGTGGTTTTCTAATTAAACGTCTCTGCGCAAAATGTGTATGCATCAACTGTTTCACAAAAAAATGGCTGCAGGTCCTATTTTGGTCTTGCTGCAGACACTGTAGTTCAGAGGTTCGCAGCTGATGAGCTTACTATAAATGGAGAAAGTCCTGAAGTAGTTCTCAGCTCAGCCAGTTCTGTGTTTTCATGCTTAATGTCTGTGTATACAATCTGGCATTTCTCCTCTCTCCCCCCATCCCCCTTTTGTCTGGACTTGCTTCCATCTGTTTTGTAGCTGAGTAATAATCCCCCAGTTGCTGAAGTCTAGACGTTGGCTGAGTTGGAGCTCACCGGTGTCCCTACAGAGATGATCCCAAAGCATCGCTGCGGAGTCTTAAAAGGGACTGCCGAGCTGAGTACTGCTTCAGGACCGGCAGTGAAATAGCAAACCTGCTGCTGTTTTGTGTTTTGCTGACTCATTTACTGGCCCCCAGCCAGAAGCTACACGCATTGAAAAAGGCTGTTTGCACAGTAAATGTCTTAACTGCTTTGGTTGTCTTCAGATAAGCGTTTTTGCACTGAGGTTTATCTTGATATTACGTTGGTTGTACTAAGAACCATGTTATCTCATTTCACGGACAATTAGATGCACTTTATTGCAGTAATCACAGACAAAAAATTAAAGGCTGCCTATAAAATATACATTTGTGGCTTTTCTTTTTTATTTTTTCCTTCTGACAAGCCTCTGCGTGGCTTAAAGTTTGCTTCTAAGTTGGAGAAACCGGCCAGCACACTTCACGTTGTCACCGTTGTGTTGTGGAACTCGGTAATGGATGGGGATTTCACAAGTGATTAATGACTCGCAGGCAGGTCTGGCTGAAGGTCAGTAGCACGCGGCTGCTTCATTGATGCAGTGGCTGCAGGAACTCTCTGAAGTCCCCAAAGCCGAGGACAGCTTTGGGAAAAGCAGCTGCCTGTGGAACAAGCACGCTGTTCTTACTGGTGGAGCAGCTGGAGGGGCTGCTACCTGGTAGGATTACAGAGGTGGCGTTTTGATGTGGATTTATTTATTTTTAATAATAGGAGGTGGATGCTGTGGTGTTAGCTTCCTGAGCACAGCCAAGCTCTGTCTTCATCAAAGGTGCCTGTGCTTTGAGGGGCTGGCAGGGCCGTACGCTGCCCTTGTTGAACACATTGGGGATGAGGAGCTGCCTGGAGAGGTCAGGCTGATGGATTTAGCCCGCTCCTGGTGGTTTACATTATCTGCGTGCTCTTAATGACGTTCCTAATGACGTTCACGTTGTGATTTTTTTTCCCCCCCGGGCTGTGAAATATCTTTGTGTTTTGCCTTGTGGATGTTTTGCCAGCTTAACTGATGGGGGCCCCTCCTTATCTCGTGTTGAAAAGGCCTTTCAGTGCTGGGGAGCGGCGTGGGCTGCTGATGGGAAGGCTCCTAGAGAAAGTCGATTCCTCGAAGGGCTTGTCCTCACCGAGGTGCTTTTAGTTTTGTCTGCCTGCTGCTTTCAGCCAGCATTTCTTCATCCCGGCAGCAAGGAAGTTGAAAGGGAACGCGTTATCGGGTATCGAAAGTAGCGCCGGGTGGTGAGAGAGGAAAAACATTCCCATCTTCCTGCCTTGATATTTTGGTCTGGGTGCTGAAAGCCAGTCCCCATGCTTGCTGGGTGGAAGTGCTGCCTGCGGAGATGTATTTTCACATGGCATTTAAGCAGCTTTTGGATGCCTTGTAGTTCTTTGTCTCCCCTCTCTCAGCCTGCTGAATAACATTTTGTCTCCTCCAGCATCCCTGCCTCCCCCAGTTCCATGTGGGGCGGTAACAGGGAGGGAAATGGAACAGCTGGAAGTGTTCCCTTGGCTGACATCGAGGTGTCCCAGGCTTTGCCACCAGCTCAGGGGGAGCCCTGGAGAGGTTGGAAGGCCACTGCCCTTCCCCAGGGTGGCAAGTGCTGGGAACTGGGGCTTGGCTCAGAGGCTCTAGGGCTTGGCTACCTGTCTCTGGCTCTCCTTTCTCAAAGCCTGCTTGGAGATGAAAGTCCTGGCTCTTGCAGCTCGGGCAGTAGCAGGAGATCCATTTCTTCCGCAGGCTGACCACCAGGCTGCTGTTGGAATAAAAATTAGAGCTGAAAGCTGTCAGGCTCGGTGCTGGGGAGAGGAGGATGGCTAGGCATTATGTTCTGTGCTTTATTCACCCTGCAGGCTTTCAGAGAGGCGATGTAAATCACGCAGGGCAGCTGCGGGCTCTTCAGACAGCACCAGTCAGGCTCGTAGACACTGAAACTGAATCTGCATCCCCTGCCCTAACCCTGGCTGCGGGGACAGGCCTGGCAGGTGAGACCACGCAGGAGCTGCGCTGCGTATCAGTTCCCTTCCACATTTATGGAGCACTGCCTCCTCCCTCCCCCGTGTGCTAACCTATTTCTCCAGCATCTGGGCTCCAGCACCGTCACGGCGAAGTTTGCGCAGCACAGCGCGTTTTTCATTCCGGCTGACTTTCTCTTCTTATTAGCCCTTTTTTTTTTTTTTTTTTTCCCTTGCCCTCATTCTGTATTTTTCTTTTCGCAGCTGCTGTTTGCCGAGGAGCTGTGTCAGCCTGGCAGGAGCAGCCGTGCTGGAGATGCCACTCGTGGTTCGGAGCCGGCGGTGAGCTCCTCGGGGATGTGGGGCTGTGCCCAGCGGGGCCGTGCCACAGGAGGACTGCGAGGACCCCGCAGTGAGTACCTGGGGCGCGTCTCTGCTGGCTGTGGGATCTCGGAGAGTGGCTCCAGCCCTTGCCGGGGTGTATCAGCCTCTGGGCTTAGCCCTTCGGGAGGGAGCCTGCGTACGTGTGTGCTCCTAGGGTGGGAATAAAGCAAGGCGCCGTGCTCTAAGTAGGCTGCGTCTGTTCAGCTCGGCGGTGGGTAATAGTCGTGCTGCTGGAAGGTGAGATGGGAGCTCTACAATCACATGGCCTAAAAAAAAGGGCAGAGAGAGGAGTTATTCAACGCCACTCTGTAATTTGGCTTCAGCCTCTGTAGTGCTTTTATTAGCGTGAAGGCTCAAAGTAAAGTAAAGGAAGCAGAGCTGGGGACCTTCTTGCCTCGGGATGCTGGGGATGCTGAAAGCCAAGACGTTCAAAAAGTGTTTCGTGGCAGAAAAACCCATCAGGGGCTACAGAAAAAGCAGCCATCCCTGGCTGAGAAAGCTTCAAGTTGCAGATCCCTGGAGGGAGTGGGATGGTGCCAGGAGGCATCCCCACGTGTCTGTCCTCTTCCTGCACCCCCAAGGCCCTGGGGCTCTGGTGCGAGGTGCTGGGCCTTTGTTTTTTTTTTATGTTAGGGGTGAAGCGAGGGGTTTTGTGTCACGCCGTCTCAGTTCCCAAAGTGTCACGTTCCCGATTGTCTCTCTCCTGCTCCTGAGAGAAGTCGCTGTCAGAGCTGTCACACGCCAGCCCTCGGGAGGTCTGTGTGACCAGTTCTCACGTGGCTGAGGAAAACCCAGTGTCCTTTTTTGTTTTTTTTTTTTGTTTTGTTTGGGTCCTTAATGACATTGCAAGAAAGACTTGAAGAAACATTGTACGGTTCAAGATCTCCAGCAGGACGTGGTAAAGCCAAGCAGCCACCCACCAAAAGCCACCTCCTCCCCTCCCACCCCATCCAGTAGCTGTTGGCAGCTAGTGGAGCAGGAAGAAGGGCAAGGCGCTATCTTTGGGGCAGAACTCGGTGTTTTTCCCTCTGCTTGCTGTGTCGGATTTGCCTCTTGGGGGCAACCTCGCCCTGCTCCAGCCCAGAGCGTGGCTTTTGTGCTTGCAAAGACAAAAGGGAGCTCAGCGGGCCTGGGAGAGGAGGGCTCGCTGTCCCTCCCTGCCTTTGCGTTATCAGACAACTTTTGGCAGTCGCTGCAGTTATTTGCTGAAAGGATTTAAGGAAGGCCGCCAAGGCTGGGCTGTTTGCTGCTTTCCAGAAACGAGCCGCTTGGCTCCTGAAGGGCCCTTCCCAGCCTTGGAGCCCTTGGAAATCCTTCCTGCCCCTCTGTGGCAGGAGAGGGACGGCTCCTCTGCGGCTCTCGGCTAGCGGGCAGCACGTAAATGCACGCGTGTAGGATTTACAGCGATCTCCCCGCTGTTCTTCTGCCCGGGATCCCTTGGGCAATCCCTAATCCTATCAGCGCTGCGGTGAGCACACTCACTGCTCCAGCCCCGTTGTAGGGCCGTGCTCCCGAGCAGATGTGTCATCCGTGCCCAGTCCGTAAATAACCATTTACCTTTATTTAAAGGGCGTTGAGGTGCGTGCTGGAAGAAAGGGAGCATTATTCACGCGTCGTGCTGTGGTTCCTAATGGGGCTCTACGCCCCGATGTGACCTCCAAAGCCGCTCGTTCCGCGCCCGCAGCGCCCCGATCTGCTTCTTACCCCGCGGGTCAGAAACGAGGGGAATAAACAGCGGTGACGGGTGCCTCGCGTGGCAGTGTCCTTGCAGGGGAGGCGCTGGGGACGTTGCGGGCAGGGGGGGCACATGAATCAGCTTTGGCTTGCGATGCAGAATCGATGCTTTCCTGTTTTGTGCCTTCCTATTTCGTGCCTTCCCTGAAGCGTGGCCATAGCCAGGTAGGAGGGGGACCCCACACGCTCCTCGCACACCAGTGGAGATGGTGGCACCGGGGGCTGGAGCCCCACAGCCCCCCCCAGCGTCCCGTTTGGGGCTGGTGGCAGCAGCTATGGCTGCGGGGTGCCTGTGGGGACAGCGTCAGCCCTGCTGGGACAGCGGCGCTGGCTCCAGACAGCCGGGGAGGGAACGTGGAGCTCATTAAGCCGGCCCTCCGGCGTGCGCCCTGCTGGCTTTGCCACCGTCCTGCTTAATAGCTCCCTCCTCTTCTCTTCTCTGCCTTTTTGTTTTGTTTATAAAGGTAAATGAGCTGTGCGGATACGCAGGAACATGAATCAAAGGAATTCGGCTGACTCCTGCGGGCCCCGTTTGCCCCGTCACGTAATAGGAGATGCGCCGTGAGTGCTGCCCGCTCTGAAAACACCCCAGGACAAAAAACTGTTTGTGAGGCGTCTCAGTGCAACTTCCCAAAATCTGGTTACGTAAGGGGAAAAAAAAAAATAATCCAGCTTTGGAATACATTAACTTGGTTGGACAGTCCTGGGCGGAGGTACCAGTCAGAAACAAATCAATTAGTGAAGGCTGCAGAGAAATTTCACTGGTTTTGAGCTGCAGAGCCAGGCTGGGGAGTTGCATGTTCCACCTCCAACATTTAACACCGGGCATTGGAAACATCACCCGTGTCTAAAGAGCCCACGAGGTGACGTGAGAGGAGCCTCGGGCCCATGCTGTGCTTTTGATGGGTTAACCCCCAACTTTAAAAATAAAACGAAAGCATGGGGAGGGTGAGGCTGCAGCGTTCCTCGGCTGGAAGCAAAAATCAGCACGGAATGAAAGCCGGGCTGCTTTTGGGACACGTGCTGATGGCTGTGTTGTTAGGAGGGAGATGTTTCCATGGCAAAACCATCGCCCTCGGCGCTGCTGCACGGCGCGGGGATGCGGCGGTGGCCCTGGGGAGCGTCCTGGTGCACTCAGCATCTCCCCAACGCAGGGTGGGAGCTCGGGGCCGTGCCGGGAAGGCTGCCTGCTCAGCATTTATTTGCCAGCCCTCCCGACTTTAAAGGAAAACTAAAAGCAAAGGCGAGACCGAAATAGCTCATTTTTGTCTCAGCAGAGAAATTCTTGCTTTGAGCATCGTTGTCACTCAGCCTAAATTGGTTTTAAATGCTTGTCGGGATGGGGCAGCATTTCTCAGCCGCTCGTTCCCTGGCACCCCACTGAGGCAGAGTCTGGCCTTGAAGGCCAAGGACTCAGACATCATCGTGCTTCTTCCTGACTGTGTTAGGGCTGCTGTTATTTAGGGCTGGAGGGATGTTAACAGGTATTTTGTTGCCCCTACCTTTAATTTCACAGCAGCCCTGTCCTGCACAGCACCGATAACCCTGCCTGGCCAAGCCATCCCCACGGGGACACCGTTTGCCACGCAGCCACGCAGGTCTCCCAAATCCCTCCTCCAGAGGCAGGCATGGCGCTGCTCGGGGCTGTATTTTTAAACCCCAGCTGATAAATTTTGGAGGTTCCTCGCCTTCCCCTGCCCCCTCGCCCCTCTCAAAGTGTCAGAGACGAAGGGAAGCCATGAGAGTGATGGACGAGCTCGGCTTCGGCTGCCGGTGCTGCTGGCAGGTTATTTACTGTGCCACCCTTCCCTCGCAGTGTAGATGGGGTTAGCCGGGCTCAGGGGAGAGAAAAGTCCCGGCCCTACAAGAAACCCAGCCCTGAGCTGGCGCTGAGGCAGCAGGGGCCGTGCCGCTGCCTCCTGGCACGTCGCAACTTTCTCAGACAAATCCCTCAGCAATTGTAATTTTCCTCGCTGGCTCCCAGCCCGCAGAAGGAAGAGGGGTTGGGAAAGTTTGCTCAGCGGCTTCAAGGGAAAAGGATCCCCGTGCCCTCTGCCCCCTGGGGCATTTACCCCAGGGCCCATGCGGGGCATTTGGCAGGGATTACCCACGGTTTTCTGTAGAAAAGCCGGGCTGGGAAGTCCCGAGTGCTGCTGGAAGGATGGGGGCAAAGAGGGAGAGGAAACCCCAAAATCAAGGGGCCGGGAGGCAGCAGGCACGGGGTGTGCTGGCGTGGTTGGAGCGCGGGGCTTTGCGGGTTTCATAAATCCCCGAGCGAGGAGGTTTTGTAACTCGCGGCGGCAGCCAGCCAAATCCCCAGGCTGGGGGTTGTGTCTTCTGCTCCCGCTCGGGGCGAGGGCGAGGCGGGTTTGGGGCCAAAGGAGGCGAATTTGGGGCTCCGTGCGTGTGATGGGGAGAGCCCAGCTGCAAGGCATCGAGGCGCTGGGGCTGTCTTAGAGGTACCGGTCACCTAGGGGGGGGATGCGTGGGCGGAATTTGGGGTTCACTGCTGCTGGCTGGGCATCAGAGGGGTGAAGCGGGCTGTGGGCAGGCACGGTGGGAACCAGCCCGGTTTTGGGAACGAGAGCAAAGCCCTATTAACGAGCAGCCGGGCTGGGCAGGGCACCACGGCGGCTCCTCTGCTGCCCCACGGGGCCGGGCTGGCTTCGGCTCCCGGCTGCTGGGACCCCGCCGAGGCCCCCGGGAAGCCGTGAGAAGAAGGCAAGGGCGCCAGCGGGGCCCTAAATTCCTTCGGAGGATCTCACGGGGGCAGCAGAGCGAGCGGAGGGCTCTGGAAATAGATCTCCTTCCAGCTGCCGATGAGTCGCGTTAATTAATTAAAGCCTCGCAAGCTCGGGCCTGTAACTACGCAGCGCCGAGCGCGCCGGGCTCAGCTCGCGCCTTGCTCATGCACTAATTACCCCGCTGCGAGGCCGGGAGCTAGCGCAACCCCAATTTGGGCTTGTAGCCACGTGGGTGGGCAAGGAGCCGGGCTGCAGGACGGGATGGGATGGGATGAGACTGGAACGGGACGGGCCAGACCTGCCTGCCCTCTCCCAGGACAGCAGGCACGCAGGCAGCGTCCCCTCTGTGCCTTTTTTTGGGGTGCCTTTTTTGGGGGAAAGCCTCCGGTGTGCACCCTGCTGAGAGCCCTAGAAAGCAGGGCCCTGCTCGCTTCCCACGGGAGGTCGGGGAGAGCACAGCCCACGGATTTCTGTGGGGTGGGAGGCGAGGCGTGGAGCCGCTCGGGTTTTGCTCAGGGACAGGAGGAAATGGCAATTAGCTGCTGGAGCGTGCAGGCGTGGCAGGGAGGGAGGCCAACAGCACAGGAGGAGGTGATTAGGGTCTCCCCTCTGCTTGTAGGGCCCCAGGAGTGCAGGTTGAGAGTTTGTGATGGGAACAAGAGCCATGGGGGCAGGCACCGTGCCCGCAGGAGCCCCCGGAGGTTTTATTTTGGCTCTGCCCCCCCCAAATTTCCCACATCCAGGTGGTGAGGAGCAGTTTCCATGCGGGCTGACCCTCATCCCGGAGCCATCCTCCAAAAATCGCTCTCCAGCACCTCCCACCTGGCGCCCAGCCCGGCTGTGGGGTGCAGGGCTAAGGGGGGGGGGGACACACACGGACTCTTTACCCCCTTTCCTATGGGGTTGGCGTGGAGAGGAGGGGCCGAGCGGTGCCCGCTGGCAGCGTGCCGGCACCAGGTGCTGTACGGCTTGGCAAACACGGCACAGCCACGGGAGGAGCTGCAGAAGCCACCCAGGACACCAAGGCTCCGTGTGGGGCCTCCTTGGGGTTACCCAGCCCCAAAAAGAGCTCCTGTTGGGTGAACACAGGCTGTAGGGGGGGGCACGGTGTGACATGGGGCACGGTGGCACGGTGAGTGTGGCATGGCACGAGGTGGCACCGTGCCACGCACCCACAACACCAGGACACCCCAAGGGGCTCAGCACCCCTCCGGCGAACCCCCCAGCCCCCAAAACCCCACCCCAAGCCCACCGCGGGGGCCACCCCAATCCCCAAACCCCCCTCTCCCGCTGCCCCCAAGGCCACGTCCCCCCCTGGGCGCACGCTTTGGGAGACTTTGCCCCTCTCCGCGCCACGCCGGGCGCGCTGCCCAGACACGGCAACCTCGAGGGGGGGGTGACACGAAGCAGGGACGGTCCCTGGGGCCTCTCGTTTAGGGTTTTTGGAGGGGGGCAGAGCCCCCGGTGCCGCTCCCACCCCACACACACCCGGCCCGGTACCGGCGGGGCTGCGCGCAACCGGCAGAGGGCGGCGCGGGGCGGCTCGGCACGGCCCACGGCGGGGCTGCGCGCAGCGACCTGCGCCGGGCGGCTCGCCCCGAGCCGAAAGGAGCCGAGAGGAGCCGTGCCGAGCCGCAGGCGAGTGAAAAGGGGGCAAGGTCGGGTTGGCCCGCATGTGGGGAGTGTGGGGGAAGAAGGATTTTTGGGGGGCTGGGGGCGCGGCCGGCAGCGGGAGGGCTGGGGGTTGCGCCCGTGGGTAGGGTGCTGGGGGAGGAGGAGGGGGCTGGGAGCTGTTTGGGGGAGGGAGGGGAGGGTTTGGGGGGTTGTGGGGCGCCCCATAGAGGGGGTGGGGGTTTGGGGGAGCCGGAGCAGAGCCATGGGGAGAGGGGAGAAGGGGGGGGGTTGGTGCAGGTGGGGGTTTGGGGAGACGAGGGCTGAAAGGGGGGAGGGATGCGTGGGGGTGGTGTAGGTGCTGGTGCCCGGCTTTGGGGACAATTTGGGGGACCTGGGTAGGGACAACAAGGGGTGAGGTGATGCAGGTCGGGGCTGCAGCAGGCAGGGCACAGCTGGGGGGGTTTGGTGCAGCCCCCCACAGCAGCAAGCTCGGGGTCACGGCTGTGCTGGGGGGGCCGGGAGCTATCGGGGGCCCCAGCAGGAGCCGTGCAACCCTCCCGTGGGCTGCGGGGGGCTGTGGGGTCGGGGCTGTGCAGACCTGGGGGCAGGAGGGACCCGCCGTGCAGCTGGGATTGGGGTCTGGGCTCTGTCTGGCAGCGCACCACATGGCCTTGACATAGTGGGGCTCGATTTGGGAAGGGGGGGGGGACACACCGTGAGAGGGCTCTGGTGGTGCCAAGAAAAATCCTCCGGGAAGACAAAGAGGCTGCCCAAAATGGATGAGGAGCGCAGCTTCCCCCCAGAGGCTGGGAAATTATTAATAATAGCGCTGCCGGGGTTTGTGCTACTTGTGCTGCCGCCGTGGGCTCCTGCTGCTTCTCCCCTCTCCGGCTGGGTAGGGTCTGGCCGTGCTCCCCCTGCTCAGCCCCTACCCGGACCCTGTCCCCCTTTTGGTCCCCCGGGACGTGGCCTTGGCCGGGCCGGAGGTGCCCAGAGGGCTGCGGGGCGGAGAGCTGCCCCCCGCTGCCCTGATCTCTATCTTGGCTTTGGGTTTGTGTTGCAACCCGAGGGGGAAAAAAAAAAAAAGCAACAAGGAAAATGAAACCCGACAAACCCGACGCAACCCTTTCGGTTCCTGCAAGCCAGGGCTTTGTGGCGTCAGGCTTTTTCTTCCCCCCCCCCCCTCCCCTTTTTTTCCCAACCAACATCCACGTGAACCTTTCCCTGCTTTCCCCGCCAGGAATGCCGGAGCCGGGAGGTTTGTTGGGCAAAGCTGGCAGCGAATTCAGGCCGAGAGCAGCCAGGTGTGCTCGGCGGGGCTGCCCACGGCAGCGTGCACGGCCGGCACCCGGGGGGCTGGGGATTTCCAACCCCCCCTGGGCTTGGCACGGCGTCGTGACGGGGCTTGCTGGGGAGCTGGGGGGGGTGAGAGGCTGCGGGGCTCTGCTGGGGGGTCCCCAGGGGTCCTGGTGCCTTGGGATGTTTCCTGGATGGGTTGAACCAGCTGGGGGGCAGCAGGAGGAGGGTTTTGGGGTCTTAAAGGCTGATGCTTGGAGAATGAGGCTGTCCCAAATCCTGCTGGGACTGGGAGTTTCTCCCCTCTTCCTGCTGCCGAGCCCATGCAAATCCACGCCGGGGCTGGCTGCACGCAAACCACTCCGGGAAAGGCCGAGGGAAAAAGCTCAGGGCTCCGAGTGTGGGCTTTGGACCCGGAGTTAAAAAGGTCCTCGGCTCCGCTCTGACCCCGAAGCTGAAGCTTCCTCGGAGGGCAACCCAAGCAAACAAGATGAGGTCGGGTTAAGCCTGGGACCGACAAAAACGCTGCTGTCATCTGGTTTTGCTGGACGTTCGGGAAGAGGAGAAGAGAAAAACAGTTTATCTTTGGGATAAATAAAACGGGAGAGGGCCGGGCTTGCGGTCAGAAGCCTTGAACTGGGGCGAGGCCGGCTTGGTCGGGCTCCAGCTGCCCCCGCAGCCTCTGATGTGCCCCAAAACCCCGCGGGCCGGGAGCCCCCTCGCCGTGCCGGGCACCTCCGTGGGAACGGCGCCGTCGGCAGCACGCGGCTCTGAAACCCGAGAAGAAAGTGGAAGGCAAAGCAGCTCTGAGCAAACACCCGCGTGAATTCACTGCCCCGCATTGTACGAGCCCAGCCAGACGAAACAAAGCGTCCACGGGGATGAAAACAGCCCCAAATTCACCCAAAAGCCCCCAAAACCCGAGCGAGGCTACGCCGGCAGCAGCGGGCTCTGCAGCGTCCCTTTAAATTTAAGGCTGGGGCTTTGGGTTGTTTTCTTTCTTTTTTTTTTTTTTTTTAATTGTTCCTGGGAGTCGAATTCTGAAACTGATCCCGCTCGTTCTGCCGTGGCAGCAACGCTGCCTCGGCCGCAGAGCCTTGTAAGGCTGAGCTGCAGCTCGCAGCCAGCCAGCCCCTTGCGACGAGCTGCGGCGTGTGAGCCAGGCGCCGCACGCCCCCTCGCTGGGAACCTCTGCCGTGGCACGGGGGGCCGTCCATCCATCCGTCTGTCCGTCCAGCCGTGCCGTCCCGGCCTGCCACAGTGAGGAAAAAAAAAAAAGAAACGCAGAAAAAAACCCCAAACTGTTGATTTTTGGTGGCGACTGTTCCCAGCTGCTGCGTCCTGCCTCTTCCTCCCAGCGCTTCCCCGTGGTGGTGCGGGGCGATGCTGAGGGTGCCGGAGGTGGGATCGGGGCTGGCCTCGTTCACCCCACGGCTGCTTTTCCCCCTCGTTCCCTGCAGAGCATCTCTGCAGCATCCCCCGAGCCCCGTGCCGAGGCTCCACACCCCACATCCCCGTCCCGTACAGGGCAGGGCTGGCAGCAGGGGGAAGTCAGTGCCCGGCTGCGGCGTCCCGGCGGTGTCTCGGCTCCCTTCAGGTTTTGTTTCACTTCTCTGTCCCCTCGGCTCCTGCGGTGTCTCTGTGCAGACACTATGGGGATGTGGGGTGACGTGCTGGCTGGGGGGCTCGCTGAGTTTGCTCTCCTTCCCCTCTGCAGCACCTGCATCCCTAATTTGGGGGAAGGAGCACCAGCTCGCGAGCCACCAGCACCCAAACGCATCACAGAGCCCGTTTTCCCGGAGGACTTTTGGCCAAGTTGGCATTTTGCTTGCTGCTGTTGACAAAACCCCGGCCGCTTGGGAAATTTCTCCCCTCCGGCCCCAGGACGCAGCCGCTGGGGCTGGCGTTTGGGGACGGTGCCGGGAGGAGCCGGTGCTGGACCCCGCGGCTGCTTTCCAGCCTGCAAGTTGGGAAAAAGCCGAATTAAAGTTGCCTGGCAACCCTCATCCCGGCTGCCCTCGCCGGGCACCGCGGGATCTCGCAGGATTTCGCAGCCTCTCTCAAACCGGGGACGCGCTCGCGGCTCCTCGCTTCTGCTGGGCTCCCCTCGCCCGTCCCCGTGCCCGCAGCTGCAGGGCTCCGAGGCGTTTGCTGCCCTGCAGAGCGTGGATTTGGGATGTTGGGGGAGGCCTCGGGTGCGCTCCCTGCCTCGTCCCGCTCCTCGGGCAGCCCCCAAAGCTCCCCACGTGCCCGTGTTGCTGCTCGATGTGGGCATTTTAAGGAGCCGAGGACCGGGCCGGCTCGTCTGGGTGTGCTGCGCAGAGCGGAGGCTGCCCCAGCCACGCTCCAGTTGTGACCCAGTAAACCCAGTCCGACCTGACCAGGGCTGGCTGCCGGTGACACCCTGCTCTTCCTCCAGCACCGCCCGGCAGCTGGGGGCGTTTTTGGGGTCCCCCTGCCCGCATTGTCCCCGTGCCTGGCACGGGGAGTGCAGCTGATGCCTGACCTCCAGCACCGGAGCATCCTAAAGGTGCCGGGTGGTTTTCCCCTCAAATCCCAGGTTTCAGCAGAGCTGCCGCCGCCTCCTCTCTCCCTTTTGTCTCCCTCCCGTGGAGAAATCTCTCCGTGGCGTTCCTCCTTCTGCCTCTTCCCCTTTTCTGACGGGAAAGCCGTGTGCGTCCTGTGGCCCTGAGCTCTCTGCCCCTGGCACGGAGCCTGAGCTTGGGCTTTGCTTTTTGGGGAGCAGCGGGGCCGGGTGAGCCTGGCGTGGTGATCCGAGGAGAACCAGGGATGCTCTCAGCTCTTTCCTCCTCCTTCCCCCATCCCCAGGTGTTAAAAAAAAACCTCACACACTAAAATAAATAAAAAAAGAACACCTCGAAACAGCCCTACCCAGGGAGTAAAACATTAACCAGCCCTTGGAGCGCAGCGATTCATTTCCTTCGGGACAAAGTTAACAGCGGAGCGGGGCCGAAGGAGCCTTTGCACATGGGCGCAGCCGCTGGGCTGGAACAGCCTCGTGCGCCCCGGCCCTGCCTCGAGCCCTGGCGGCGCTGGCGCGGGGTAAAGTCCACGGGCACTGCGTGAGCGGGGGCAGGACGCCGGGGAGGGGGCACCCGGCAAAGGTCAGGGCTCGTTTGGGGGCAGGAGACGTGGTCTGGTCTGTATGGCCGTGCTGCTTTTATTCACGGTGTAGGGCTGAAGCCCCCCAGCCAGCTCTGGGGTGACACCGAGGGGTCGGAGCCACCCCTAGAAGGATTTGGGACCGGGACCGTGCTGGCTGGAAAAAGGGCAGCCTCTCGCATCTCCTCCCAGGCCCTTTTGGTTCCTGCCTTGTTTTGCTTTGCCCTCCCCTCTGTCTGAAGCCCGGCCGGCGAGGTATTTGCTTTAGGGAAACCGTCTGCAGCCGAGCGTGTTTGAACAGCTTTGCTGGAGGGCCAGGTATTTTTGGTGTGTGTAGAAGGAAACCCTAAGCAAACAGATTAGTGCCGGCTGCTTTGCGGGGAGGTCTCCCCATCGGAGACACCCCACGGGCTCTGTCCTCCTCGGCACCCCTGAGGCCACCAGGCAGCTGCGGGATGCCGGGGGTCCCTTTTAGGAAACGGGGTGCCCCTTTCTCCGGGCTCGCTTCCCAGCCAGGAGGACGGAGGTGCTGCACCCTGATGGCTGTTTTATGGGATCCCCAGCCCCGTGCTCCCTCCCCACGTCTCCCCATCCTCCTGCCCGGCCCCACTCCAGCCCGCTTGCAGTTTTGTTTCCCCGGGGACGTGCCGCCCGCCTCGCTATCTCCCCGCTCTGGTTTCACACCTCCCGCCCGGGGCCGGCTGAGGTGGGGTTTGGGGGAGCGGCAGCCTTTTTGGCCGGGTTTTTTTTTTTTTTGCTTTTTGCTTCCTGGCTGGGAGCGGAGGCAGATGCTGAGCTTCAAGGCAGCTTTTGATGAAAGGGAAGCTGAAATGTAGTGGAAAAACACTGGGGGGGAAAACAACCTCCTCGTTTGGAAAGACCTGGTGGAGGAGCCAAATGGCTCCGGATCACTTCTCCCCTACCCTGCGCTGCACGTGCCTGGAGCATCCTTCCCCAACCCTTTGTCCTTAGAAATTTCGGGCCAACTTTCTGTGTTTTTGGGGTTTTCTTTCCTTCCTGCCAGCTCCTCTCTCCTGCGGGGACCCCGGGGCTCATGGATCTGGGGAAGGGGCAGAGCCCTTTGGCTTTTGGGGTGCACCAGCTGCCTGGGGACAGCTTGGGGATGGTCCCCACGTGGTGGCTGCCGACCGGGTGCTGCTGGGGACCTGTGGGGCACTTCTGCTTCTGCACCTGCTGCGGAGAGACGTGCGGTCTCGTGACGCGCTTGCCTCCCCTGCCACGGGACCGTGGCATCCTCCGCCACTCCCCCTCACTGCGCCTTCACCCCCCGTGCACGCCTCTGGGGCTGAGAGTCCCCAAATCCCCATGGCTGGCAGCACCCCTGACCCCCTTCTGCATTTCAGGAGGGTCCCGGGGAGCCCGTCCCCAGCAGTGGCTCTGCCGGGCCCCCCCAGCCCGGGGGCCAGCCTCGCCGGGGGCCGGGGAAGATGCTCGGGGGCACGCTGAGGGTCCTGGCTGCCCTCCTGGTGGCTGCGGTCATGGGCTACCCGTCCCGGCGCTCCGCCACCGACCTGGATGCCACCCCCAGGACGACGGTCACCTTTGAGGGTAAGGGGGGCGCAGGGTGGGTGCCGGGAGGGAAAACGGGAAGGAAGCTCAGCCTGCTTTTGAGTGCTTTGCGGCGAAAACCGCTTCGAGACTTTCCCCCGTGAAGCCGGATCCCAAAACCCGGGGTGGTGGCCGTGTGCCCCCCGCCCCCAGCGCCCCCATTTTCTCTCGCAGAGCTCTCCGAGGTGCGGCGTTTCAGCGGGCACAGCCTGAACTACACCACGCTGCTGCTGGAGGACGAGCGGGGCATCCTCTACGTGGGGGCCCGCGGGGCCATCTTCGCCCTCAACGCCAGCAACGTGGCTGACGGCTCGCACCGCACGGTGAGCACGGCCCCGTGGCCCTGTCCCCTCGTCCCCGAGCGGCCTCCAAACGGGGAGAGAGGCTCCCCCGTGCCCCAGGGTGGGTTGTGAGGTGGTGTCTGCTTTTCTCCCTGCAGATCCACTGGGAAGCATCCCCGGAGAAGCAGCTGGACTGCCTGCAGAAGGGCAGAAACAACAAGGTAGGGCCAGCACCGGGCGGCAAGGGGGGACACGGTGGCGGTGTCACCGGTTGGTGACCGGGGTCCTCCTCCTCTCCGCAGACCGAGTGCTTCAACCACGTGCGGTTCCTGCAGAGGCTCAACAGCACGCACCTCTACACCTGTGGCACCTATGCCTTCCACCCTCTCTGCGCTGCCATCGTGAGTCCTCCCGACCCCGTTCCCGGCCCCTTTTGGGGCGCAGAGACCCCGTGTCTGGGCGCGTGGCTTTGGGGTGGCAGCGCCGCGCCGTGGTCAATGTCACGCAGACGCCGCCAGTCCCCACCCCGGCGCTGGGGCTGGACTCTGATCCCGCAGCGGGGTGGTGCTGGGGACGTGTGGGGACACAGGGGGGGACACAAAAGGGTGGGATGTGCTGGTGTTGGGGGTCTCAGAGCCGCGCTGTGCGTCCCTGGGGGTGTCCCTCCCGCAGCCCAGGGGGGGACAGAGGGGCCACGGTGCACGTCCCCACGTCCCAAGCTGCCCGTGGGACTACAAGGCTGTTCCCACGGCCCTGCTGCCCGTCTGGTTTGTCCCCAGCCGCTGACGGAGCCGCCACGCCGCTCGGCCCCGTCATTATTTGAAGGGCTTTGAACTGCAAAACCCCAAAGAAAATAACTCCTGCGGTGACACAGCGACGTCGCCACGGCCCCGGGGGGACCCAGCCCGGCTGGGCAGCGGCCACTCGGCCAGGCTGAGGCTTGCTGGGGTGCAGAAACCCCACAGGCGCTTGTGTGGGGTTTTTTTTGGGGGAGGCTCATCCCGCCCGGGCATTGCTAACGCTGCCCCCGTTCCCGCAGGACGCCGACAGGTTCACGCTGCCCGCCCGCTTGGAGGAAGGCAAGGAGAAGTGCCCCTACGACCCCTCCCGCGGCTACACCGGCCTCATCGTGGGTAAGCGGTCCCGTAGCCACACGGGACACTCCTCCACGTGGACGTGGGGGGCTTTTGGGGCTGTCCCCGATGTGCGGTGGTGGCCGTGCTGACGGGTGCCCGCCCCACGCAGATGGTGGCTTGTACACGGCCACACGCTACGAATTTCGGAGCCTTCCCGACATCCGCAGGAACCTGCACCAGCGGCCGCTGAAGATGGAGGAGTCCCCGCTGCACTGGCTGAACGGTAGGGCTGTCCCCGTCCCTGTCCCCATCCCCATCCCTGTCCCTGTCCCCTCGGACTGGTGGCACTGGTGCGTGGGGATTGCCCCGGGAGCGCTTTGCTGCAAGGGGAAACCGAGGCAGGGAGGGACCCTGGAGAGCCCCCAGGTGCCACCTTCCCACCCTGCGCCCCCCAGACGCTGACTTTGTGGCCTCTGTGCTGGTCCGGGAGAGCAAGGACAGCCCCGTGGGGGACGATGACAAAATCTACTACTTCTTCACGGAGCGGGCGGGCGAGGAGACCACCTCCTTCTTCGACAAGAGCCAGGTGGCCCGCGTGGCCCGGGTGGCCCGCGTCTGCAAGGTGAGGGTGGCCCCGGGGAGCGGGGTGCTGCTCCTCCTGCTGCAGGGCCTCCGAGTTTAACCCCCCAGGGGGGAAACTGAGGCACGGGCAGAGCAGAATAAACTCTGCAACATCCCCCGCTTGCCCTTCAGAGTGACGTGGGGGGGAAGAAGATCCTGCAGCGCAAGTGGACGTCCTTCATGAAGGCCCGCCTGGTGTGCTACATCCCCTACTACGAGGTGCTGCGCAGCGTCTGCAGCCTGGACGGGGGCGGCTGGGCCAGCACCGTCTTCTACGCCGCCTTCACCCTCTCGGCGCAGTGGTGAGCGGGGCCGGGTGGGCACGGGGATGGCCAAAAAACAAAAGGAAAGCCTGGAAGCCTGGGTTGACTTGAGCTGTGCACCCAGGAGGACGATGGAAGCGTCGGCCGTGTGCCGCTACAACATCTCCGAGGTGCAGCGCGCCTTCGAGGGCCCCTACATGGAGTACCAGGACTCCTCTCGCAAGTGGTCCCGCTACGACGGCGCCGTGCCCGAGCCCCGGCCCGGCTCCGTGAGTGCTTGGGGAGAGTTTGTGGGTTTTTTGTTGGGGTGCAAGCGGGTGAGCCACCCGCTGATGGTTCTCTGTGTCCCCCTACGTTCCCCGGGCAGTGCATCACGGACAGCTCCCGCAGGAAGGGCTTCAACTCGTCGCAGGACCTGCCCAACAGCGTGCTGGACTTCGTCAAGCTGCACCCGCTGATGTTCGAGGAGGTGCAGCCGGCGGGCGGCGAGCCGCTGCTGGTCAAGAGGAGCGTGGCCTACAGCCGCCTGGCCGTGGACCGCGTGCGGGCCCTCGACGGGCGCCCCTACGACGTGCTCTTCATGGGGACGGGTGAGTGCGGGACGTGGGATGGGTCCCCGAGGAGCGCCGGGGATGGGGTTGGTGTCCCCTGAGCGCCCGGCTCCGCAGGGGACGGCTGGCTGCACAAGGCCGTGGTGCTGGACTCCGGCGTGCACATCATCGAGGAGGTGCAGCTGTTCGGGGAGCCGCAGCCCGTGGAGACCCTGGTGGTCTCCCGCAAGCAGGTGAGGGGGTGGAAATGGGGCTGGGGAGCTCGCAGGGGTGCCCCCTGCGTGGGGCGACGCTGCGAGCTTGGCCCTTTTCACCCCAGAGGAGCCTGTACGTGGGGGCAGCCAGCGGGGTCCTGCAGGTGCCCCTGGCCTCCTGTGCCAGGTACACCTCCTGCTACGACTGCATCCTCGCCCGGGACCCCTACTGCGCCTGGGACGGCCGGGCTTGCCGTGACACGGCCAACAGGGACAGGTAGGGACAGCCCTGGGGGTGCCCCTCACCCCGATAATTTCGGGGCTGTGCAGGCTGCAGGACGCTGACCCCTCTGTCCCGCAGCACGGGGCTGGTGCAGGACGTGCAGGGCGGCAACGCGGGATGCCGGAGCGGCTCTGGGCGCAGTGAGTCCACGCACATAGGGGTGGGGGCTTCACAGGGGTGCCGGCTGGCTCGGGGGGGGGGATCCACTGACACCGTAACAACGCGGTGTGCGCCCCCGTAGGCTCCTTGCCGTGGAAGAACCGGACGGTGCTGCGTGGGGACGACGTGCTGCTGCCCTGCGACCAGCGCTCCAACCTGGCGCGGGCCGTGTGGCTGCTGAACGGCAGCGAGGTGCCGGGCGCGGGGCAGGAGCGGCTGCGCGTGGGGGTGGACGGGCTGCTGGTGACCGACACGCTGCCGGAGCACGGCGGCGAGTACCGCTGCTACGGCGAGGAGCGAGGTCTGCGGACGCTGCTGGCCGCCTACAGCCTCAGCGTGCTGCCCGAGCTGCCCCGCGCCGCCGCCACCGCCGCCAGCACCGAGCCGCACGCCGCCTCCCGGCTGGCCGGCGACGCCAAGGTGGCTTACGTCTCCACCATCGTGGTGCTGGTGGTGCTGTGCGCCGTGCTGGCCATCGTCCTGCTCTACGTGTCCTGCCTGGAGAAGCGCAAGGGCAAGTACGTCCTGGGCGAGCCGCGGGCCGCCAACGCCGAGCTGCAGACGGTGTCGGCCAGCTGCCTGCGCAAGGGCCGCAAGGAAGAGGAGGAGGAGGAGGAGGATGAAGAGCGGCTCGCTTACCCCGACGGCTGCCTGCGCATCATCCCCGGCGAGGCGCCCACGGCCGCCACCTCGCCGGTCAAGGAGCTGCCGGCGGTGGTGCCGCCGCCGCCGCTACCGCCGCCGCCGCCGCTGCTGCTGCCCTCGGAGCTGACCAACTGGGGTGGGCGCCCTGCCCAGCGTCCTGCGCAAGATGAACGGCAACAGCTACATGCTGCTGCAGCAGGACGAGCCCCTGGCGTCGCCGCTCTTGCAGCGCCTCCTTCACCGAGGAGCTCAGCAAGATCCTGGAGAAGAGGAAACACACGCAGCTGGTGGAGAAGCTGGACGAGAGCTCCGTGTAGGGGCCGGAGGGGAGTCACCCCCCCCCGGCCCCTTTTCCCACCCCCCTTGCCAGCAGTGTTACGAGACTCAGGTGGAAACTACCTCCGGGACCGCCAGTGTTGGGCCGGGCCCAGCCTCGTCGGTTCCTTCGGCTTTTCATTCACTTTTAAAGACTTGGGATGTCCAAAAACTAGAAAAAAAAAAAAAGGAAAAGGAGAGAAAAAAAAAAAGCCCAGAGAAGAATCTATTTAAATCTGAAACCTTTATTTAAGTACAAAAAACCCACTGACGGCGGTCACAAGCTGGAGGCAGGAGCTGGCGCCTGGCTGAAGGTGGACACGGGGCCGGGAGGGGAGGGACCCTTTCTGTCCGTCCGTCTGTCTGTCCAGGCCGGAGACCCTGTCCCAGACGTGAGGACGCCCCCTCGGGCAGCCCTGGCCCCGGGTGCCCAGCAGCCAGGTGGGTGCTGAGCGGGAATGGGGGCGCAGGGGGGGGGCTGTGGGGCCGCCAGCCCCTGCCCGCTGCCACGTCTGCTCCCCCAGGGCTCACTCTCCTGGCAGGATGCTCGGCGAGGAAGAGGAGGAGGAGGAGGAAGAGGAGGAGAGCTACCCCGTGCCCACCCCGAGGAGGGATCAGTAGCGCCGGGTGAGTTGTAGGATGGGTGCTGTGGGGTGGCCCTACAGCTGGGGGGTTAACCCTGATGGCACTCTGCTCCCTCCCCGCAGGGCGCTGCTGGCAGCACAGAGGGGACGCGGTGGCGGGCAGCAGGACGCTGGCAGCGAGGTTGTCCTGTCCCCAAGGGTTGTCCCTGTCCTTGCCCTGCAGTGTGGGAAGGGACCAGCACCGCTCCTGTGTCCTTGCACAGCCCGGAGATGGCACATTTCAGCCCTCCCCCATGGCACGATGGATATTTGGGGGGTGTCAGGCACTGCCCTGTCCCCCGTGGCACAAAGATGTCCCCTCGGCGGTCCCTTGTGCACCAAGGAGGATCTCTGCACCAGGGCCTGCCTCCTGTAGGGCCAATTCATGGCACTACCAGGGGCAGCCACCAGCCTTGAATCCCCAAATCCCACCCCAACTCTCTCCGTGTCCCAGTGACAGGGAGGAGGTGACACTGGAGGACAAACCTGGGCTGGGGAATTCCTTTTCCATACCCCCAAGCATTGCCCAGAGATCAGCCCCCTCCTGCCTCTTCCCTCTGAAGAGTTGGGGGGGGGGGCAAAATCCACCCCGTACGCCCCTAAGGGGGCATCACCCTCCCTGCCTGCTCCCCCCTGGCACGGCCCCGGGGCAATAAACGTGATGGTCAGTCCGGAGGTGTCTCTGTGGGGAGCAGGGGCCGAGGTTTTTTTTTTATTGGGGGGGTGCCAGGCGGGGGCCCCGCACGAGGAGGGCGGGGGGCTTGTTGGTGAGGGGGTGCCACTGGCCCTGGATGCTGGGGTTGTCGGTGTGGAAGGGCTTGCGGATGCGCACCACGTCCAGGCCGGACTGGTTGGCCAGTTTGGTGGCGAGCTGGGCGATCTCCTCGCTGGTCTTGTTGGCGATCAGCTCCTCCCGCACCGTCCCGTTCACTGCAGCACAAGGGGGTGAGGCTGGGGGGGTCCCCAGTGCCCCCCCCTTGTTACTTGGCATCTGTGTGTGTGTCCCTTCCTTCTGTATCCCCCCATCCTATCCTTCCTTCTGGTGCCCCCCCCAGTCCCCCAACTCCTCAGTGCCCCCTCCCATCCCAGTGCTCCCCCCAGTCCCTCCTCTCCTCCCAGTTCCCCACTCCCCATACACTTCTCCTCCCAGTGCCCCCTGCCCAGACCCCCCCAGTTCCCCCTACCCAGTCGGCCCTCTTAACCCAGTGCCCTTCCCAGTTCCCCCCTCCCAGTATTCCCCCTCCAGTGTCCCCTCTCCTCCCAGTTCCCCCCCAGTCCCACCTCTCCCTTCCAGTGCCCCCCTCCCAGTACCCCTCCAGCCCCCCCCTCTCCTCCCAGTTCCCTCCTAGTTCCCCCCCAGTCCCCTCCTCTCCCCTTCCAGTGCCCCCCTCCCAGTTCCCCCCCAGTCCCTCCCCTCCCTCCCAGTGCCCCATACCCAGTACCCCCCCTCCAGTACCCCCCTCTTCTCCCAGTTCCCCCCCAGTCCCACCTCTCCCTCCCAGTGCCCCATACCCAGTACCCCCCCCTCCAGTACCCCCCTCTTCTCCCAGTTCCCCCCAAATCCCCCCTCTCCCTCCCAGTGCCCCATACCCAGTATCCCCCCTCCAGTGTCCCCTCTCCTCCCAATACCCCCCAGTCCCCCCTCCCCTCCCAGTTCCCCCCCAGTCCTCACTCTCCCTTTCCAGTATCCCCCCTCCCCATACCCTTCTCCTCCCAGTGCCCCCTCAGTCCCCCCTCCGCTCCCAGTATTCCCCCTCCAGTCTCCCACTCCTCCCAGTATCCCCCCTCAGTCCCCTCTCTCCCTCCCAGTTCCCCCCCAGTCAGTCCCCTCTCCCCTCCCACTATCCCCTCTCCCTCCCAGTTCCCCCACAGCCCCTCCCAGCCCCCCCAGTTCCCCCAGTCCCCCCACTCACAGTACTCTGCCCGCAGCATGGGGGCTGCCCCCCCCTCGTTCCGCACGTACAGCACCACCTCAGGGTGCCCGCGGGCGAACTCCGCCGCCCGCTCCTCCACGAACTGCCTGCGGGGCGGCACAGAACCCCAAAAAAACAACACCCTCAGCGCTCAAACACCACCATAAACCCCAAATAAACCCAAAACACTCCGATTATCCCCACCCTACCTGGCCCCGCGGGCGTCGGGCGCGATGGGGCTGAAGAGGAGCTGCAGGCGCTGCAGCTGCCTCACGTAGCGCCCCAACCCGCAGCACAGCGCGGCCCCCAAAAACCTGCTGGCAGCCCCCCGGGCCGTCATGGCCGCTCCTGCTGCCCCGGAAGAGGAGGAGGAGGAGAAACAAGAGGAGGAGGAGGAGGAACGAGGGAGGCGGGCCACGAAATGGCGGCGCCCGCCGGGCTCCACGCGAGGGCGGGAAGCTGAGGCGAGAGGGGGGGGGGAGATGGCGGCGGGGCCGCTGCGCCCCTACAGAGCCGCCGCCGGGTTGTCGGCAATTTGGAGCCGCGGGGGGGTGATGATGATGATGGTGGGCATGGAGAAGGCTGCGGGGAGGCTGAGGCAGCGCCGCTTCAAGAGGGCCGTGCTGCCCGAGCCCGCTGCCTCTGTCCCCTGCCGTGTCCGTCACCGAGATCCGCAGGTACCTCCGTGAGCAGGGGCTGCCCTTCCATGATGGCCACAGCTGCCTGCACGCCCCCAGCCTCTTCACCCCCGGCCCCGCCGCGCCGCCCTTCACGCTCTTCATCGACAAGACGACTGGCGGCTTCCTCTGCACCGCCACGCTGGCCGAGGGCACCTGGCAGGACCTGCAGGCTGCCGTGGAGCTGCGCCACCGTGGGCTGCCCCCTCCAAGCCTTCATGAGGATGATGAGGAGGAAGAAGATGAAGGCAGGAGGGCGAGGGAGGCCGCCCGGCGCATCTGGGAGCGGGCGCTGCCGCTCTGGGAGCTCTGGATGAAGAGGAAAGCCGGGCCACCAAGGCGGCGTTCGGCATCGCCCAGCTGGCCGACGCCACCCTGAAGCGTTTCGGGGTGCGCTACCTGCGTGCCGCCAGGGCGCTGGTCTTCCCTTGGTTCGCCCCCCGCGACGGCGCCCTGCGGGGGCTGAAGCTGGTGGGCGCCACGGAGGAGACGTTCCCCCGCTTCGACGCCTACCACAACCTCTTCGGCTTGCCTTTAGTCGGGCGCCGCGACACCGAGGTGGTGCTGACGGGGCGGGAGCTCGACGCCCTGGCCCTACACCAAGCCACCGGGGTGCCCAGCCTGGCGCTGCCGCGGGGGGCTACCTGCTTGCCCCCGGCCCTGCTGCCCTACCTGGAGCAGTTCAAGCGCGTCACGCTGTGGCTGGGCGACGACCTGCGCTCCTGGGAGGCCGCCAAGCTCTTCGCCCGCAAGCTGAGCGTCAAACGCTGCTCCCTGGTGCGCCCCGGGGACCTCCAGCCCCGGCCCTTGGAGGCGTTGAACCGGGGGCTGAACCTCACCAAAATCCTGCGCGCCGCCCTGCCCGCCGGCCACAAGTCCATCGTCTCCTTCAGGCAGCTGCGCGAGGAGGTTTTCGGGGAGCTGGCCAACAGCGAGCAGGTGGCCGGCGTCAAGTGGGCGCGCTTCCCCGAGCTCAACAAGCTCCTCAAGGGGCACCGCAAAGGCGAGCTCACCGTCTTCACAGGTGAGGGGCACGCAGGGCGCAGCCAGACCCCAAATCCCAGCTGGGAGATGCACGGGGCAATGGGGTGATGTGCAAGCACCTAGGTGTGGGATGCTGCCTGTGGAAACGCCGGGTTTGGGTTGCTCTTGGCTGTACCCAGGTGTTTTTTCCTTCAAATACCCTCCCGAGCAATCAGCACGGGTTACATCTTCTCCCCCAGCTCATTTCTCCCTCTTTCCCCCAGGCCCGACGGGCAGCGGGAAGACGACGTTCATCAGCGAGTACGCGCTGGACCTGTGCACGCAAGGGGTGTGCACGCTGTGGGGCAGCTTCGAGATCAACAACATCCGCCTGGCCAAAATCATGCTGACCCAGTTCGCCGCGCGGCGCCTGGAGGACCAGTTGGAGCTGTACGACGAGTGGGCCGACCGCTTCGAGGAGCTGCCGCTCTACTTCATGACCTTCCACGGCCAGCAGAACATCAAGTACGGCCCCGGCCCTTTTTTCTCCCCAAAATCTCGCTCTCTGTGTGCTGGCGGGGTGAGGGGACACGTGGGGCAGGGCGTGCTGTGGCAGGTGTCCCTGCTGTCACCAGCGCTGTTCTGGCTTTCTTCTGCGTCTCCCCGTGCCTGGCTCGGTGTCTGTGTCCCCAGTAATTTTGGTGTCCCCCATGCAGGACGGTTCTCGACACCATGAAGCACGCTGTCTACATGTACGACATCACCCACGTGGTCGTGGACAACTTGCAGTTCATGATGGGGCACGAGCAGCTCTCGGCAGACAGGTGAGACCCTCTCCTGGGAGTTATAACCCCAAACGGGTGTCCCGTTGAGGTCCTAGTCCAACACGACAGCCCCTGTTTTGGGGTGGTGGCTGCCCCTGGGAGCGTGGGGCTGCCCCCGACGTGCCCTCGCTGTCCTCCCCCTGCAGGCTCGCAGCCCAGGATTTCATCATCGGTGCCTTCCGCAAGTTCGCCACGGACAACACGTGCCACATCACGCTGATCATCCACCCCCGCAAGGAGGACGACGAGAAGGAGCTGCAGACCGCCTCCATCTTCGGCTCCGCCAAGGTGCCTCCTCCCGGCCCCTCGGGGCTGTCCCCACAGCTCACTGGGACGGGGTTGGGTATCATGGGGCGCCCCTTTCCCCGTGCGGCACCCCCTGGAGATGTTTTTTTTTCTCCCCGCAGGCCAGCCAGGAGGCCGACAACGTCCTCATCCTGCAGGACCGCAAGCTGACGACGGGGCCAGGGAAGCGGTACCTGCAGGTGGCCAAAAACCGCTTCGACGGGGACGTGGGCGTCTTCCCCCTGGAGTTCAGCAAGGCCTCGCTCACCTTCTCCTCCAGCAAGAGCAAGGCCAAGCTGAAGAAGGTGAAGGAGGAGAAGGCGCCTGCGGCCAAGAAGGATCCGGACGGAGGTGCCGGAGGCTCCAGCAAGCCCTGAGCGCGGCGATTCCCACCAGGAGGGATGGAGCACCGCAGTTTTGGGGTGCAGCGGGAGCAGCAGGGCCATGTGCCCGTGTTCTGTCCTCCTGTGTGAAGCAGCCCCGTTGTCCTGCGGGATGTGAGGGGAGCAGGAGAGAAGGCACCTGGAATTTGGGGGCTCTGGACGCGGGGCAGGTCCTTAAATTGCGGCAAAAGCGGGGCCAAATGCCTGGGGGGGGTCACGGTCCAGATTTGCTGCGTGCCGCGGGGCTCCTGCAGCTCTGCGGGGTCCGGCCCCTGCTTGGGGTCACCCCAAACCCCCCGTTCCTGTGGGGCATCACCAGCATCACACCCTCAGGGAGCAGCCCCCGGGGGACCTGGGAGCGTTTTATGGCAAAATACTGTGACGTGGCCCGGCCCCGCTGCGGCGGGGAGCCCGCGGTGGGCTCTGGGTCCGACCTTTGGGGTTTTATTAAAGCAGAAACGTTGAGTGCTGTGCCTGTGCCCTGTCCTCTGCTACCTGGGACCGGGGAGGGGGGTGTCCCCATGCTGTAACCCATCCCAAATCCCACATATCCAGGCCGTGGAGCCCCGTTTCTCCCCGTGGGTGCAGGTTGGGCACGTGCCCTGCATTTAGGGTCTGGGGTCTGCAGTTCCTGTGCTATGTGAGGACGGTGCCATGGGGCCACGCTGCCCCACATACCCCATCCCCATGCGCCTCCCACACCCCACAGCACCCCCAACCTCAAGGAACCGACCCCACGACGGGCAAAACCAGCTGCGCCCCATAGGGGATAGAGCCCCGGGGGGTGACCCTATCCCCCCTAAACACCCCCCTAACCCCACAACCGACCCCAGGACCACCTCCCCCGGCGGGGGGCAGCCTCCCAACCCCTTTCCCTTTTCGGCTCCGCTGCCGGTCGCTGCCGGGCGCCCCGGCCGTAGGGCTCCCCCCTGCCGCCTCCCGCTCCGCTGCGGGGCCGGGGGCCGGGGGCGGCGGGGGCGGGCGGGGCCTGGCGGGGCCCGGGCCGGCGGGGAGCGGCGGCGGAGCCAGGGGTGAGCGGGGCAGGGACCGGAGGAAGCCCCCCCGGAGGGGGACCCCAAAGCTTGGCGGTGGGTGAGGAGGGGGTGGGAGGAAGGGGAAGGGGTCGGGGAACGGGGCGCTGGCGGATCGAGGGGGTCGGGAGCCGGCTGGGGCTGCGGGAGCCCCCCCCGTGCGCACCGGGTGCTCGCACCGGGAAATGGGGCGCATGGGGGGCGCGGCGCCGTCCCCCTTTTTCCCTCGTTACCCCACAGAGGGAAAGGGGGGGGGGGAAGGAGGAGAAGATGGAGGCGCCGCCGCCCGCCCCCGGCACGGCTCCCCCCCCCGCCGGCCGCCTCCCCCCCGCCGGTCCCCGGGGGGGGGCTCCGGGGGTCCCGGTGCGCCCTGACCCCATCCCTTGCCCCCTTTTCCCCCCTTCCTCCGGCTCTTTCCCGTTGCAGGAGCCGAGCCGGGAGCCGGGCACACCGCCCGGATGGGCCTCGGCTGGCGAGGTGAGCACCGGGGGGGTCCCCAAAACACCGGGGGGGGCACCCCGAGGGGACCCCCGGTGCCCGGGGGCAGCGCCCCGACCCCACAGCGCGCTCCGCGTTCCCATGGGGCTGGGACCCCCGCTACCTATAGGCTAAGGGGGGCACCCCCCAGCCCATCCCATCCTTATTTTTATTTTTTGGGGTGGGGGGCGCACAGGGTGGTTCGGGGGGGGGGTCCCCCGCTGGTGGGACCCGGGGGGGCGGCCCCGGGGGCGGCCCGGAGGGGACCGGGGCGGTGCCAACCCGGCGGGCGGAGCGAGGCGGCCCGAGCGCATCATGGGGCGCCCCGGCCCAGGTGGGTGTAGGGCCGGCCCTGGGGGGGGTCCCCGGTTATCCCCCCCCCCTCGTTATCCCCCGTAGCCCCCCGGTAGCCCCGGAGCTCGGGGGGGATCCTTTAGGGGCCGCCCGTCGGGGCGCCGGGGGGCGCGGGAGTGGTGGGGGGGAGTATGGGGGGGGTAATGGGGGTGTGGGGTTGTGGTTATGGGGCTGGGGGGCTGGGGGCTGTGGGGAGGTGGGTGGGGGGTGTGGGGGGAGTGTGGGACACGTAGGGGTGTGGAGAGGGGGGAGGGGGGGGAGTGGAGAAGAGTTTGGGGGTGCTGGGGGGGTGTTGGAGCTGTAGGGTGGTGTTGTGGGGTGGGGGTGCTTTGGGGAGGGATGTTTGGGGTGCTGGGTGCTATGGGGGTGTTTGGGGCAGGGAGCTGGGGCATGGCAGCGCTGGCGATGCTGGGGGCAGGGTTTGGGGCAGGGTTTGGGGCAGCAGGACAGCCCCCCCATACCCTTTGCCCCCCCCCCCCAGTTAATCCCAGCTTTATTCCGCTTCGCTCGGTGCCACCCCTCGCTCCTGCCCCCCGGCACCCCATTATCGGGGATGTTTGGGGTGGGTGCAGATGGGTTTTTCCCTAATGCCCAGTGTCCCCACACCGCTGCTTCTCCTCCCCACAGGCTGCCCGCGCCCCCCAGCCCGCCGGGGGCCCCCCCGCCATGGCCATCGTGCAGACTTTGCCCGTCTCCATCGAGGCCGCCCCTGAGGGGGCCGCCCAGCTCCGCGCTGCCGCCCGCTCCCCCAAATCCTCTCGGGGCGCCATGGGCAGCGTGGGCAGCCTCATCGCCGGCCGGCCCTGCCACGACCGCTCCTGCCAGCCCCCCGCCACCAGCTCCTTCCTCCTGCACGACGGGCTGCTGCGGGCCAGCCCCCCGGACCCCTTGCTCCACGCGCTGCCCCCCAAAAAACCCTGCTCTGCCGCTCCCGGCGTCGCCCACGCCTACTCCAACGAAGGTTTCCACGGGGAGTGGTTGGAGGCAGCCTCTCCGGTCAGCCCCTGCAGCGATTCGGATGAAGCCCGGGATGAACGAGCCCCCGGTGGCAGCATTCGGGGGCCGCCCCCCAAGCTTGTCCCCGTGTCCGGGAAGCTGGAGGAGGTAGGGGGGGAGAGGTGCTGGGGTCTCTGCTCGGCGCCCGGTGCTGTGCTGGGTTTGGGGTCTCGGGGAGGTGTGTGGGTAGGGGCTGTGTGGTGGCGTTGTCCCTGTCCCTGGGGGTAGAGGTGGTCTCTGCGCTCCTGATGTCCCCTTCCTCGTGCCAGGGGTGGCACTGTGAATGTGGGAGCCCTTCCGACCCCATCTGGGGGCAGAGAGCGTTTGGTGCTTGTCCCCTTCAGCACGTGGAAGTTTTGGGGTTGGGGACACCTCCAAGTGTTGCATGGGGACAGGATCCGAGGGTTACCAAGCCCACCCGTGGTGTGGGGCCACCCGCTGGAGGCTGCCAGCTCCCGGAGCCGCGCTCTCCCCTCTTTCCCTCCCCAGAACGTGGAGAAGACCCTGATCCGCCCCATGGCCTTCAAACCGGTGATACCCAAAATCAGGACTGCTCCGGGGCCGGCCAGCTTGGGGGTGCGCCCGGCGGCCCCGGCGCTTTCGGAGAGCCAGGTGAGCCTCACCCACCTGCTGGGGGCCGCCGGGGCTGACAAACCCGGCTCGCTGAGCTGCTGCGCCAGCAGCCACTCGGGCACGCTCTCGGATTCGGGGCGCAACTCCCTGTCCAGCCTGCCCACCTACAGCACGGGCTGCAGCCAGCACGCCGAGGCGGGCGCGCTCCCGGCCACCCCACACGGCCACCCCGAGCCCCCGGGTGGCTACCGCCCGCCCGCCGGCCCCTCCAACTCGGACAGCGGGCGCTCGTCCTCCAGCAAGAGCACGGGCTCGCTGAGCGGCCGGGGGAGACCCTCCTCCGAAAGTGGCTCCTGTGGGCGCTCGCCCCTGCCCGGAGAGGAGGCCCTGCTGGTGCGGGAGCTGGAGGACAAGCTGCGGGAGAGGGAGGCCGAGCTGCAGCAGCTGCGGGATAGCCTGGACTGAGAACGAGGTGGCCATCTGCCAGGTGGGTGCCCACGGGGTCTGGGAATTGGGGTGGGGGGCTCCTCGGTGGTGCTGGTGGCAGTGGGGTGGGCATGGGGGTGCTGTTGGGGCAGGGCTTAGGAATGGGGTGGCCTCCATGGTGTGGGGTTGGAGACTCCGCATGCGCATTTTGGGGTCTGGCACGGGGGTGGCAGCACTCCGTCCTCTTCTGGGAAGCGCAGACCTCCAGGAGCCCCACTTCCAGCCATGAGGACGTGGGGGTGGCGGTGTTTGGGATCCCATCCCGGGGTTGCCAGTGCTGCTTATCCAGCACGTTCCCGCGCCCAGGTGTACGAGGAGAAGCAGCGGCGCTGCGAGCAGGAGCTGGAGGGTTTGCGGCAGCGCTGCGCGGCCCAGGTGCGGCAGGCGGCGCAGCAGGCGCAGCGCGGGCAGCAGGTCCTGCAGCTCCAGGTGCTGCAGCTGCAGCAGGAGAAGAAGCAGCTGCAGGAGGACTTTGCCCAGCTGCTGCAGGAGCGCGAGCTGCTGGAACGGCGCTGCGCCTCCTTCCAGAGGGAGCACACCGAGCTGGGACCCCGCCTGGAGGAGACCAAGTGGGAGGTGAGCCACGGCACGGTGCCCCCACTTACCCGCGGGGTGACCGCGGTGTCCCCATCCCCGAGAGGTTGGAATGGGGACGGGACCTGAGCCATCTCCGCCCCGACAGGTGTGCCAGAAGTCGGGGGAGATCTCCCTGCTGAAGCAGCAGCTGAAGGAGTCGCAGGCGGAGCTGGCGCAGCGGGGCACGGAGCTGCTGGTGCTGCGGGCGCAGCTGCGGGAGGCGCGGGCCGAGCTGCAGGCGGGTGAGCAGCAGGCGCGGGGGCTGCAGGAGGCCGCCCGGCTCAAGGCGCTGGAGCTGGAGGTGTGCGCCAACGAACTGCAGCGCCGCAAGAGCGAGGCCGACCTCTTCCGTGCCAAAGCGGGCCGGCTGGAGCAGGAGGTGGCAGGGCTGCGGGAAGCCGCCCGCGGGCGCTGCCCCTGTCCCCGAACCCGGCGAGGGTTGCCCGGAGCTTGGAGAGGAGGCGCGGGGCACAGGCGGGGCTGCGGCAGGCAGCTGGAGAGGCTGCGGGCGGAGGTGGCCCTGGAGAGGCGGCGCGGGCAGGAGCAGCGGGAAGCCTTCGAGCAGGAGCGGAGCACGTGGCAGGGCGAGAAGGAGCGGGTGATCCGCTACCAGAAGCAGCTGCAGTACAACTACATCCAGATGTACCGCCGCAACCGGCGCCTCGAGCAGCGCCTCCAGCACCTCCGGCTGCAGGGCTGAGGACCCCCCGGCCTCCTCCGAGCCCTGCGAGCCCCCCGGCACGGACCCAGCCTTCGAGGAGATCACGGCCACCGAGATCTGAGACGCTGCCTGCGCCCCGGCCCCCTGCTTGGACAGCTTGGGGGCTCCAGCCCCATGGATTTTGGGGGTCCCCGCTCTGCTCCCCGCTACGCAGAGACCGACTGGCGCTGGGAGGGGGCAGAGGGGACCTCGGGAGCTGCCCCCTCCCTGGCGTCAGTGGTGTCGGGGTGAGGTTGTGGTGGCCCCCCCGCTGTGGCAGGGGGGTGCCCCGGAGCTGTGGGGTCGGGGGGTGCTGCGTCACGGCCCCGGGGCCGCTTGGGGCTGGTTTGCTGCTGATCCTCTTAGCGCCCGGGGATTAGCAGCGCTGCCTTCAGCCGGGGTCACCTTGGGCACGGGGCGGGGGGGGGTGGCTCATCCCCTCCGTCCCGTCCCTCCCAGCACTGTCACCCAGCCGCTGTCCCCTGGGGGAGCGCGCCCTGTCCCTGCCTTCCTTCCACCCCCCCACCCTGCGTGTTAGTCAGGGGATTCGTTTCTGTGCCATTTTAAAGAACTCTATTTTTATAGGACCTACCAAAAAAAAAAAAACAACCAGCGCCCGCTCCGTGCTCACGCCCTGCCTGGCTGCGGACCCCCCCTCACCCCCGCCACCGGGCGCGTTGCCCTCAGTGCCTTCCCCGTGCCCTTGCCCCCAGCATCCCTGTGTGTCTCCCCCCCAAAAGAAAAAACCCAAAAGCCCAGCCCGTGCCCCTGTGATGCCCAGCCTGCACGGCCTGGGGGAGAGGGGCTCGGCGCGGGGCAGCCAGCGCTGGCCACCAGTGGGGGACACCTCGGGGACACCGGGGTTTTGGGGGTCGGGCTCTGTGCCCGCGGGGTCAAACCAAAGGAAAAGCCTGGCCGTGCCCAGCTCTGGCTTGCTCGCCCCCGAGTTGTTTTGGGGGGAGGTTGGGAGGGGAGAGAGTTGGAATTGTATTTTTGTACTTTTATTTCGGTTGTGTCCCATTTCCAGAGCCCAGCTCGCCCTTGTACCACCTGGAAACGCCGATTAAAAGCAAGCCCCCGGCTGTGTTTTTTTCAGGGCAGCGTCCGCGTGGCCGGAGCCACTTGTTTCAGGGTCAGCTCCACTTATTTCCCCCCTCCCCACCTTCTTTTTCGTGCCCCCACCTGGGTCCCTCTTTGGGCACCTCTTGGGTCCCCCTGTCCCTGCTGGCTGAGGCCGGCCACAGCTCGGCGCAGGAATGAGCCGGCTCCGTGGGGTCCAAGAAAGGTTTCTCGGCTCCAGGAGGGGGAAATATTTTCGGTATCATTCCGGGGGGGGTCCGGGCACCCTCACCACCAGCTCCATGGGCTCCTTGGCTTTGTTGCGGTAGGCCTGGCGGATGATGTCCACGGCGCGCTGGTGCGTCACGTTCTGCAGGCTCTCCCCGTCCACCGACACCAGCTCGTGGCCCGCCTGGCCCCAAAGGGATGGGGGGAAGGCAGCGGGGTGAAACGCAGCCCCAAGAGGGGCTGGGGGGCAAGGGGAAGGGTCCGTGTCCCCAAAAAAGGCAGGTGGGTACCTTGAGGACGCCGCTGAGGAAGGCGGCTCCCCCGGGGAAGATCTTCTCGATCTTCACCACCGGCTGTGCCCGCGACTCGATGCCTCCCGAGATGCTGATCCCTAAAAGGGAGCCCCAATGCTTTTGGGTGCAGGTAGATGGGGTGTTGTGCCCCCCCCCCCAAACCCCCATGGGGCTGTATGGCCCCTCTCCATCCCCTACATGAGGGTATGGGGCTGGAGGAATGGGGACTGGCACTGCTGAGGGCTTCACCCGCATCCCTGTCCCCATAAAGAGCCCAAGGGGATCCCACCCACCCCAAAGGTTCAGATGGGGGGGTCCCATCCCACCCCAACCCTGTGTCACCCCCCAAAACCCTCCCAGCAAGACCCACGCACCCAACGAGTGCTTCAGCTTGGAGAGGGTGACGGTCAGCAGCCGCTCTTCCTCCTCCTCCTCCTCCTCCTCCTTGGGGCCATTGGCGGCCGGCGCAGCCCCCACCTCCCCTGCTGGCCCCCCAAAAAGGGGCGCGAGGGGGGCCCGCGCCCTCCGGGGCTTCCCCAGCCCCTCGCCCACCCAGGGGGGCTCCGTGCGCCGGGTGGGCTGGGGGCTGCGCCTGCGCCCCTCCCGGGGGGGCTCGGCCAGCAGCCAGCTGGGGGGGGGCCCCGGTCCTGGGGTGGCCGGGGGGCCGCTGGCGCTGTTGTAGGAGTCCACTGGCACGTCGGGGAGCGGGGTGTAGGAGCTGGGGGTGAAGCCGGTGGGGGCTGGGGGATGCCCGTGGCCGGGCTGGGCTCGGTGGCAGCCCCCCGACATCCTCCGGGTCCGGGGCCCCCGCTGGCTTCAGGAGGAATCCGCCGCGGTAGTCTGCAAAGAGAGGGGTCGGGGGGGCAAAGAGAGGGGTCAGCGGGGGCACGAGGTGTCCACGGCCCCCTTGGCACCACGGTTCCTGGGTCATCCTCCTCCAGGAACCCCCCCAGAGCCCTCTCTTTCCGCAGGGACCCCAAAACGCCCCACACCCGGTGCCCCCCTCGGAGCCGAGCTCCCCATTTCGCACCCCCCCTGCGCTGTCCCCAAATCCCCAGTCCCTTCCTGGCACCCCGCTGGCACCCACCAGGCACTGGCGTGATGAGGTGTCTCTTGGGGGGGACGTCGTGGTGGGCCGGGCGGAGGGCAGGCGACCTCACTGCGGGGGGCGAGAGCAGCGGGGGTCACCCCTGCGCCCCCTCCCCAAACCCTCCCCATGGTTTTTTGGGGTCAGGCTCTACCCGAGCGGCTCTTGAGGGCGTCGAAGGCTTCCAGCTCCAGGGGCATCACCATGCTGTCGAAGCGACCCAGGTCCGTGGGGGCCACCACGCTCCTGTGGGGGGGACAAAACGGGGCCGGGCTGCGGGTGCTGACCGGGACACGAGGTTTTGGGGCCACCCCGGGGTGCCCGCAGCCCCCACCTCACATCCCGAAGCAGCAGCACCTTCTCGGGCCGGTCCAGGATGGCGAGCAGCGGCCTCACCAGATCCTCCACACCACCCTCGTGCAGGTACTTTGGGCACAAAGCAGGGGTCAGCGGTGGGTCCCCAAACCCTATAACCCTTTCTGTCCCCCGATGGGGTCACGGAGCTGCCCGGTGTCCCCGCGGTGCCGTACCCGTGTGCAGTGGCGGAGCACGGCCGTCACCTCGTCGGGGCTGAGCAGCCTCGCCGCCGTGTCCTGGATGAGCGGGAGCCGTGCCTCGGGGTCGCTGCCGTTGGGTTGTGGGGCCGTGGGGCCAGCCAGGGCCAGGATGCTGGCACGGCGGCTTTTCTCTGCGGGGAGGCAGAGCACGGGGTGGCCAGCGGGGTAGGGACACCCGGTGCCCACCGCCAGCCCCAAACCCACGCACCCCACCGGTGCCACTGCTCTTAACCCATGCCAAAATCACACAGGCATGCAAACACACGCAGCTCTGGATTTGGGGACCCCCTCCCCGGTGCCACACCGTGCGGGGACAGGCGCATGCAGGAGCTGCCCCGCAGCCCCCCCGGGGGCACCCCCGTTACCCCGCTTCAGGCTCCGGATGACAAACTTCTGCACAGCGCCTACTGCAAGGGAGATGGAGAGGGGTGAGCACGCAGGGGGAGGACCAAAATGTGCACACGGGGACCCCCCCTTTCCACGCTCCCCCTCTTTGTGGTGCCCCATAAGGGGGGAGCTGTGCCAGGCTGGTTCCCCGTCCCCCCTCCCGGTACCTCTGTCCCCATCGGGGCGCCCCGGGGACTTGGCGCGCGCCCGGCGCTCGGAGCCGGGGGGGTCCTGGCTCGGGGGGGCCCAGCTCTGGCTGGTGGCACGGCCGCCCTTGAAGAAGAGGTTGACGAGGGTCTTGGAGCGGTGCAAACCGGGGGGGGCCCCCCGCGCCCCCTGGCCCTCCGGCTTCTCCTTCTTCCGCTTCTCCTCTGCGGGCAGAGAGGGGCGAATTGAGGGGATTGGGGGGGGTCACCGAGTGGAGGAGAGCCCCGTAGGGGGGGGTGCAGCACCCCAGTGCCTACCGGCCACGGTGAGGTCGCTCTGGGAGCGCGTGATGGGCTGCCGAGGCCGGCTGAGGGCCAGCAGCAGCGCCGTTTTGGGCGAGTGGCCGAAGGTGCGGCGCGGGTGGGTGCCGGGGGGCTCGCGGGCGCCCTGGCCCCGGATGGCCGTGTCCCGCAGCAGCTCGGGGGGCCTCATGGTGCGCCGCGTCTCCGCCAGCCCCTCGGTGGCCGGCTCGGTCTGCATGGCCCTCTCGGCACGCTCCCGGGCCCAGCCTCTCCGTGGCCCGTCCTCGGTGGAGATGGCCACGTCCACGGTGCGGGCGGGTGGCCCCGGGGTCGCCGTCCCCAGCCCGTTCACCGCCGGTGGTGGGGGTCCCGAGGAGTAGGAGGAGATGGAGGAGCTGGTCTCTGATGTCTGTGATAGCTGCTGCAGCTGCCCGTTGGTCACTGTAAAAGGGGACACACCGTGGGGATGTGGGGACTTTGGATTCAGCCTGAGGATGGGGGATGTGGGGACTATAGGGCCGTGGCACGGGGAATATAGGGCCGTGGGTACTGCAGGGCCATAGCAAAGGGATGGGGATGTGTGGGGCCGTGAGATCACAGAGCATGGGGCTGTAGGCCACGGCATGGGGATCTTTGTGTCCCCTCCACGGATGGCGACACAAGGGACCCTGCAATGCCGTGGGCACTTTGGTGATGCCGATGGTGGCACGGGGAGCTTTATGCCCCCTCCCAGGACAGAGGGCACGCGGGGACCCCATGGCGCACGGACCTTCTCCCTCCCCACTCGGGCAAATGCATTAGGGACCCTGTGCCCTCCGGATATCCCTTCCAGGGGGGGTCCCAGCCCCTCCACGTGCCCCCGGTACCCGGCTGGCCGTGTCCTTACAGCGGCTGAGCCAGCAGTACTCGGCCACCAGCTCCTTGTAGGCAGGGAACCGCCCGGTCTCCTAGGCGCAGAGGGAGAAGACGCGGGGGTCAGCGCGTGCCGGCCGAACCCGATCCGGGTGCCAGCCATGAATAATGCATCCCCCTCCCACCTGCCTGAAACCCAACCAGCCCGCGGCCGTGCCGGCACCCCCCCGGCACCGGGATCGGCTGGGGGAGAGCCACAGTGGGGGCACGCAGACCCCCGGGGGGTTGGGTTCGGGTACCTTGATGGTCAGCATGATGTGGGTCTGCCCCTTGAGCACCTCCACCGCCTTGCTATGGCTTATGTCTTCGAACTTGACTCCGTTGGCTGCAAGGACTTGGTCGCCCACCCGAATGCCGTTCTGCTCCGCCAGCCCCCCGGGGTCCACCCTACGGGCAGCAGAGCGGGGGCGGGATGGGGACGGAGCCCCGCGCCTCTCCCCGGGCAGCTCCGTGCCCCGGCACCCAAGGGTGCTGAGCCCCAGCCTGTCCCCCTCGTGCCCCCCCGGGGTCTGGCCAGGCCGTACTTGGAGACGTAGATGCCGAGGCCGAACTCGCAGCCGCCGCGGATGTTGAAGCCCAGGCAGTAGTCGTCGGAGGTGGTGTAGAGGTGGACGATGCGCCGCAGCCCGTCCTCCGAGCCGCTCTCCGACGGCGTCGAGCCGCTCTTCTCCACCACCAGCCGCCTGTTCACCACGTCCACCCTGGGGCACGGTGTTGGTGGGGGGGCTCAGGGGTCCAGCTCGTGTCCCCCAGCGTCTCCCGGTGAAGGGCGGTGATTGGGGTGGTGAGGATGGGGCTCGCACCCACCCTGCCTGCTCCACACCTTCCCATCCCCTCCTGCACCCTCCCACCTTTTCGGGGACCTCCAGTGCAGCCCACCCCGAAGCTCCCCCCACCTCTGCATCCTCCCTGCCCCACAGCATCCCCCCCAAGCCCTCCACGGGGGTTTTGGGGTGCGGGTGCCCCGCTCACCAGGCCGTTTTCTCCTTGGAGAACTTGATGCCCGGCACGCGGCCCATGCGCCGCACCACCATGCGCAGGCGGTTGTTGCCGGTGAGGACCTTGACGGCGCTGCTCATGGTGATGTTCTCCAGGCTGACGCTGTTTACCTCCGTGATCTTGTCGCCCACGCACAGCCCAGCCTGCTCTGCGAGGGGCGAGCGGCTCGGACGGGCACCCAAAATCGTGCCATTCCCCTTGCTGGGTGCTCCGGCCCCAAGCGGGACCAGCTCAGCCCGACCCAGAGGGTGCAGGAGATGCCACCACCACTGCGGCACCACGTCCCTGGTGGCTCCCCGGAGCATTTTGGTGGCCCGTGTCCCATCCCCATCAGTGTCCCACTTACCGGCAGCGCTGCCCTCCTCCACCTTGCTCACGAAGATGCCCAGCCCGTGCTCGGAGCCCCCACGGACGCTGAAGCCCAGCTTGCCATCCGCGCTCTTCTCCACCGTGATGGCGTTGATAACGTCACTCTCATTGCTGCTGGCTGCGGGGACAGCCATGTAACCAGGGGATGGCACCCAAAAGCCCCTTCCCATGGGCCGGGTTGGGGGGGGGTCCATCCGGGCTCCCACGCACCTTCGATGGGCGAGTTGATGAGGATGACGCGCCCCATGGGGGAGGTGGCGCGGGCACCCCGCACGGTCCCGTTGAGCAGGCGGCTCTGCTTGCTCAGCAGGCAGCGGGGCGCCAGGCTGGCCTCGCTGCTCGAGCTCCGGGACCTCCCGGGCACCGTCATCTCCGCGTCCTCCCAGCCCTGGGCCATGGCGGTGGCCGAGCAGCCGGGCTGGGACTCGCCGGGTGCTCACGGGGCCGGGGCTGCCCGCCGGCGGGGGGGAGCCGTGGCACCCTCCAGCAGCACATGCCCGGGCTGGGGCGAGCTCCTCAGCAGCGCAGCGCCGGGGCCGGCTGGGGGCTGGCTGCACGAGGGGTCCCGGGCACGGTGGCACGACCTGCGGGGACAAGAAGTGGCGTGGGGGGGCCCCCTTCAATCCCCCTTCAATCCCCGCACCCCGTCCCTTTGCGCCCTGGCTGCGGGGCTCCCGGGTGGCACCGTGGGGACCTGGTGGCCGGGCAGGATCCAGCCCCGTGGGGATTTGCACCGCGATGGGGGCAGCCCCCACCCTCCCCGTGCCCTTCCACGCCCCCCCCCCACGCTCGCCCCGTTCCCGCGGGGGGGATTTTCCCAGCGTGGGCGCACCGCCCCCCGCTCGCCCCGGCCTGACCCCCATAAATAAGTGATGTCGCCGTGCCTGCGGCGACAGCGAGGGGGACACGGCGGTGTCCCCGCCACCCGGCAGCACCCCCCCACGGCCCCATTTCCCCCCCCCCCCAATATCCCCAAGCCCCCCTCTCCGGCAGCCCCCAGCGGTGCCCCCTCCCCCGACGGGGCGCACGGCTCCGGGGGCCCCCTGCAGCCTCCGGGCTGCCCCCCCCCGTGCCCTCCTCACCTGTCCCCATGGTGCCACCTGCGAAAGAGACACCGGCAGCAAGGGGGGGATGGAGAGGACGCGGGGGGGGGACACAGCGCCGCCTCCCCCCGCCGCTACCCGCGGGGATTGGCCGTCCCGGGGCTGTGCCGGCCGGGGGAGCTGTCGCTCAAGCGGCCGGGGCTGGCCCTGAACGAGGGGGGGGAGCCCCGTGTGACCCCCCCCAACCCCAGGACACCCGGGGGGGGGGGCGCAGGGGACGAGGCTCCCCGCGGGGGGGCTGCGTGGGGCTTTGCGCACAGGGGGAGCGAGGCGCGGGGTGGGTCCTCATGTGTTTTTTTGTGCGTGGGGGTGTGCGTGTGCCCCCCCCGCGATGCAAGCCGCTGCCCCCCCTTCCCCACGGCATATTTCACCCCCCCAAACCTCCCCCCCCCGCGACCCACGGCGGCGCCGGCGCCGCGAACCCGACACCGCGGCGGTTTCAGGTGATGCGCGGCGGCGCAGAGCGGCCGAGGGGGGGGGGGGTTAAAGGGGGGGTGGCAGCCCCCGCAGCGCCGCGAACACGCGTGTGCCCCCCCCACACACACACAGCACAGCCGATGGGACACGCGTGGACGCGTGCGCATCCGTGTCCCGAGCCCGCTTTGCGCAGGGCTCGTCCCTTGGTGCCACCCCGTGGCGCGCGTAAAACACGCGCGGGCGCACACGGACACGCGTGGAAATGACACCAACACCCACGGCGGGGGGGGGGAGGAATGGACGTACATAAACACGCCTGGACGCCCCCCCCCCACGATAAAAACACGCGTGGGGATCGCGCAGAGCCGTGCCGCGCAGCACGTAGGGGCCGCCCGGCGCAGATGGCCCGGGCCCGGCTTAGCTTCCCCCCCCTCCGGTGGCCCCCCCCCGGTCCCCGGTGCCCCCCCCCGTGTTGGGGCGGCCCCGTGACGGTCCCGGACGTCAGCGGGGCGGGGCGGCGGCGGCGCCGAGCGGAGCGGTGCGGAGCGGAGCAAAGCGCAGCGGGCGCTGCACCGGAGCCGTGAGTGCGCGCGGGTCGGGGGGGTCCCCAAAAAGGGGACGGGGATTGGGGCTCAGTGCCCACCCCAGAACAGGGAGGGGGGGTGCTGGGGCATGCGGGAGGGGGAGATTTTCCGTGGGGGGTGCGGGGATGGAGAGGGGTGCGTGGGGTGGGTGTCACCGTGTCACCATGTCGCCCCGTGTCGCTGTGTCGTGGGTGTCCCCCCCCCCTCCAGAGGATGCCCCCCCCGCTGCCTGCCTCCATCGATATCCGGGAGCCCCGCTGGGACCAGAGCACGTTCCAGGGCCGTGCCAAGCACTTCTTCACCGTCACCGACCCCCGCAACCTGCTGCTCTCGGGGGCCCAGCTGGAGGAGGCTCGCCGCCTGGTGCACGACTACCGGTAGGGTACGGGCTGGGTGCGGCCCCCCTGCACCCATAGGGTGAGCTTTGGGGGTGCCAGCAGCTCCGTGCCCCCCTCGCAGGGCTGGCATCGTGCCCCCGGGGCTGACCGAGGAGCAGCTGTGGCGGGCCAAGTACATCTACGACTCGGCCTTCCACCCCGACACGGGCGAGAAGATGCTGCTCATCGGGCGCATGGCAGCCCAGGTGCCCATGAACATGACCATCACCGGCTGCATGCTGACCTTCTACAGGTAGCAGAGCCCCCCCGAGCCCCTCCCTGGGCACCCACGGGTGCTCGCCCTCAACCCCCAGCCCCCTGGGGTCCTACCCCTGCTGTGGGGTGATGCTGGTGCCCGGCAGGACCACGCCGGCCGTGGTTTTCTGGCAGTGGGTGAATCAATCCTTCAACGCCATCGTCAACTACACCAACCGCAGCGGGGACGCCCCCATCACCCCCAGGTGAGCGGCCCCTCCGCCACGGGGACCCGGCGCACGGCTGGCCAGGGATGGGGTACATCAGAGGGGGGTGGCCTTGGCTCATCGGTGTCACCTCCTGCCCTTGCAGCCAGCTGGGGACAGCCTACGTGAGTGCCACCACCGGAGCGGTGGTCACGGCATTGGGGCTCAAGGCTCTCACCAAGGTACGGGGACCCTCGGTGACCCCGCTACCCCCCGGGGACCCCATTGTCACCCCGCTGCACCCTGCAGCTTTCAGCAGCAGGGAGGGGGGGGAGTTTTCCTTGGTGGCCAACCTGGGGACAGCTGGCTCTGTCCCCAAAACCTCTCCGTGACCCGCTCCTTGCTGTCCCCCCCAGCACCTGCCAGCCATCATCGGGCGCTTCGTGCCTTTCGCAGCCGTGGCCGCTGCCAACTGCATCAACATCCCGCTGATGAGGCAGAGGTGGGTGCCTGAGGGGGGGGGGGACACCCGGGCTGTCCCGCTGAGCCCCCCCAAAATATCACACAGCCCATGGATGGGAAACACGGAGAGGCACCAGCCTCCCCCCGAGCTGTCCCCGTCGGTGCCCCCATAGCCCCGCTGTCCCCGCAGGGAGCTGAAGCTGGGCATCCCCATCACGGACGAGAATGGGAACCGCCTGGGCGAGTCGGTGGCAGCGGCGCAGAAGGCGATCCTCCAGGTGGTGGTGTCCCGCATCGGCATGGCAGCCCCGGCCATGGGTGAGTGCCCGGCCCCCACCCTACACCTGGGTGCCCTTCGTGGGGTCCCGCGGAGCTCATTTCCTTCTCCTCTGCCCCAGCTATCCCCCCCGTGATCATGAACGCCCTGGAGAAGAGAGCCTTCCTGAAGGTACTGCTGGCTGCTAGCAGGGCAGGGTGGGCTTGGGGGGCACCCTGCTGGCCCCCAGCGGGGAAATGGGCGCCCTCCTGCCTGCTGACACCAAATCTCCCCCCGTCCCCCGGCAGCGGTACCCGTACCTCAACGCCCCCCTGCAGGTCGGCCTGGTGGGACTCTGGTAAGTGACCCCCTGGGGCCACACGGGGACACCCTGCTGCTGCTGCTGCTCCCCAGGCAGACAGGATGGGGGGCAGGAAACGTGTCACGAGCTTTTTTTGCTCTTGGGAGGACATCTGAAGCCTCCAGCGGGTTCCTCAGCATCTCCGTGCACCCTGTGTCAGGAAAATCAGGGTCTGGGGTTTGGAGAGGCCCCAAAGCCCTGGCGCTGCCTGGCACGGTGCTGGGCTGCCTCCTGGCTGCCCCAGGGACTGGCTGTGGGTGGGAGCAGGCTGCTCAGCCCTGCTTCTCCTCTCCTTGTCCTCCCCGTGCAGCTTGGTGTTCGCCACCCCGCTGTGCTGCGCGCTCTTCCCGCAGAAGAGGTAAGGCCGGGCGCACCGCGCCCCACGGGCGGGCTCCTCGTGCCCTCTGACCCCCCAGAGGTGCTTTCGCTCAGCTGAGCGGTCGGAGGCTTGGAGATGCGCGTCCCCCTTTCCATCCCCTGCACCCCGTGTCCCCGCAGCTCCATGCAGGTGAGCCGCCTGGAGCCCCAACTCCAAGCTGGGATCCGGGAGAGGGACCCGCAGCTGCAGACCGTCTACTTCAACAAGGGGCTGTGAGCTGGGAGCGGGGCTCCCCACGGGGCTGCTGCGTCGCTGAGCTTTACCCTCAGAGCCCCCCGGGGACACCGCTGCTGCCCCTTGGCTGTCCCCTGTCCTTCTGTCCCCGTGCTCGCCCCCCCGGGGCGTAGCTGAGCCCCCGAACAAACCCAGAGGGGCGCCTCCCACCCCGGCACCTCCCCGGCGCTGTCCCCCTGAGCTGGTTTGCTCCTATCCCTGCTGCTGTGGGGCTGTCCCCAAGGCCAGCAGCCACAGCGTCACTGTCCCCAGTGCCAGGAGGAGGGGAATAATTCCCTGGTGACGTGTGGCTGGCAGGCAGAGGTGCCAGGGGCTGGGGGAGAGGCTGCAGCGGCGCTGGGCGCTGGCACAGGCGCGGGGCACGGCACGGTCACGCCGTCCTTCCCAAGGACAGGGCCAGGGGGGCCCCGTGTGCCACTGCGGGCACCCACGGAGCAGAAATGTCCCCGTTCCCTGCGTGTCACCGTGTGGAAGCCCCATCCTGCGTGGGGGGAGGCAAATATCCCCGTCCCCGTCCCCATCCGTGGTGCCAGCGCCAAGAAACTTTGTGCGCACCGGGGCGGGGGCACCCCCAGGGGTGCTGCAGGGCTGGAAGCTGGCACGCAGCACGAGTTAATCTCGGCAGAGCCCCCGTTTTATTCTCTTTGTGATGCCCTCTGTGCTCCCCCAAGGGGTTACCCTACATCCTCCTTCCCAGGCGGACCTCCTCCAGTGGCTTTAAGCACCCCATGGTTTCCCCCGGTTGTTTTTTACACTACAGACTCTGTACCTACACCCACCAAATAATAAAGACAGGCTGTTTATACAAAACCAAAAGCGAAGAGAAGCGTGGCGCCGATTCCTCCCTGGTGGAAAGGGGCCGGGGGCTGCCCTCTTCCCCCCGGGGGGCTGTCTGCAAAGAGGGCGAGGATGGGAATAGGGTGCCCCGGGGCCGGCCGCGCTCCCATTTCGTGCTGTGCCAGCCGTGCCGGGTGCTCCAGCGGGTGCTGGAGCCTGCTGCCCAGCTGTCAGGGCGGCTTTTTTTAGCACAAGCAGCTTAGCACCTCGCCCAGGGCTCTGCAAACCCGTGCCTGGGATGCTGCACGCTTGGAGAGGCCACCACGTTGTGCCCAAACCCATGGGGTTGGATGGCCCAAACCCATCGCCACGGTGCCAGCACCCACCCGGGACAGGGGGGCAGGAGCGGGGTGGGCACGGGGCGGCTCCAGCCCCCTCCTCCTGGCAGCCCCAGCATATTGCAAAGATCTCCCCTGAGCCAGCCATCGGCGGCTTATAAATAATGCAGCCCCTCGCCGCGCAATAAGGGCTTGTCAATTGCTATTCTGCTCTCATAAATTAAAGATGAAAAGGTACAAGGCTCTTGCCAGAAAAATGAAGACAAATTTTTAATAGCTTGCCAAGACGCGGGGAGATGGAGCGCTCGGGAAAAATGAATTAGGTTTTTATTATGTGTTTTATTGTGCTGTAATTGAACGGGATTAGCCAAGAACACAATATATTTCCAGGGCGGTGCGAGGAAAACAAAAATAATGATGACACCTCTCCCCCCACACCTGTGCGGGGACAGCTCCGGCATCCAGGGGCTCAGATAGGGCTGGGGGGGCACTTATAGGGCCGGGCTCACCCCAATTCCCCCCCCCAGGCTGTGGGGCAGGGTGGCACAGAGCCCTGCACAGGGCGCCGGGTGTCTCACATCCGTCCCCACGTCCCCACCGCTGCCACCCTGGGGGACACTGGGGGCACTTTCCGGGCTGTCCAACCCCAAAAGTGGCAGGCCAGTCCCTGAGAAGGTGACAGCCACATGGCCCTGGGACTCTGGGGGTGTCTGGGGGGGGGGGGGGGACATCGATTGGTGCCTGGCATTTTTAATGAGCCGCCCGACCACAGGCTTTAACCTTGCCCATAATGAGGGCGAGCGGCAGCAATCCCTCCTGCCCCAGCCGGCTCCCCCAGCCTTAATGAGCTAATCAATACTTGTTCTCAGCTTAATTTCCAGCTAATTGCTCTTTAATGACGCCTGGAAATGGGCAGCCTGCTCGTGGGCCTCCCCCTTCCTTGCTCAGGGTCCCCAGGGTGGGGGTATCGGGGTCCCGGCCGGGTGCGGGTCACCTTCGTCCCAGCCCCGCTGGCGCTGGGGGTCCCGGCACACGGAGCCACCTGGGCGACCCCTTGGCGTGTCCCATGGGTGGGGGGGTCCCCAAAGCACCTGGGGGAGGGCAGGGGGACAAGGGGGGGACAGGGCATGCTGTCACAGTGAGGGTCACACAACCTGGGCAGGTCCCCAAACCCCTATAGGGTTCCCAAACGCCTCTTGGAGAGGGGCGCGAAGTTGCCTTGGGGTCCCCAGGGTGGTTTTGGGGAAGGGGTGCTTGGGGTGGGGGGGACCTGCAGGGACAGGGCTCGGGTGTAGGGACAAGGGGATGGGGACGAGGCCAGCAGCGCCCTGGAGGTGGCAGCAGAGACCCCAGAGCCTGTCCCCTGCCTGTCCCCTGCCACCCCCCCAGGGCAGTGTCACCCCCCCAGGACCCGCAGGGGGGGGGCGTTTAGGGGCTGAGCGCAGGGTCACATCTCTGGGCCACCAAACCCCAAATGGGGACCCCCAATCTCAGCTGTAGGGTGTAGGGGATGGGGCACCCCATAGCCATTTAGGGGCAGGGCTCCCAGTTCGGGTGCCCACGCTGCAGCCAGAAGTGGCCTCGGTGCCGGGGGGGGGACACACAGAGGTGACAGGGGGGCCATCAGCACCACGCTTTGGGGGCAGAACCGCGGGTGAAGCCACTTGTATGGGAGTGGGGTGGCGAGGAATGGCCCCCCCTATCCAAAATACCCTGCCATGGGGCTGCAACCCCCAAAAAATCCCAGAGCCTGGCCCCATTCCTGGGGGCAGGGGTGCAGGGGGGACCTTGGCACGTGGGGACTGCCCCAGCCCCACGGTGTGGGGCCCCACGGGGATGCCATACAGAAAGGGGGAGTCCCCACAGCCCCCCAGAAGGAGCTGGGTGCCCCAAAAAACCCCACGGAGGTGATGGAGACCGCTGGGTGCCCGGGGACCGGAGTGTCCCTTGCCACCTGGCCACCGCTCCCGGTCCCCCCCCCCGTGAAGCCCCCGTCCCTCCCGCGCACAGCTGCAACCGCTTCCCCAAGAATTTGCTGACGGGCTCGTTCCGGGGAGGAATTTGCTCCGGAGAAGCCCCAGGAAACCTGAACCCGGCTGATTTATGGCACGGGACCCGCCTGGCACATGGGGCAGGGGGACCTGCCCGCGCCTCGTCCCCATTGGGGACCCACAGGACGCGGTTGGGACCCTTCGGGAGCCCTGCGTGGCTCTGGGGTGGATCAACCTGGATCCACCACAACCCTGACTCATTTGGCCCACGGCTTCGTTTCCAGGGTGGGATTTTCGTCAGCTTTTGGCCCCCCCGGGATCTCCTGGGCCAGCAGCCCAGCGCCGGGGCAGGACCGGGGCACCCCGGGACAGGCAGCGAGCAGGATGGGGCCACGTCCCCACGGCAGAGCCAGGAGGGGTGCCACGGCCAGGGGGACGTCTGCAGATATTTGGGACAATCATTAGGGGAAATATTGGGGCCGGGAGCCCTGGGGTGCGCTGTGTTGGGGGCACGCTGATTGGAGCGGGGTGTGATGGGGTACAGCTCCTCCTGAAGCACAGGTTAGCTCTTCCACCCCTAATTCGGAGCTGCTGCTATTTATTAGCACGTTCAACAGCCTCGTTAAGCAGGAGGTTTAATTATCTGCCGGGCTGTAGCTCCATCTTGGTTTTAGGGCTGAGCCCAGCAGGTTTTAGGGGCAGCGCTTGGCACAGGGGTGCCTGAGGATGTGGGTGATGCTTCCCCCCAGGGCTGTGGCTCTGGGGGTGCCTAAAAGGGTCCCTCAGCTCTCCCCTGCTCCCCAAGTGGTCTCAGAGACCCCCGAAATCCCCAGCAGCTGGGGTTGCCAAAAAAACCTGCAGCACGGCTGGGCCGGGCCAGAGGAGCTGGGGGGGGCTCGGCTCCGAGCCACGGGGCTGGGGGCCGCTAAGGGGGAGCAGAGAGGGGCTGAAGGCAGAGCCAGCAGGACCCCCCCTCCGTGACAGGCTGCCGGAGGGGGATTTTGGCCAGGAAGAGTGGGTTTTTGGGGCTGCAGCCCCGTGGATTTTCCATCATTAGCCACGGCTGGGTTCGCAACGCGCCGGAGCCCGGAATGGATTTGCAGCGGGGGTTTTGGAAAGCAAAAGCAGATTTTTTTTTTTGCAGAGCAGTGAAGGAAACCAGATCCTGCGAGGGCTCCCGGGACGGCTTTGCCTCGGCTGAGATTCGCCGTGGAAGCAAATCCCACAAATTCCTCACTTGGAAAAGGGGAGGGGGCTGCGGCCCCCCCAGCACGGTGGCGGAGCAGGGCGCGAGCGCGCGGCGGGTTTGTGCTCAGCCCCGTGTCCCCCTGCTCAGGAAGGGGCTGGGGTGTCCCCCCCAAATTCAGAGCAGGGGAAACTGAGGCAGAGGGGGCCCTGCAGCCCTGTGGGGGGGTTGGCAGTGCACCGCTGGGGCTCGGGGGGGGACCCAACCAAGGCAATGCCACCACTCGTGTCCCCTCTGTGCCCGCTCCCTGGGTGGGTGGGGGGTGTCACGGGCATCCCCCGGGAATCACCCCCCTGTTTAATTACAGCAGCTGCCCAAATTCCACCCCGTGGGGTGCTTCTGCTCCTCACCCCAGCTGTGCCAATCTCATTTCGCTCACATCTCCCCACGGATCCCCCAAAAGCCCCCCCTGGGGACGGCATCCCACAGCAGGGGGGTCCCGGCCGTGGCACCGGGGGGTGACCCCGATAACCGGGGGTCCTGCCGCAGCCACCGGTGGGTCCCGGCAGGGAAGGGGTGGCCGCCAGCTCGGGGCCTGTCCGGGGTTGGGACGGGGCCCGTTGGGGGGCGTGGGGACTGGCGTGGCGCTGACATCACGGCCGGTGGCAGCGGGGCTGTCGGGGCTGGGCGCACCGAGACATTGCGCACCGGAGCCTCCGGTAAGTGGCGGCTTGGGGTCGGGAAAGGAGGGGTCCCGGGGGGATTTGGGGAGCAGGGGGGGTGGGTTTGCATGTTGGCTGCTTCCCCCCCTTTTCCTGGCCCCAGCTGCTGTGGCTGCTCAGGGTTGGGGCTTTTCGCTGTGCAGGAGGAGGGTTGGGGGTTCCCGTGAATGTTTTGGGGAGTGCTGTGGGATGAGGTTTGTTGTCCCTTTTGTAATCCGGGGGGGTTTAATGGGGGCAAACAGGGGGCTGGGGAGGGGGCTGCAGTCCTTGTTTGGGGGGAGACCTGTGGGAACAGCTTGCAGAAGATGTGGGAAGCCTGGGGGCCCCCTGCTCGGGGACAGGGACCCCACGGTGCTGGTGCAGGCTGCCCACTTGTGCACCAAGTTCTCCCGTGCTCAGCCAGCAGTGTGACAGCTGGGAGGGGGTTCACAGAGCTTTTTGGGGGGGCTGAGCCCCTGCTCGGGTGAGATATGGGGTTGGAGGTGAGGGCAGAGAGGGGTCATGGCAAGGAGAGGGGGGAACAAAAGCCAGGAGCGAGCGGGAGCATCCTCCTGGCCGGGCTCCTCTCGGCTGGCTGCCTCCAGCACGGAAAGAGCCCCTCGTCTGCTGGCTCAGCCGCTCCACTGCGCTCCTCCGGGCGGTGACGGAGGGGAAAAAAGCCTCGTGACTCCTGCGGAGAGGTGGGGAAAGGAAAGGGGCGCCCGGCTCCACAGCAGCTTCCCGAGAGGAGCCGGGCACGAGGCTGGCGGGGCGGCACGGAGCAACCTCTGGGGTGCCTGGGGCCCAGTGGGGTCGGAGCAGGCTGGGCTCTGCCTGCCAGGGGAATGGGGTGAAGCTGGGTCTGGGGTCAGCAGCCCCATTTGGGGAGAAAGAAGGGACTGTGTGATGTCACGTTTTGGGGTGGTGTCATGTTTTGGGGTGGTAAAAAAAGTTTTGGGGTGGTTTTGGGGTACTAAGCCTGGTAGGAGGGTGGGAAGAGTCTCCCCTGCACGTCCTGCTGTGCTGCCCAGGGGGCTGGGGCGCCCTCTCCATGCCCCTAAAACACGTTCTCCCTCCTGGCAGGCCACGATGGCAGCTCAGCTCTAACCCGGGAGGCCGGAGCGGTGCCGGAGGTCCCCGTCCAAGTGATGGTGGCACCGTGCTCCGGGAGCCGCCGCGAGGATGCCTGAGGCCAAGCCCCTGAGCTCCTCCTGCCTGCTGCTCTCCTTGCTCTCCGCGCACTGGGCTTGGCTCCAGCTGGGCCAGGCTTTCCCCAGCACCTCCGAGTACCTGCAGCGGGGCTGGCAGCGGCTGCTGGAGGAAGGGGAAGGCTGCGCCCAGTGCCGGCCGGACGAGTGCCCGGAGCCGCGCGGGTGCCTGGCCGGCACGGTGCGGGACGCCTGCGACTGCTGCTGGGAGTGCGCCAACCTGGAGGGGCAAATCTGCGACCTGGACAACACCAACCACTTCTACGGCAAGTGCGGGGAGCACCTGGAGTGCCGGCTGGACGCCGGCGACCTGCGGCACGGCGAGGTGCCCGAGCCCCAGTGCGCCTGCCTCTCGCACCGAGCCCTCTGCGGCTCCGACGGCAGGACCTACCCGCAGCTCTGCCGCTTCCTCGAGGCCGCCCGTGCCCGCCCCGATGCCAACCTCACCGTGGCCCACGAGGGGCCCTGCGAGGCAGGTAGCGCCCGGGGGGAGCGGTGGGAAGAGGGGGCTGGGTGAGATCTTCCACCCGGGGGCCCTTCTGCTGCGGGCACGGCGCACGGAGAGCTTCGGGAGAGGCTTTGCCAAGTCCGTGCGGGGTTTACGGGAGGCTGAGCGCTGCTGAGGCTGCTGGGGGAGATCCAGGGCGTCGTTAGCGAGCTCTTGGCCGCGGCACCGTGCGGCTGGAGCGGGGCTGGTGCCAAGAAACTCCCCAGAAACGCGGCTCCTTCGCCCTGGCCGCCGCTTGCGTGCGGAAAGCTGGCCGGGGTCAGCTTGCTGTGCGATTTCCATCTCATATTGAAACCCAGAGTGTGGCTAAGGGGTGGGGGACAACCCGTGGGCAACCCCGTGGCACTGGTGGCCACAGCCCAAGGGGGTGTCAGGGTTGGTTTTATTTTCTCTAGCTCGTCTTGTCCCTGAGTTTTTCCTCCAGGAGCACGCTCTTGGGCACCTGTAAGAGCCGGGCCGTTTCTGGGACACGTGGGGGGATTGTGGCCAGGACAGGGGACATGAAGGGGGCAGGGGATCATGAAAGCTGTGTCCTGGGGGGGCTCCGAGGTGCAGGAGGGGCTGCAACAACCGTGGGTTTGTGGGGAGCTGGGGGTGGCCCCCGGTCCTGGCCGGGAGGAGGGGCAGCACCCTGGGGGCACAGCGATGCTCTGCGAGGGTGGGCTTGGAGAGGGGTCACGGGGAGGGTCCCGGCATCGCTCCCCCGAGCCAAATTCTCCCGGCTCGGCTCTCCTGGCCCCTCTGTGTCCCCCCAGAGCCCCAGATCACCTCCCCACCCTACGACGCCTGGAACGTCACTGGCCAGGACGTCGTCTTCGGCTGCGAGGTCTTCGCCTACCCCATGGCGTCCATCGAGTGGAGGAAGGACGGCACCGAGATGCTGCTGCCGGGGGACGACCCCCACATCTCCGTCCAGGTGGGCGCCCTCCCCTCTCCCCCAAACACCTCCGGTAGCTTCTGATCCCCTGCTCCTTGTGGAAGCACCACAAAGGGAGCTCCCTTTTGGCTCGCCCTGCCTGCTGCCTTCGTGCCGTGTCCGCTGGAGGAGGGGACCAGCCCCTGGACACCCTGCCAGCTTCCTGACCCCAAATATAGCACGGAGCGAGCCCCGTGGCACCCAGCCAGGCCGTACCCTGCCATTATAGGGTGTGGGCAGCAGCACGGGGCCGTGCAGCCCAGCTGGGCACCGGTGAGGGGGGGATCGTGGTGGGGAGCACCCAGCGCTGCTGTAGGGTGACGTGCCGGTCCCCTGCGCCTTTCTGACCCCAATGCCCTGCTGTAGGGTCTGGCTGAGGACCCTACCCGGCTAAGGGAGCCTCAGCTCTCCGCCCTCAGACACTACACGGCAAGAGCAGCCTGCAAACAGCTGCAGCCCAGCTGGGGCCGGAGAAGGTTGTTTGGTGCTGGGGACAAACAAACAAAAAAAAAATAGCCCAGCTGGCGCCAGGGAGCTCGGGGCCCCTCTGAGCCACCCTTGTGGGGTTTGCAGAGCTGCCTCTCCCATCCAGGAGGCTGTGCACACCCCCAAAAAACATAATTCCCTCCTGGCAGTTCAGGGGCGGTCCCCAGAGGTACGAGGTGACGGGGTGGCTGCAGATCCAGGGCGTGCGGGTGACCGATGAGGGCACCTACCGCTGCTTCGCCAGGAACAAGGTCGGCGAGGTGGTGGCGTTCGCCAGCCTGACTGTCTTCACGCCGGGTGAGCGCCCGTCCCCTGTCCCCAGGAGGTCCTGTGGGGTGTGGGAGGGGACATTTGGGATTTTGGGCACAGCCACGGTGTGGTTTGGAGGGGGGCAACATCACCCCGTCCCTGTGCTGCTGTTCCAGACCAGCTCAACCTGACGGGCTCGTCCCTGCCCAAGCCCCGCGTGGTGCCCGAGGACTACGGGGACAGCGAGGAGGACTACTACTAGCCCGGCTCTCTGCTGTGCTCGCCCCACGGGGCCCGTCCCTGGGGAGCAAACACCCCCAAAGCTGTCCGCATCCCCTGGGGAGGGACAGCCAGGCTTCGCCCCAGGAGCTTGCTGCAGGAACGCCCTCCCTTCCTGTTTCGTTTTTAAGCAGAAAAGTAGTGATTTGAGGAAACCAGACACTTGTGGTTTTCACCACTATCTTCCCCTCCCTGGACAATGCCGGCCTGAACGTCGACGTGGCCAGAAACACTTTTTGGCCTTTTTTTGACTGAATTTGTCCCTTCCAAGCAGCTCTGCAGCGGGACATTTCGGCGAGCGCTGGTGCGCACAGTGCCCGGATCAAAGCTGACGCAGGGCAGCGAGCGTCCTGCACCCCCAGGGCTCATCCTGGGGGGGGGTCCCCTGCGTGCTGGGGATCCTGCTGGCTCTCTGCACCCCCAGCTCCTCGCCTCCCATCCCTGCCACCACCCGGCCCCGGCCCCTTCCCTCCTCCCAGCTGTGGGGAGGTCCGGAGCCGAGGCCAGGAGCTGGCGGGTCCCCAGGCAGGATGCGCCCAGCCTTGGCTGCTCCGGGGTTGCACGCTGCTCTCCTTCCCCTTTCTTCTTTTTCTTTCCCTTTCCTCTTTCTCTCGAGAGCTGGCTCGGACGATGCAATTACAGCATCAAAACCTGAACAAGCAAATAAAAGGGATTTGTCTGGAGTTGGCAGCAGCCCCAAATTCCTGCAGCCGGTGAGGCTGGGCCAGCCCCGTGCCGCAGCCAGCAGCGCTGCTGAGCCTCCCCGGCCCCTCTGGCGGCAGCTCCTGTCCCTATCCCTGTCCCCACCAGGTCCCCACACCTTTGTGGTGGCCCTGGGGCCTTTTTCATAATGGGGAACCCCATAAAACTGGGAGAAAGGACGTGCTCCTTGCCCCTGGGCTGCTTTTGCTCCCCAGGCAGCGTGATTTTTCCATCCTTGCTCTTTACTTTTGCCTTTTTTTTTAGGTGCAAAACCTGCTTTTTTTTTTTTTGGAGAAACTGGGCCACTTCCATCACTCCTCACCCCCCTCCCTCCCCGTTTGTGTGTTTGGTGGAACGGGGCCATGCTGGGGCTGCGGCTGCCGCGGGGAAACCCGAGAGCATCCCATGGCTCCGAGCCCCTCGCTGGGCTCCCCGCCTGGCCCCGGGCTGGCCCTCGGCCAGGCTCCTGTGCCAATCCTACCCCTGCCAGCTCTGCCCGGTGCCACACGGGCCTGGGACACACCGGGCTGGCCGGGGGCTGGATGGGCTGGATCCCTTCCAGGGGTCAGGATGGAGCGGGGGCTCCGTTCCCTGCAAGGCGAGGGGGTTGGGGTCCCCCGTGCCCGCTCCCAGCCCCTTAAAAAATTCAAGGAGCCAATATCGCTGCCTGGCTGGAATCGGTCACTGCCACCGAGCCTAATTGAGGTTATTTGTTGCCTCGGGAAGCGTTCGGTCAGCTCTGACACGGGCTGTGTGAGTGCCTCCCCCAGGGTCTGCGTGGGGACGGTGCTCGGCTCCGGGCACCTGGAGGGGGGCCTGGGGACACGCATGGGGACAGGGCTGGCTGCCCTGCTTTTTGGGGTGGTTTGTCTCTGCTAGGGGCTTGTCCCAGAGCCCACGTGGGGACACATCCAGGTCCCCAGGGTTGGCCAGGAGGCGGTGGAGGTGCTCAGGGGCTGTCCTTGGATGTCACCAGGGTGCTTCTTGGATGGCACCGGGGTGTCCCCCTCCCTAGCGCACGGCCTCACCCCAAAGCCCTTGCCAAAAACTCACATCCCCGAGCCACCCGGAGCTGGTGCCGGCCCCTGGTCGCCTCCATGTCACCGAACAGTGCCACCTCCTGGCAAAGCCACCGCTGAGCCACCCCGCTCCCCAGTGCTCCGGCCCCGCTTGGGAACGGGGAAACTGAGGCACGAAGCCACCGAGCCCCGAGGGGCTCAGCGGGGGCTGCCACCTGCACCCCGACCCCTGTCCCCAGCCTGTCCCCATCCCCGGGGACCCCTCGTGCCCTCTGCGTGGCACCTCTCCACGCTGGCTTGGAGAGAGAGAGAAAGGAGCAGGACCCGCAGCACTTACGCCGTCGGATAAATAAAATGGAAATAAATCCTCCCGCGTTTGCAGCAAAGAGGTCTCCGCGGGGGGTTGCTTTCAATAATTCAAATGCCGCCGCAGAGCGGAGCCCCCGCCACTGGGTTTTAATAAACAGCGCCGTAATGTGACATGCAATTTATTATTAAGCTTAAAACAGGAAGCCAGGAGTTTAATAAAAGCGCCGGGTCCACGGTTCAGGCACGGCGAGCAGGGGGTGCTGGCTGGGGGGGGGGCTCCGAAATGGGATTGTGGTGACCCTGGGCAGGGGTAAGGCACAAAATGCTGCCTGTTCCTAACGCAGCTCCACCTGGGCAGCCCTGCACCACTCCATCGGGGTGGTTTAAAGGCAAGCAGAGCGGGATGTGAGCCCGCTGGGGCCGTGGGGCTGTGCGTAATGGGGGCTGCGGGGAGCATCGGGGGATTGGTGCCTGCTCCTGTGGCGGCCAGAAGAGGTGGTGCAGAGGCTGCCTGTGCTCTTCCCCAAAGAAATGGGGTTTGGAGAGGCTAATCCCTGCGTGCCAGCTCGTTTCCTGCTGTATTTTGCTCCCTGAAGGCTGTGGGGTTTGTCCCAGCGCAGAGCCACGGAGCGGGGCACCTGCGGCTCCCCGAGCCCAGCGAGCAGCCCCCATCTCAGGGGGGGTTTCCAGCCAGATAAAACCCAACAGAAAGCCTCCTTCCCTGGGCTTATTTGAAGGGCTGGCAGGGCTGTGCGTGGGGCAGCACCTGGGTGAGCGGGACCTTGGTGCAGGGCAGGGCCGTGGTGTCCCACCGTCCCCTCCAGGTGCGCGTCCGTGTGCCACCAGCCCGAGGACGAGGGGGGGGGCTCCTCCTTTCGGGGTTATCTCGGCAGCGAGGAGGTGCTCAGCAGGGACCTGCCTTATCGGGGAGCTGGTTGCTGTCTCTCCTCGCGGGCTTTTTCTGCCCCGGGGCTGCTCTCTGTCACTTCTCTGCTCCGTAACAGCCGGAGGCAGGAGGAAATGGGAGCCTCCGTGCCTGGTCCCTGCCGGAGAGCGCGCGGATTCGGATGTGGGGGGGGGGTGGATCTGGCTTGCAATTACCAGTGCCTCTGGCTTGGCAGGCCTCAAAGTGTGAGTGATGGGGCTCCTGCAGAGCAGCCCCCCAGCCCACGCAGGCTGGAGAAGTGCTTGCACCCCTCAGCAGCCTCCCGGGCTGCGGCATCCACCTCCTGCCTGGGCTCGGCTGCTTTGGGGGTGTGGGATGCCAGAGGGGGCACGGCACAGCCCCGTGGGGAGCTGCAACGCCTGGGTACTGGAGAACACCCCAAAATATTCACATCCCATGACCTGGGGTGTCCTGGGAGCGCAGGGGATGGATTGGAGCCCTGTGTCCATATATAACATGCAGCTGATGGGTTTGGCAGGATGGGAGCAGCAGCTCACAAGCATTTTGGGAAGGAGGCCGGGCAGCTCCGTGCTTGGTGCTGGAGGATGGAGGAGCCGGAATCAAACAGATCCCAGCCCAGCAGGGCTCATTTCAAACATGGGAAGAGGACCCAAAGCGCCAAGCACATGAGGACGGTGTCCCCCAGCCTCAAGAGGCACCCCAAGCTCCATCTCTCTCCCACCACCCCCTTACCCTGGCGGTGGGGATGGAAGAGTTAAAGCCCAGGTCCCGGCAAAGCAAGTGCTCACCGAAACAGCCAGCAGCTGCCCGGGGCTCCCCTCTGCCCCCTGCCCTTATCCATCTCCCTTATCCCCGGGCAGCAGCGGGGCAGGAGCTTCCCCTCTGCCTCCTGACGAGGAGCAGAGCTGGCGGAAGCCGGGCTGGGGTCCCCATCCCTGGGCAGAGGCCAGGGGGGATGGGTTGAGGGTTTTGGGGGGGGTCAGACAGGGGCGTTTTGCCCCTCCTCGGAGCATCTCCGGCAGCACGGAGCTGGAGCGGCGGCGGGCAGGCTGGGACGGGGCTGTTTAATTAAATGTGAAGGGCTCCCGAGCTCCAGCCCTCGCTGCAGCCTGAGCGACTTCGGGAAAGAGGCCTTTTATTAAAAGAGAGAGAGGCTCGGGCTCTGCCAGGCAGCCATCAAACGGCACATTTAATTGTCTCGCCTCGTTTAGCCGCTGTGTGGGGAAGGGAACGCGCTCCAAGCCCTCCCCAAAGGTCCCCGGGGTGGCGAAGGGGTTTGGGCACGGGTTCAGCTGCGGGTGCCAAAGCGGGGCTGAGACCTGGGGACGTGATGGGACCCCCCCAGGGGACAGCCACAGCCGGAGCAGCCAGGGCCAGGGCTCCCCGTTTGGGGAGGAAAACGAAGATCTGGAGGGGGAGGAAATGCGGGCTTTTATCAAAACCTCCAACTTCAAAGTTGTCCAGCTGAAGTGCTCCCCTCTGGTTTAATTTGAAGTGATGTTTCCTTCAGCGGCTGCGGCTAAATGGCATCAAACGAGGCTGAAACGGCCGGAAAGCCTGGGAAGGAGGCACAATGTTTGGGAACGGCGGGGCTTGGGCCTTCCCAAAACCTTTCCCCAGAGGTGGAAACCTTCTGGGGAGGGGGAAGCCTTTTGATCTCTCCCCCTAGGTGATTTTGGGGGCTTTGTGCTGGCCCCGAGGCTCCTGGCCAGGAGGGAGGTGATGGGTTTTGGTCCAGCCCTGCGCACGGAGGAGGGGTGCTGAGAGCCGGGTGCTGTCCCACTGCTGGGGCTGCTCAAAAAAAGCTCCCCAAATCCTCCTGCCACCCAAAAGGGGTTTGGGATTGCTCTCAAAAATGGGGTTCTAGTGACCCGAAAGGGCTTTTTTTGTTCCAAATGTCAGGGGTGAGATGCTCGCAGCCATGGCACCTCCGTGGAGCAGCAGGCTCCTGCCCACGTGCCCAATTTTTCGTGCTCAACCTCAGACCTCGATGCTTGGCAAAATCCCTTCGCCAACCCCAAAGTAACGCACCAAGCTCCAACCTCCCATCCTTTAGAGGCAAGAAAGGGAAAAAAAAAACCACCCTCTCCCATAAGAGAGGGCTGAGTGGAGCTGCGATTCCCCCGCTCCCAGCCCAACATCTCTGCTCCGGCGCTGGCAGGGCTGCGGCTGCTTCCCCTCGCCCCCTCCTCTGCCTCCCCCAGCCCCGCTCCCAGCTGCTGCAGGGTGCTGAGTTCATGGGAGCCGTACCTGTGCTTTGTCTTCATCTGTCACCCCTCCTGACAGTCAGATCCATCTTCAACTGGGAGCGCGAGGGGAAGAGAGGGAAGCAATAATTAACCTCTGCGCGGGCCGCTCCCGAAATGCTGCGGTCTGCTGATGCGCCAGGAGACGGCCCTGACACTTTTATTGCTGCTCCAGCGCCGGGCAGCGCGTGGAGGAGGCGACGTGGCCAGGCTGGGACACCTGAGGCTGTCACTGAGCTGGAGGAGCCGCTGGCACAGGGCTCATTCAGGGGCTATACGGGGTGCCCGGGGTGGGGTCTCATGGCACAACCTTTGCCAGGGGGGATTTGGGGGCGCACGAGAGAAAATCAACGCCAAAAGCCCTTGGCAGCCAAACTTTGGGTCGTGCCGATCCCAAGGGGCTCAGCATGGCCAGGGAAGCACCAAGCCCATCCCGGTGAGCCTCCTCATTGAAGCAGCTGCTGCTCGTGTCAGTGGGAGATGGGGAAACTGAGGCACAG